GTTTCAGATAATTTCATGGTGGGAAAGCCACACCTACCATACCTCCTATTAGTAGGCAATTTAATATTGCATACCTTGGTTCAATTATCACTTCAAAGGTAGACTGAAGCCAAGAAATTAGAAGACTAAGACTGATGGAACTAGAAAAGATCCTCAAGTATAAGGATGTTTCACTGGAAACGAAAGCCAAGATCATTCACACAATTGTATTCCTAATCACTATGTATGTGGCTGAAGGCAGGACGGTAAAGAAAGCCATTGGTACATGCCATCAAGTTGTCTCCAACATATGGCAAACCTTTGAATGAAAGGCCTTCAGAATGACCTGTCCTTGATAGCCCTGCTCAGCTCTTGTAAACAAGAGCTTCATCTTGGAATTAATCCATCCCTTCTGGTCTTCCTTTTCTTCTTCAGCCTTCTACTTTCACTAACATTATGGAGTCTTCCCTTCCTATGATGTACCTGGAGTACAACAGCTTTGGTTTCATAATTTTTGTTCCCAGGGAAAGCTCTGGCTTGATTTGATCTAGGACTCACTTGTTTTTCTGTTGGTCCAGGGTATTCACAAAGCTCTCCTTTAACACTATGTTTTGGCCTTCAATAGTCTTCCTGCCAGTTTTCTTCACTGTCCAGCTTTCAAACCTGTACACAGTGATTATGTGTACAGTGATTAAGTGAAACCTCCTTATACTACCATGGTGAAACACCCATGAGCGCTATTGACTTGCTGGATCACATCCTGGACACATGAAGCAGAACAAGTGGTCACTGCTTGCACCGAGTTCTACAGTGACTGTTCTTTGCTGTGGTATGACCTGGTAGTTATTGTATAGCTGGAGTCATAAAAAGGTCTTGACAAAGTAGAAACAGAGAAACAGAGCAAGTCAGAAGGGACCTCCCGGGCCATCTAGTCTGACCTCCGGCTCCAGCCAGCTCCGCTCACGACATGCCCACCATGTGCATGTCCAGCCTAATAGAAACAAAGAAGTCTGTCACCAAATGCTCCTGAGCAAACTTGGTCATCAAAGGACAAGAGGATGGATGGACCAGTAATGGATTCACTGGCACTTTCTCAGACTGGGGAGACATAACAAGTGAGGTACTTCAGAGTTCAGTCCTGGGCACAGAGCACTTCAACGTTCTTATTAATGATTTGAATGAGGAGATGCAGGGAACAATTAGATAACATTTCAGATAACACAAAATTGGATGAAGATTTTTTTCTGTTCATGTTTACTGTGCAAAATAAAAACATTCAAACCTCACCATAAATGAGCAAAAAAAAGTATGTTATTTGAACAATATTTACAGAAAGAAAAATATCTATAGCATTGGTTGTGTTTATATTATCTATCTGTATTTGTCTGTATATAACAGAACAAACTACTGTTACTAACAATAATTATGCATATACTTCAACAAAGGCACATCAATTATCCATGTATTTATTAATTTCCAAGGCCACTCATTCAAAAATTGAATGTTCCATTAAATCCTCCACACATTTTATTACCAGTGTCTGTTTATCCTTCCAATGTTGTAATATTAGCCTTCTAGCTGTCCAGAAGGCATGGAAAATCCATTTATGTTGATCTGGTGTTAGAGTCCAAGAAATGAGTAGGTAATTTAAAAAAAAAAATGTGTACCCTTATATATCAAAGAACGTTCCAACACAAAATTTCTCCAGAGTATTACCTCCTCCCAAAAGGTAGCTGCCATTGGGTATTGCCAAAACATACAGAGAAGAGAAACATTAGCAGCATTGCACCTCGACAATTGCCCTATTTAATTAAGCCCTTCTTAAAGGGGTATTAAGGCATCCAGTTATGCTCGAAACATCAATTTTTACTGAATTAACTGTAGCCTGAGATCCATAGTCCCCTTGTGAAATAGATAATAATGAAGCACTCCGGTTAGGCACTATGTGATGTTGTAGTTATTCCATTCTTTCTTGAGATGGATATGTATTTACCAGTATTATATTTATTCACCTATATTAAATATTTATAAACATAAATTGTAGATTGATGCAATTTTTTGGCCTCAATCAGTATTTCCAAAAACACAGGCAGCTCTGAAGCTGTAAAAGTGACAGGACCAAAACTACTTCCTGACAAATGATCAAATTTGCTGATCAGATTCACAGATACTAAAATGGAGGCGGTGGCTACAACTGAGGAGTATGTACTCCAGATCCAAAAGGATCTGGACAGATTATTAAAGTGGGTAGGGGACAACAGGATGGCATTCAATGCAGATAAGTGCACTTGGGACATAGGAATGGGTGTCATAAGTACAGGTTGGGGGACAAGTGGCTGGAGAGCAGAACTTGTGAAAAAGATCTCAGGGTGCTGGTTGACTGCAGGCTAAACATGAGTCAGCAGTGTGACATGGTGGTCAAGAGGGTGAATGCCACCCTAGGATGCATAGCCAGAAGTGTGGCTTCTAGATCGAGAGAGGTATTACTGCCACTCTATACGGCTCTGGTGTGTCCGCAGCTGGAGCACTGTGTTCAGTTCTGGGCCTCTCATTACAAGAGGGATATAGCAAGGTTGGAATCAGTGCAGTGAAGGGTCACAAGGATGGTGGGTGGCTTTTTGCAGGGTAAGCCATATGAGGAGAGATTGAGGGAACTGGATCTTTTCAGCCTTGGGAAGAGTTGATTCAGAGGAGATCTGTTAGCAACATAGAGGTATGTGAGGGGGTGTCATGCAGAGGTGGGTCATGGCTGTTTTTCCCCTGCAGTGGAGGGCAGGACACATTCCAATGAAACAAAGTTCAGGGAACCAAGATTCAAGGTAGATGCCAGGAAGTAGTTTCTGATGGTTAGGACCCCTAGGGTATGGAATGAGCCTCCATGGGAGGTGGTTGAAGCCCCATCGGTGAGGGTGTTTAAGGATAGGCTGGACATGCACATGGTAGGCATGTCATGAGCAGAGCTGGCTGGAGCCATAGGTCAGACTAGATGGCCCAAGAGACCCTTCTGACTCAGTCTGCTTCTATGTCTCTTTGTTTCTATATCAGTCCTTTACACAGAATTGTAGACCCGTCGCTTTGAATTGCTTACTTTTATGCCTTGCTGATATAGCTTTGTTATTATGCTGGCCTGTGTTTTGTAGGAATCAGCAATATTACCATGCATCTAAGGCAACTGTCATCACTGCCTCATTTTGTGCTCCCTCCACCTCCTCTGACACCAACATAGAAAAACTATGAGCCTTTCAATGAACTATTAAGACTGCTAAAATATTCAAAAGATGAACTTTTGTTTCACTTTTTTGTAATTTATTGTTGTTGTTGTTAGTCATGAAGTCATGTCCGACCCATCGCGACCCCATGGACCACATTCCTCCAGGCCTCCCTGTCCTCCACCATCCCCTGGAGTCCACCCAAGCTCACACCAACTGCTTCAGTGACTCCATCCAGCCACCTCATTCTCTGCCATTCCCTTCTTCTTTTGCCATCTATTGGGCTCAGCATTAGGCTCTTCTCCAGGGAGTCCTTCCTTCTCATTAGGTGGCCGAAGTATTTGAGTTTCATCTTCAGGATCTGGCCTTCTAAAGAGCAGTCAGGGTTGTTATTGTAAGTTTCAACAAGATGAAACCATATAAAGGAAAAAACTATATAAATCTGAATATATAAATTAAGCATAAACTTCAAAAAATGCAGACCAAATATCCATATATGTCTCCATTTGAACATGGTGTGTATATCTCATCTGTTCAGATGTTGAAAACACTGTTGAGTCTTCAATCCATTGTATTATAGGAAGAAAACATTTTTTCTTTCAGTGTTGTAATAAATAGGTCTGATGATAGAAAATAATATCCAGAAAGACAAAGCCACTATCTTTGATGAAAGATTTCATCAAGACCTTTCCAAGACCTTTCCAAGATATACAGTATGTGGGTAAAAATAGAGCTATGTTAGCTGCCTTGAGTTCCTCACAAGAGGAACTAAATGATACATAATATCATAGGGAGAGGACCCCTCTTCTCTGTGAAACATTTGAAAATATTTGCCAGTTTCTGCACTCAACTGGGGTGTTACAAAAATAGGCCTGGAACACTGAAATGGGGAGTTGGGTGACAGCAATGCCTGTTCTGTCCCTGAAAACAGTATTGTGTGTTCAGTACCATCCTATATTCAGAATCAAAGTATATACGAACATTGATCGTAATATATTAGCATTTTTCCTGTAACAACTTTGGCTTTCATTTTCACATTCACTATCTCTTATTTAATGCCAAGTTTGTCATTTATATATACACATGTTCCCTTTGCTTGTATTTAATACTGTTCCACTCTCAGTAACATTCACAATGTATACACCGTTGTTGCCTCCTTTCCCACTGATAGCAAGCAGTCCCATCTTCCTCTTCCTAGTTGACATTTTTAAGGAAATGGCTAACTGTACAGTCCAGCCCATGGAAAAGCTGCCTCATCTCCCTTATGTTGTTCAGCATCCCAAATGTGTTTTGGCTTTTTTAGTGAGCTATAAAGAGAAACGTTAGAGCTAGTTCAAGGAAGCCTTAATTATGTGTGCAAGTAGCCATAAATTTGTGGGGAAATAAGAAGTCAAGTTCTGTGGTATCCGATGGAGAACATTAGGGGTAGGGATGGCTTTGCACATAAATTTGGCTAGTCCATTAAACACAGGCATATGAAAAATCAAAAGACCAAGAAATACAGTGTATAATAAGCCCATGTCATCGAACCATTAAGTTGTCCGAAAGGGAAAACTGCCAATGTAGAGGACTCCGCAGTCTCAAAGGCCTGGCGGCCATTTTGAAAAGACAATACCCTCTTCACGAGCAAGAGCAAAGCTCGCTGCGCCTGGCGGGGTGCGCGCACGTTGGACATGGGCGCGGACGACACGGCGGGGTGCGCGCACGCACGCAAGCTTTTTCCCCTCCCTCCGCCATTCTCCTCGGAGTTATGTAACGGTGCTGCGCGCACTCGCCGGCTGAGGCCCAATGGGGATGCGGCTGAAGGGGGAGGGGAAGACAGTGCGTGCGCGCTCTCGCCAGCCGAGGCGCGGCCCCGCGGCAGTACGTGCGCGCACACTCGCCCCCTCCCCCAGCCTTTCTGTCTCGGCCGTCGTGGTCGCTTTTTCATCTTTCCGTCCCCCCACTTGCTGTGAGGTGCTTGGAGCGGACGAGACCCCGCGGACTCGCCATGGCTGACGAGAAGCCCAAGGTGAGCGAGGGGAGGGCTGCGAACCGGCATGTGGGGGGAGGAGGGAGCGCAGCGCAGCGCTGGCTCCGCCGCGCCGGTTCTTGCGCGCCATTTTCCTCCCCTCCCCCAGCTCTTAGTCTGGTTTCTTTCCGGAGGACGGGCGGGAACGAGGAATCGGGGTGCCCTTTCGAGGACCTCGTTCCCCCAGCTCCTTTGAAGCGGGGATCCCTTCTTGCCTTTCCACGGGAGGGTGTTGCTTCGCTTTCCGCCGAACAGACTTTTTTCCTCGCCATCCATCCCCGATCCGCCGTTTAGAAAAAAAGAAATAGGTGCTAGTCCCTCACGTGCTGGGCGCCGTTCGCAGCCTTACTGACTGGGGATGTTAGAAAAACCTCTTTGTGTTGCTTCCGTCGGCCGCCCGCACGCTGGTGCTCCCTGAGTAGTTCGGCAGCAGGTAACCCCTTTTCTGTCTTCTCCCGAGGGGTTAACTGGCAGCTGGTGGTCTGGGTTTCCCTTTTCCTTCTTTGCCTCGTTTTGAGTGTGACTTCGGAGGCGCCAAAATCTGGGCTGCTCCAAGGGCACCCGGCCTCTCCAGGACTCTGCGGGATCTTGAGCCATGAAAGGGCTTGCCGCTTAAGGCGGCTGAGTAGAATAACGTTTTAAAGGGGGACGGGAACGTGAGGAGTTGGCTTTGTACGTGGTGGTGTGCAGGGGAAAGATAAGTGCCGTGGGACTGTGCATTTTCTCGATGAGCCGGAAAGCCTCGTGTGGGAGCTGTATTCAGGGTAAGTTCAATCTAAAGTAGACCCATTGAAATGTGTGGGACTTTAAATTAAGACTGGATACAATCCTGTGCTTGCTGAACAGATCTTTGTATGTGTGGAAGGGGGGATACTGGGCGCACTGGCAGTAGGCAGAGAGAGCATCCATGTAGAGTTTTGAATGCTATGTATTTGATGATGAGTGTTATAGACATAGGTTCTGTGGAGGTGAAAGTGTTTTATGAGGCTCAGATATTGTTTTCTGAAATAAGGGATAGCCATACCTTAAGCAATGTTCTTTAAACTGGCTTGGAAGAATTTTATCACTCCCCACAACCTTAAGTAGTTCTATAGTTTACTGAAGTAGGTTTTTCCATGCACAAACTCGTTGATGGTACATAGGTTTTAACGATTGCTTGTTCCATGCTTATAAGCTTCACCAAGCTAGTCCAGTTCTTTAGTATTGTTTTTCTGTGCTTCCCACTGCTTTGTATATTAAAGGTAAACATCCAAGAGCTTTTATGACTTTCATGGATTTACTAGTATCTGCCACTTTTAAAAAATCAACATTTAAATTAAGGTAAATAGCCATATTTGTAATATGTCTTTACTGGAGAGAGATTTAAAAATAAAACTCTGTTAGTTCTATGAGCTCACCCTGTTGATGGAGCAGAACAAGTGTGAAATAATGTGCTGAGGAGTTGTATACATTAGAACAATAACTTAATGCTTGGCTTAGTTCAAATAAAGCAAGAGGAGGTGTTTGTAATTAGCATGTTAGAAGCTAAAGCTCCAAGAATAGATGCAGCTTTCTTAAGAAGGATAAAATTAACTACTGTGCTCTTTACAGCTGCATGCTATCACATTAACCCTTTAGAACTGTTGTCTCTGTCAAAAGTTAACACGATGTCTTACAAATGTTTGGTATTATACTATGTTAGTTAATTTCTCAGATTATTTATGCGTGTCTACTCAAAAGTAAGCCTCACTGAGTCCAAAAGGACTTACTACCAGGTAAGTGTGTGTGGGACTGCAGCCTTAATGAGGTTCATTAGTTTGGGGATTCAGTGCTGAGAATATTGCATAGTAAGGAAATTGATTAACCCATATTTTTACTTAAAACGTGAAGCTTGGAAGTTGTTGCATGGTCTAATTGTCCTGGCTTCTGTGACCCATTGTTACCTGATAGGTCTCTAGAATTTTACCTACAGATTCATGACAAGTGAATTGTATTTCTAAGTTGAAAGCTGTTGTGGCCAGTCTTCAGGATTGGAGACTATGAGCTGAACCTTGAACCCAAAGATTTATTACTAAGAGGAATGACTTACCTTTAAAAACATGCTGCTTTTTCCCCCCTTACAGGAAGGAGTGAAGACTGAAAATAATGACCACATTAATCTGAAAGTTGCAGGGCAAGATGGATCTGTGGTGCAGTTTAAGATTAAAAGGCATACACCACTTAGCAAACTAATGAAAGCTTATTGCGAACGACAGGTGAGATGGTCATATGGATGCTCAAAGCATTTTAACTCTGTGATAATCCATGTTTAATGAAAATGCATCCAGTTATAACTTTTATTGTTGTCAAGATAAGCTGGCTAGAATCTGGAAAAATAAAGGCTTGTTTTCTCTGTTCAGCCTACTGCATGGCTTGCTCCTATTAGGAAGACAAATGCTGCATTGCTCTTTGTGGATGCCAACCTGGTGAATAAAGCAGAAGCCTTCAGCAGGCATTGTGCTAGGCCCTTTGATTCTGACAATAGTTAACCTTAACTTTTCTGGTATTTGTTTTTGTATTCTAATTTCCATAATTTTACTGTAACCACTCGAGATAGTGAATGTGAGCTGATAGCCATTTTCTGGAATTGAAAATGGTTGGGGTTGGGAACAGTGACATGGCACGTTCCATGGTATACTCAGTATTTTAACTCTAGTCAAAATAAACTTCTTGGCACCATCTAGGTTCCCCTGCAGGTTTTCATGGACCTGCACCTATAATTTTAAGAAAAGTAAAATACAGCATTGCTACAATAAAGAAAATGTGATTACTCAAAATACCTTTGAAAAGTTTTTCAGAATAATGGCACTAGTTTAGCAATTATGTGGTGGGATATATGAAACACCTTATTGAAATTCTGTGATATTTTGTTATATCAAAGTTAATGATGTGCTTCTTTTCCACTTCTGATTTTGAATTGATCCTAAAACTTCTGGAGATCTGAGGATTATACAAAGGGAATGTTGTTACAGAATATTTGAATGTGTAAGTGTTCTTACTGAATTAAGGCTCTCCTTGGAAATGGATCAGTTTCAAAAGGTGCATACTTGCACATTGGACTAGTAAAGCTCCCAATAAGCAGAGATAGTAATACTTGCCATCCTTGGGTGATTTGAGACTATTATCACTGACTCCTGAAGCATTTGGATAATTTGGGCTCATGTAAGTCTCAGGTGACATTTAGTGGATTTCCAAAGTTCTCTCTCTTTTGCCCTTAACTGTGAACTTGTAGGACATATCACTTAAATGTACCAAATTTAAAAGATGCCATTGTGAACAATAACTGTTTTTAATTCTTACAGTGAAGAGTAATTGGCAGGCTTCAGTGTAAGGGGTTGGCTTTAGCGTATATGTTGCAGTGCGTGCCTTCTGATTCATTTGTTTCTGATGTAGCATGCTGTGGCTATGCTATAGAAAAGAAGAGGTGCTGTCTCATTTTTTTGGTAGCTATGTTCTTTACAGTAGATTGGATTCTTAACTCAGGTTGAGAGACAGACAGAATTACTGCATTTAAAAATTTAGTATTCTTTAGTGAATTTAATTGATGTACTCATCTATAGTATAATAGATGTCTATAGAACTGTTTGGGAGAAACACAGTAGAAATCTAAAAATAACCCTTCTGCTGGCACAAGATTTTTCATATTCAACTATTCTTAAGTACTATCAATATAATGAGGCTAGTCTGTATTGTGTAGTACTTTCAAAGAATGAATTTTAGAGGAATGGATTGTCATTGGCCTATCATGTACTTTATGATATTTGAAGCAAGGCTGTCCTTATCCCTGTGAAAGCTGATGACAGTAGACTTTAGCCAGGCAAAATGGTGCACCCCAGGAAGTTTTTAAAAAAATAAGTCCAAAATAAACTTAATCATGGGAAGTATCCTATCTGATGCTACCACTAATGTAAATTGTGTTGTATTAACATAAGCAACCTCTAGTACTGCGTAAGCAGCATTTGATGGCACGACAGTTTCCCCAGAAAACCTGTCATAATAGCAAATGCTGTTGGTATTGTACTATAGGCATTCCCTGGGTTACAAACAAGTTCTGTTCCTGAGAAAACAGAATTTTGTCTTTAAGTTGAATTTGTATGTAAGTTGGATCCCATATAGCCGCCCCTCCACATTTGTTGGAGTTAGGGGTGCAAGATCCTTATGAAATTGGGAAAAGTAAATATCTCTGTGCCCTCCCCATTGCCTAAACCAATGCCTCCTTTTTGCAGGAAGGCCTGCTTTGAGGCCTCTGTATCTACCCTTTCGCTTCCTCCCTCTCTGTGGTGGTGCTTTGAAGGCTTTCCCTCTCTCCCCTTTCACTTCCTCTCTCTCCGTGGTGGTGCTTTGGAGGGTACCTCCTCCTTTCTTACTTCCTTTCTCTCTTTATGGTAATAATGATTTTCCAGTGTAGTTTTTAAAAAAATTAATAGGGTTTATGGCAGTTCATTCATAAGTATGGATTGTTTATAACTTGGATGTACATAACTTGGGGACTGCCTGTAGGTGTTGCTTTTCCTAATGAAAAGTGATTGACTTTATTGGTAGTATTGAATAGGATTCTTAAAAATCATGTCCAATCTCAGATATGATTATCAGGTAAATACTGAGACCAGCTGAGCTTCAGGCATAGAATGTCCTGATCCTGGAAGTACTTAAGTTGGCCATAGTACAGAACTTTACAATTAAGGATTTCTACTTGTGGCTAATTGTGTGTGGTTAAGTGGTTGTGGCAGCTACAGAAATATGGAACAGAGCAGAGTAGGCTAGGGAGGGCACAGCAGTCAGGATTTAATATAAAGACTTGTCCTGGTGGTTTATTTTTTAACTGAGAATGATGGTTAATGCATATACTTAATGATAGTGGTATTTGCAACTAAGTTCACTGTCTCATCTTCACTTTAATAACTTTTCATGCAAAAAAGTGATGTAAGAATAATAGGTATTATTCAGTGCACATTGTCTGAGAAGAACTATTCCATAACTTTTCAAGATAACTTTTGGAAGGTAAATATTATTTCTGTTTTGGTAGTAAAAGCTCTGTAATGATCCATTCTTTTAAATATGATGTGAGCCAAAAGAAACAAAGTGCACATAAGCAGACAGAATAAAGTTACATTTCATACAGAAACTTTAAACCTCTTATGGTGCAGTCCTGTGGAGATGCCTGTAACCCTCTGAATTTAAAGGGTCAAGGGCATCCTATGTGTGGCAGGTCACTTCTGCTCTCCTCTTGCTCTAGATAGATTACTTGCAAGCAGTCCTTCGAGTTCAATTTTGGTTATCTGAGGTGTGCTGCTTTAGAGAAGAAGGGAAGGGGGCTGAGATGGCACTGGGATATACTCTATCTTGATGGTACCAATTTCTTTCCCTCCCTTCCCACTGGAACACCCCCAAAGCCCCCCACTAATGTTACTTTTATGACCACAGAGAAGCAGCCGGTGCAGTTCTTTATGTACCAGCTGTGAAAAAGAAACTTCAAGCACTGATTCTCAGCAGTGAGCAGATAAATTTTCTGACCTCATAGCAGGGAAAATGAAAAATCCTATGGCTGTTTAGGCTCTGTCTAATGGCCATAGAATTGATTGATCCAATCCTTATGTTTGGTTGGTAGAACTTACAAGCAATGGCTAGTATTGCAGAAATAGCTATTTCTGTCTGTTAAAATTTAAAAGGTAGTGCAGTCTTGGAGAAGTCTCCTGAATTTGGAAAAGCTTACTTTGTAGTGACTTGACTCTTGTAAATGGTGACCACACTTCTGAGACTGGTTATCCCAACTCCTCCTCCAGTTTTACTTAAATTTATGGATGTTAAATCACTGCTTCTGGATTTGAAGTTATCTAATAATGTAGCATCTCCCAAACGAAACCAATAGGGGCACAGTTGAGCACTCTTACTAGGTAAATTTGACATGTAATCCATCCCAGTGCTAATGTAGATTTTGGTACACTTATTGTCAATACAAAAGTAATATACAATGTTAAGAAAGTAAGTAGGATGATAGCTGTTTGAGTCAACTGAGCAGTATTTAGCTTGTTGCTTATTTTCTATTTATGCTTCATATAGGGTTTGTCAATGAGGCAAATCAGATTCCGGTTCGATGGGCAGCCCATCAATGAAACAGATACACCTGCACAGGTAAAATTGAATCTAGTGAAAAATTCCTAGACAGAAAAACAAGGGTACAGATATTAACCAAAGAGTGGTTTAATACTAGACCTTATTTAAACTGTCATCTTTGTCACCAGATAATGCTGATTTAGAAAAAAATTGGTAATCCTCCTGTATGTAAAATATTTGTTCAGTTATTTGTTAAATGCAACTATTTCATTTTTTCTAATACTAGTGTGCCACAGTCATACACGCCTTAGTTATATACCATTTAGACTGCTGCATGTGCTGTTCATGGAACTGCCTTTGAAAACTGTTAAGAACCTTCAGTTGGTCTGGAATGCTGCAGCCAGACTGTTGACTGGGGCTGATCACAGGAAACACACAACTCCCTTGTTACGCCAGCCTCGTTGCTGGCTGGTCTGTTTCCAGACAGGATTCAGGTTATGGCCTGAATCCTGTACAGCTTGGGACCAAGCTACCTGAAAGACTACCGTATAAGCCTGTGTGGTGCTTAAATCTTTGGGAGAGGCCATTCTTTGAGACCATCACTTTCAGAGGTTGCATTGGAGAAGAAGAGGCAGGAAAACCACTCTGCACAGAGTCCTAGATCTGACCCATTGAGTCTGAGAAGTCCCAATATATGTTAGAAGTAAAACAAACCTCACTTTCTAAAATACTTGTGAATGAGTTAATTGTTCAGCAGAAAACAGGGTATCACATTCATGCTGCCAGAGTTAGTGTTAGATTCTGAGGCTCTTCTTGTGTTGGGGTTTATTTACTTATTTATTGGTCATAACAAAAATGCCATGTTTGAATTGAAAGATGTGTTATAATGTGAGTTTAATTTCTAACCTTTTTACAGTTGGAAATGGAGGATGAAGATACAATTGATGTGTTCCAGCAGCAGACAGGAGGAGTGTACTAAAAGAGAGAACCAAACTTCCCTTCCCACAGACAACACATTCACAATTAGAAAAGCAAGACTCGGTTCAGCCACCTCTTGACTACTGCAGTATAGCTTTCTCTCTTCTTTTATTTCTTTTCCTATTCCTTCTATTGTACATAAAGTAACTGGTGTATGTGCACAGACATGCATATTTTTTTTAACTAAATGGCCAATGGTATGTTTTGATCAACATCATATGGAGATGGGGTGGTAAAAACAAACTGGTCTGTGAAAATACCCCACGTCTCCATTAGTGGCATGCTCTTCTAACTTTTATCTTTATATTCCAGTAAGTTATTTTGCTCTCATTGTTGGAAAAAAACAAAACCTTGCATACCTTATTTGATTGGATAATTTCAATGTTTTTCTTTTATCGTTGTACAACCAAGGACGATTTTATAACTTTTTTGTACGTAGCTGTTACATGTAGAGCAATCTGTCTTTAAGTAGGGGTAAATTACTCTAAACAAAAAAATGATCTTGGATAGTTTTCCCTTCCGTCTTGTTGTTTAAATAAACTTCTTGTTTAAAATAAACAGCTTATTTTTCTCTGCCATTATAACACTGAGCTTTGGACCAGTCGGCTGCTGTGGTATATGCCAAATCCATGAGTTGCCTGCTGTTTCATCAGATTGCATACCTAGTTATTGTGCTTCCTTCTACTGTCTAGACTAGGAGAAAATTACCATCAGCAGGGAGACTGACCTGCAGTATTTGTGTTAAGGGCTTTGGGAATACCTTTTCCTCCATTTGAAATCCTGGATAGTCATGAGGTTTTTAATGTAAATGACCAGGGTGAAAAGTTGTTTGATTTATTTGCAGAACTTCAGACTTTAAAAAAACCTCAGTTGCATGTACATTTTTTCTGCATCTATAATTGGGCGGCTGCCTTGAAAAACTAAACATAATACTGCTTATCTGTAATCAGGTTTTCTCCCATTATGTTTTAGTGATGAATATACCTCCATACTTGCTTTTGCCATTTGGTGGCTGTCTCCCTACTCCCTGTGGTAGAAGTGCTGCCAGGGTTTGGGGAGTTCTGCTTTTTTCCTGTACTGCTTTACTGTTCTGAATTGCAAAATGCATCTTGCCTGCCATTAGTTTTGTGAGAGAAAACACAAGATACCTTTGCCCCATAGAGACAGCTACAGATTTGGACTGGGGAAAAGGCATAGGAGAAAAGTGGATAAAACACCTTTTCAAGGGCCACTCTTCCAGGCCTCCAAGCAGCTTAATGGGGCAGCTTAGTAAGACATGAAGCCTTAAGAAAACTTGCTCATGCAATTCCTATGTTATATCTAACTTGGCTAGCATAGGATGTGCTAATAGAACTTGACCTGTGAAATACAGAATCCTGCTCTATTTAATAAATTGATATTAAATTATCTAAATGGGATAAAATTATATTAATGATGGAGGGTAAAAAATACCAGGGAATCCTCAAATGTGTCTTGCATATTGCTTTAAAGGCATGCTATTATCAAAGACAATGGTGTAAGTCGTCATGAATAAGGATTCATTTTAGAAATAATGCAGACATAGTGATTGGCTTCAATCAGTCATGTGAACAGCACAGCATCAGGGTTTTAGTATTAGTGTGAAGGCACAGCCAGTGCTCTCATCACTGGAAAAATAGCCATTTGGTGGCTGTCTCCCTACTCTTGGTACAACTCTGATGTAATTAAAATTGGCCTTGGGCATCAGAGGCCAATTTCAGAGTACAAGACCATTGAAATTGGCTTTGTACCCTGATGCACCTCATCCCTTCTGGACCTTTGTATGTAAACTTGCCAGTCAAAGATCATAGTCTGACAGAGGTGAGGCATCTGGCACATCCTTCAAAACTGATCTTTGTGTTGCTTTCTGGAAATAGAATTGCAACAGAAAGCATGTGTCCTGCTTCTGATACTAAAGCTTGTGTATTGAGCTGCCTCAGATGAATTGAAAGGGGAAGCAGAAGAGGAGCTTCTAGTAATGTTAATCTGTTTTAGGTGGATAATGTCTTGGTGTTATTTGGATACTAAGATGTGTAAATGAACAATTTTACCATTCTTCTATTAGAGGCTACATTTATTGCAAAGTTTACCTTCATCTCAACCTGCATTTCTATCAACAACATTGAGATTTGAGTGTATCGCATACTGTTTAACTCCCTTTTTAATAAAGAGCTACCATAAGAAGAAAATACTTTTTTTAAAAAATGCATTTTCTGCATTTGAGAGCGCAGTGAAGCCACCTGGCAGCATGTAGGAATGTGTTTCTGAATTACTCAGTCTGAAGAAGTTTACTGAAGTCTTGAATAAAAGGTAATTGTATAAATGGCAGTATAACAGCTTGAGATTTTATGTTCCCATTGCTGGAATGGAGTTAAGCGCATTTGCATTTGAGAAATGATGCACACCCTGCCTTCTGCATGTTTGCATTCTGCATTTTCAGAGCTAGCTAGCAAATACATACTTTATTAGATAAGCAAAATTAGGTAAGCAAAAGGGCGATATGCATTAAAAAATCCAACCAGTACAAAGATCTAACCACCATTTGGTCTGGAGAATTTCAGAAAATAGGTATCACTTTATGGCAGTGGCAATGGGGCATTAATTTGAGGTATATGCCTTGTTGATACCTTCCATTTTTCTATTTTTATCTATGAAACCTCTAGGATGCTCAGATTCCAAATTTGTTCCCTTGGGCACAAAAGGGAAATTCATGTTAAACATGGAGATTAATTCCCTGTTACCTTCATTTTTCAAACAGTTAAAAGGTTGCGGACTTTCTGGTGTTTGTCATTTAGAGCCACTGCTTGTGAATTTTAACCCCTTGGTTAAGACCAGACATGTTTACAAACAACAAAGAGTTGTGTGCATTGATTTATAGAACAAACATCTTTAACACCAGTAACTAACTTGCAAAGCAGCTGCCTATGTAATTGATTTAATAAGGGTAGGCTGTTGACCAGGTGGGTGCTAGATGCTGAACAAAGCAGGTGTGATGAAAGTTCAGGTGCAATGAATGAGCGTGAAGTAGTGGGTGGATTGTGTTGCGCTTTTCACCTTGTCTCAAGAGTATGAGGCTGCAGAGAATCACATGACAGGGCACAAGAGTAAAGGATGCCAAAGAGGATAATTATCTCAAAACAAGGTGTATGAAATAACAAGATTTCAGGGAGTGCATTGTGAGAGGTGTTTTGACAGGCAATTTCAGTTTCTACTCATTTACTTTAACTGAGACAATCTTGACTCCTGAGCCAACAGGCTGGCTTTTTTGCTGATGCTTAACTCTGCAAGGTTCTCCACCCCCCCAGAAAAAAAAATCCCTTGATTTGGGGTACTGAAAAGGAATGTGCACAGGATAAAGGCTTCTTCCAACAATATGGAGGATCTAGTGTTGCTTAATGCCTCTGCTTAAAATTAATTTTGTGATACCAAGATCCACTGAACATCTTTTGCTAGTGTGATGTCAGAGAAATACTAAGACTGAGTATTTGTTAACATCTCCATCACTAGAAAAGTACAGAGTAATGTCCTTTCATTTATGTCAGAACAAAATATAAGAATCTTGAAGTGCTCTTGAGGTTTTGTTCTGTTTAACATACCTTAAAAAAATCTCAAGTGGCTACATGCGGGGCTCTAGCTTCCAGTAATCTTGTCCTGTTTCTTCCCACTTCCCTTCTCAGCAGGCCTCTGAGCCCCACATGGATCAAATTTAAGAAAGGAAGGGAGTAGGCAGCTAGAGTTCTGCTTTTTAGCATATGCCTGCAGCTAACTAAAAATAAAGGGCCCTGCTATTGACCCAGGTGAGCTTGTTTGGGGGTGGGATAGTTTTGCTGTTTGTTGTTAATAGGTATGTCTTTTGAGAATACTGTGGTTTGTGCATGCATGTTTTTAGAGAAGAGTTTTTCAGCATCACCATTTTTCCTTCAGTGAAATGGTATTGTGCTTTGTGGAAATATTCATGGTTTGGGGCTCAGACTCAATGCCTGCATTTTGCTCACTTCCTTGAACAAATTACTTGTCTTTTCTGGCTAGGCAGCCCTGCGGCCACTCATACCATTACATTTTTTTCAGGTTTCTAAATGTGCCCATAGGCACAAAAACGGCTGGAGACCTATGCCATATTGCTTCATGGCTTCAAACATCTCCCCTCCCTGAGAAAGCATTAGTTTTGATCCCATTTGAAATTGCCTCTGCATTTCTCCTATGGTACATGGAAAATTACTGAAAACTTGTGGAACATTTGAAGAGTGCCTAGGCTAAAACATCTCACAGTATAATAGAAAGTAAGTTTCAATGAGACTTGAGTAACTGTGATAACCTTGCCCAGCCTGGTGCCCTACAGGTAAGTAGGACTACAACTCCCAGCACCAAGTTATGCTAGAACCTGCTGTTTAACAGAGAAATAAACACGCTTATGGTTCTCCCTCAGAACATCCAGGCATAAGAAACTTTGTGGTTCTTTTCCTTCTATTCATGCAGAGGATTTTCTTGGTTTCATAGCCTAGCATGTTGAATAGAGCCAAATACTGCTGAGAGGGATGGTTTAACTTGGATTCCTGAACTGGGTAGGGAGTTGGACCCAAAGGCCCTCTGAGCCCTTCCAACTCTACCATTTTATGCTCAGATTTTACCTGAAGGTTACCTGAAGGAGCGCTTACATCCATATATGCCCGACCGCCCCTTGAGATCTGCGGGAGAGGCCCTTCTCCGGGAACGCTCCGTGAAAGAAATCAGGAGGGTGGGTACTCGGAGGAGGGCTTTCTCTGCGGTGGCGCCCAATCTATGGAATGTGCTCCCCAGAGAGGTCCCCCTGGCGCCGTCGTCATTTGTTTTTCGGCGCCAGGTGAAGACCTTTTTATTTAAACATCATTTTAATTGTTAACAATTTTTACTTATCTGGCCAGGGCAACTTCTTTTCTTTTATAACTTTTCTTTTATAACTTCTTTTATATCGTTTATATTTTTTTATTTATTTTATATTATTAATTTTAATTTTATATTGTTATTTTTGTGTTGTATTGTATTTTATTGTGTTGTAAGCCGCCCCGAGGCTTCGGCAAGGGGCGGCATAGAAATGTTCTAATAATAATAATAATAATAATTTTTCTTTTCTCTGCATCATGGTTGGTATTAATTATTAGGTATTATTTAATTTTTATACTGTCCAGTAGTTAAGGCTTTCTGAGCTGTTAACAAAAGTTTAAATTAAAAGTTTAAAAGATACAAACATTAAAAGAGCAAGCCCAAATTGCACCATACTGCAGCTCGATTGCAACCACGTGAGATATTGTACTGGATTCTTGTACTTCGACTTTTGCTCAGGAAGTGGCGGCCTTGCTGGCTGCATTCAAGTGCTGTTTGGGAGGGGCTTCAGAGAAGGAATGATTGGAAGTAGTGATTTGGTGGTACAGTATTATGTGACGTGCCGTCTTTTGAAACCGGACTCGACAGCTGTTAAGCCTAGTGCGCCGTTGTGTAAGCGAGGTGCCAGGCTTATGCAAGGTTCCCTGGAGGGAATGAAGAACGGTCAGTAGTAATGCATCGTGCCTTGCCAGGCTATGCCACTCCCTATGAAGGGATCCCCTTAAATTGCTATTTCATAAAGAAAGGCCAAGTAAGTTGTTATTGCCTCATGTGTAACCCAGCCAATCCTAGCCCACTTGGTTTGAGTGACAGTCACATCGTTAAATCATAAACAAAGGGGATGAGCGGCTCAGAACAACCAATAAGCGTTAAGTAAAAGTAGCTTTCGACCAGTCGTCTTTCAGTAGAGGGGTTGTCGACTCGACTCCAGCTTTTGGAGGCGGAACAATATCTAGAGTGGCATAAAGCTAACAAATGAGCTTGGGAGAGTGGGTTTGAACTGACCAATAAGATGACTCAAAGAGCGAAGTTATAAAAGGAGCGGCTGGCGCCGGGCAGTTGTCGCCGGCAGCAGCTGAGAGTGGAGGTGCGGAAACATCATCTTCCGCTACCCTCTTACTCGGCGGTTTCTTCACTTGGTTCGTCCCCGCCATGACCACCACGACCACCTACCAGGGGATGGATCCCAGCGGGCGCAGCAGTTCCAGGTTCGTGTGCTTGGACGTGGAGGGCCGGAGGGGAACGAAGGGCTGCGCAGTCCGATTTCCGTGAAACGATGGTGGGGGAGGGAGGACGTGCGCGCCAGGCGAGCGAGCGAGCAAGCACTTGACTGCGTTTTCTGCTCCCCCTTTTCTCTCAGTAGTCTCCGCTTCCTACTCCGCCTTCATCCCTCTTGCGTTATGGGTGGTGCGATCGGACTATGCTCTGTTTCTCCAGGAAAAGGCAGCTCTCTGCAGGGCGAATGTGGGGCGGGGGGGGGGTGTTGCTGCTTCGTAGTCGTCCACTGTCTTCGTCTTGCCACGGGACACGTGGCCCCCCTCATCCCGAGGAGGAAAAGGGGGGACTTCCTTCTCTTTGCCTGGGTGGGTCTCCTGCTCTTTCTCATTCATTGATTCATTCAGTGGGCCGCGGCAAATTCCACCGGCTGGCGGAATCTCGGCCCCTCTCTGCGTTGGCGGCGGCTCTTCCCATCGCTACATAGTGAGCAGGTCGGGGAGGGAGAGGGCCTGGTCGGGGTCTGCGCAGCGCGTATCCCGCGGCTCTGGCGGCATCATCCGCCCCGCTTCCCGCGAGGTCGGCCGGCAGCTGCCGTGGCCTATTGTCACGCTGTGGCTCTGGGCGGTCCACACCCACGTCGCCTCGCGTGCGTGCCTCCGGCGAGCGACAGCCGCCGCCTTCCCGCACCTGCCAGGGCATCCTCCTCTCTCGCTGGAGGCGAGTGCGGGATCGGAGGAACCCTCCTGCCTCTTTAGGCCTCGCTCTGTTCCTTACTTGTGTCGTACATACATCTCTCCCTTGGGCTGTTCCCCTTTGTGCCTTTCGGGAGCCCGGAGCCCAGTGTGCCCACTTCCTCGCCTCGGAGCTTTCCCTGAGCAGCAATGGTGAGATCGACAGACCGGACTGCTTTAGATTTGGGCACTTTAAAGAGTGAGTGGGTTTGCGTATGCATGCGGGGCATGGGGAGAAAGGTCTTGAAAGCCTTCTCTCCGCCCAGCCCAGCTCTGGCTCCACTTTCTGCCCTACCCCCATTTACAAGCTTGGGCTTGGGGGGTGCTTGCACCTGCTTGGAAATCTGTTGTGTGCCTTTTGAACACTGTCCTGTCACAATCCCCTTTCGTTCGCCCCTTCCCAAGGAAACAGGTGGCGGGATGCACTCTATTGCAAGGCAGAGACGGCATGCGACTGGCACAGCGCAGACCTGTCAGTGCGCCTCTGCCCTCAAGTCTAACAAAGGAAGCGTCTGGCCCTCCCTGATCCACCTCGCAGCCGAATTAGATGCTCTCGGGCTCTTCTGCATCAGCCCTGGCACAGTTGGCTTGCTTCCTGCTTTTGCCTGGGCTTGCCCTTCTCGCTCACAAATGTCTGGCACCACTCCTGTAAGTGATCCTTCTTACTGGGTGGGGCTTGAGCACACTTCCATTGTCTCACATCTGTGGCCATCTCTACCTGCTAACTCCAGGCTTACAGCCTCTGCACAGGTCAGCAACTTCAGCTGACAACCTCTGCAAAGCCGTCCCCATCTTGGTCCAACTTTTGCCTGTCAGTGGAACTTCAAGCCAGACATGCTAGGAGTGAAGGTGTACGAAGCTTATTGTACACTGTTGCTTTAAGTGGATTAGATCCTTAAGCATGTGCTGGCCATGGAGCTGCTCCTGAGTATCTCTTCTCATGGTCAAACCCCTGCAGTTGTTGCATTGGTTGATCACAGGTCGTGAGCTCGTGGTGGGTGGGAGATGGTAACAGCAGACCTATCTCAAAAGGTGGTATCATAGAAAAGCCTGATATTGGAACAAAGAAACTTGGCATTTTCAGTTGCATTGGGAAACTGAGGTGGTAAATGGCTGTTCTATAGAAGCACAAAACAAAGGCCTGTGGCTGCTGTGTGTTTTTATAAAATGACATTTGTTGTTAATTTTGTTTGAATTGTTATTTATTTTGCGGCTATTGTTGTCGTCATTAGAGTTTCTGATTTTTTCTTTTTTATTTTAGTTTTCTGTTACAAGTTTTGTTTAAAAAAATAAGAACTAATACCCTTAATTTAAAGGAATGCAGAGGCAAGCTTTTTCATATAATGGTCTTGAATTTGCTTCTCTGACAGCCGCTTCCCATGTTGTTGTCACCATCTTCTCCTCTCTCAGCACAAGTCCAACAGATTATAGGCGGTTTGTCTGCATTTTCTCCCTTCCCTGCTGCTGTCAGATTGGTCTTCCCATGGCTGTACAAAATGTCAGTGTAGCCACAAATCAGGAAAATAAGAAAACAGTATGTGCTGTTGGGGGATTTTTTTTTCAGTTCCTCATTTCCCTTGACATGGAATTAGGCAGCATAACCAATTATAGGATTTTGGGAACTGTAGTCCTGCAACATCTGGGGAACCGCACATTCCCGGTGCCTGCTGTGGTTGGATGAACTTCTGTGATACATTGTTGTAAAGAAGACTAACATAGCTATTTTCTTGAACTGTATTTCAAGCATCAGTGAGACTGAGGGAAGTGTGAATGGTGCTGAGGAAACCAGGATGAGGTTACACTGTAAATCGCATTCTTTTTCACAGATGGAATCAGGTAGATGCTCATTTTTTGTTAGTTCTGCTTAAGCCTTGCCCTATGGACTTCAAAAAAAAAAAAAAACTCTTAAAGTACAGTTGGCCTTGCATCTCATTTCAGAGCTAACAGAAGTTGTAATATACAACTAGACAGGTGAATAAGGATAGCCTCCAGGCAAAAAATCCAGGAAGCTTATCTACTCAGTCTCAAAGACATGCTATCATTCTGCCTTGAATGACTGACATAGTGTAGCGAACTGTGTTTGCGAAATAGATCTATATCTATATATAATAGTAACATCTGATGACTATTTGCAAAGCATACAGAAAGTTTGTAAACTTTAGTATGTTAACACTTAAGGTTTTTTTTTCTCCCAGTGTTGTCTTATTAACTTTTTTAGCTATGATACAGCAGCTTGCAATTAAATCTACAAGAGGGTATAATTAGGGATGCATGGGGGGTGTTTACAGTAATCTCTTCTGGTCCTTGTAGTTGATATCCAAAAGCCCGCCAGAGGAGGTGGGTGTAAGGAGCTATAGATTCACTTGGGAGCTTGCTGAATGTAAAAAATGCCAACCTGCAGAAGCTATCCTTTTTTCTCTTCTTTTATCAGACTGTGCTGCAGAGTTGTTCCCAGTGCAGCATGAAATGTCCTTACATAAAAAGGATTTGCCTGTAGGAATTGTATACTTCCACTTGAGATCTCTGATGATGATGCACAACTGGGTTGCTACATGTACACTTAGGACAACCAGACAACATCCTAAATTCATATTGCAAGAAAATGATGGTAAAACACTTAGATTCATATTGAAAAACTGCTTCCTTTAGAAAGGATTCCAGTGTTTTCTTTCCCTTTTCTCTTTGTGCTAAAAATGGGGTTTCCCCTGCCTGCCAGTTGTTAATCTTATAGTGCTACATAGTCCTTAATTTTAATATTTAGCTTATTCTTTATTTTAATTCAGTAATCGCCTTTATAATGAAAATGTAGATCACTTTTAAATTGCTTGTGTTCTGATCAGATTTGTAATAATGCAGTCTATGGATGAGCCAAAAATTATACTTTGCCACATTGTTTTTATACTAATTAGTTCAAAAAGTGGCCATAGTGAAATAAACTGTTAATAATTGCGCAATCCAGGTTTTCTGTTTGGGCCAGAATTTGCTTTGGCACCAAGTTCAAAGGACTCTTAAATCCTCTGAACCATTGTTATGAGTAAGGAAGATATGCTCCATTTCCACAAAATGAGCTGATCAAGAATTAGGAAAGATCAGTGACTTTCATGCTGTCCTGGTGAGATGCCATGGTTATAGTTTTGGATCTGGGTGAAGAAGCATCTCTCCGTAACTTATGCTCACCTTGCTTGCTAGCCTTGCAGTGTGGAAAATTATACTGGAAGGTAGAGCATTGTAGTCTGAAGTGTTAGTCATCAGTTAGGTCACCATCCTAGAGGCCCGGAGAGGGTGTCCCAGGGTTCACAGGATTAAAAGGATACCCTCTCCAGTCTAGGAGAAGATGATTCTGTCCTCAGGTCTCAGCCAAAAAAGGGCATGCCGGAGCAGAATGGGGGATCTACTGGATCCAGAGCCCTTCCACTCCTTTCCCTTCACCCCAGAATGGGAGAGAAAGTATGTAGTTGCTGTAGTTACTTTCCCTCATCTTCTCAGTTGGCTGTGTGGTTCCCAGAAGGCCCTGATGGTTGCTCTACCTTGTGTTTCTCTGTCACCTTCCAGCCACTTTTGACTTATTCAACCCACCTACTTCATCTGTTAAGATCTGCATGTCATGCCATTGCTGTGCTTGTAGCAGTCACAGACAGGCCACCTTGGAAACCATCTGTCTGCCTGTGAAATTATTCTGGAACTCTTCTTTGTCACAGTCTTTTAACCACCACACCCACCCCATAAAGCTCCATCAACACAGCCAGGATTTGTTTGGTTCCTTTGTCTTTTGGACTTACTAGGTACACATATAACTACCTAGGTGCTTCTGAAGAATAGAACTTGTACTGTTTTCTCCAGTCTGGTTGTCTCTGTTTGTGCCCCAAAGTGGGGCACTCAATGAACTGTGAGTGCCCCACTTTGGGCAAGTCTTCCAAAATGGCTTTTAGCGTACATTGCAAATAAACTAACTTGATTCCTGCCTCCATCTTTCCGAATGGAGTTATGAGTCCTCATGGCCCACCGTGTGGCCATAGATAACAATTCAACTGGCAGTAAGTGCTTCGGTCATCAGGGCTGGCCTAACGAGATGTTCCTGGCCTTTTCTGTCTTTTACGTATAGTGGGAAATAAACTATTTTGAAATGGGCTAAAAGTATACCATGCATTCTAATTACAGGCAGGCAGAAGGTAGGTTTTCAGATGTTTTGAATATAGTAGCTTCTGCCAGAATGGCTAATGGTCAGAAATGCTGGAGCTTTGCCTTCTGCCTGCCCTGTCAAAGGTTATATAGTGGCTTTCATGCCATTATATATGGCATTATGCTCTCTCTTGTGATCTTGCTGCAACTAAATCTTGCTGCAACTTTCTTTCTAGGGTTCTTCGCCCACCAGGTGGTGGTTCCAATTTCAACTTGGGATTCGATTTGCCAAAAGAGCAGCAGGGAACAAGAAGGAACAAGATGGCATCCAGTATCTTTGGAACTCCGGAAGAGAATCCACCTTCCTGGGCCAGGTCAACAGGTGAAGCTACTTTCACAAAGGGATGCCCGTGCTTAAACATCTGGATATGGATGTAATGATGCTTCTTGAGGTTGCTTTGGAGCTGTAAAATGTGGGGTGGGAGTGTGCCAGCCAGTTAAAAAATAACTGGACTGGGGAGAACTTCATGTGTTTCAGGCTCATTCATACTAATATAAGAATGGATGGGTGGAAAACACCAAGACTCTTCCTCATTTTGTTACAGGTTGGGCAGTGAAATTTCTGGGTGTTGCTCCAACATGTAGCAGCAGTAATAGATGTTGAGCAGTTGTCTGCCTCAGCTTGTCTTATTGACAATCACCACATTTATTTATTTATTTATAAATAAATGAAATTTGTATGCCATCCAATTACTTGCATCTCTGGATGGCTTACAACATAGGTAATTTGACAACCCACTCTGGCTGCAAGTTAATAAAATACAACAATAAAATTCAATATTAAAATATACTAAAATATTGATTAAATAAAAACGTCTTAACCTGGCACCAAAAAACATATAATGATGGCACCAGGCGTACCTTTCTGGGAAGCGCATTCCATAGTCGGGGCGCCACCGCAGAGAAGGCCCTCCTCCAGGTACTCTGTCTCCTAATGTCTTTCACAGAGGGTTCCCGGAGGAAGGCTTCTGTTGCCGATCTCGGGGTGGGAGGGCAAATATTATATCCCTTGGCAGAGGGACATGTTCCAGCCTGATAGATGCAGACTACTGATAGACCAGCCCCAGACCTTGGCACAGAAGCACATCAGCGGCTACGCCAAATGTTGAATAACTGCACAGTCTTCTATAGGAATTGTGGAAATGTTAGTGATAGATGTAGTGAATAAATACTAGTTAATATGTCAACTGCTGCTATGGTAACTACTGGATTGCTTGACCTCCATTGTGTGTCACCCTAGAAATCAGGATTGGGAAGTGTGTGGCCCTTGAGATGTTTTTCCACTGCCACTCCATCAGCCCTAGCCAACATAGACAATGGTGAGAATTGTAGTTCAACATCTGGAGGGCCACATATTTCCCAGCCCTGCTATAAATGAAAAAGATAGTATATAGTTCTGAGACAGAATAGGTCAAGTTAGTAGTTATTCTAGCACCAACTAATAAAATTGTATAAAAAGACACACTTGGCTAGAAAGCTAGCAGATGTTCAGCATTCCAGAATTGTTCATGTGGGGAGGGGTTGGGATCTCTGTTATTCTTTCAAAGGCAGGTGCATGTTGTTTGGGAGAAGTTAGATGCCACTGATTTGTGCTTGGAAATATATATGATGCTTGATGTAGGTGCTACATTGACAAATGTATTTACAGCAGCCAAGTCCAGTGATGTCAGTGAAACTTCTGAAGAGCTTGGGACACAAAGGACAGATTCTTCTGATCTGAACTCTGGTGACTACGTAGATCCAAAGGTAAGATCTGCTTTCCTTTTGTTGTAATAAGAGGATGGTGGGAAAACTCTGCTAAACCTTAGGAATACCGCTTTATGGGATTAGATCCAACATAGTCCTAGCAAATGTTCTCTGGCATGATAAGACTTTGTCCCCCTTTCTCTATGCGATTTGAAAATGTGCTTTGGAGGATTTTCCATCCCCCTAGAGCTGTTCTTGTGGGGGGAACTGATTCCATCAAGAGACTGACACCACTCCCTCTCTCACTCTGTGTCCTTCATTCTTTATAGTAATTTCACTAGGATTTATCTGAGCTCTTGATAGAGGATTAAAACTCAAGCAAATGGCTGAAAAGACTGGCTTTGTTGTCATCTGGTGGTGGTCTCAAATGATATGACTAGTATAATACAGCTATCTCCTACCCAATGCTGTCCTGACAATTTGGACTACAACCCCCATCAGTTCTACAAAGCAAATAGTCAGGAATTCAGACTATTCAGCAAATAGTCAGGAATTCTCCTCATCTGGAAAGCACCAGAATAAGGAAGACTGGCATTGTAGTTTGTAGTCTTTGGTATGAGAGTGTTAGGTGAGCTTGCATTTCATTGGTGAATACAGCGTTTGCTTCTTCACTTGAGAAGTGATTGTTGTGACACCACTCAGGGCATGTGTGCCGCTACGTGTATGTAAAGGTCTATTACAGCTTCTTGGGTGGAAGGTGTTGGAAGGGAACCTAGAATCACGGCCAGTCGCAGTGCAACCTGTGCGACTTGCCAGGAGTCTGTCATACGGGTTGGTCGCGGAAGATGGCCTGTGACGCTTCCATAAGATGTGTTGCGAATCACTGCAGGACTGGTTTTCTTGCTTTCTGTTGAGATTACTAAGCATACTAAATTCTCAGATCTCAGTCATGGTGCTCCATGTTTCTACAATGCATATTCAAAAATCTGAACCACTCAAATTGGAGGACTTTAAATCACCAAACATACAGCAGGACACTCGTATTCCTAATCTGAAACAGCGAATAATAGTGAGCACTATATAGTATACATATACATTTCTTTTTTCACAGTTTGATGTGTAGATGTATTCTTATCCATCCTTGCAACCTCAGCATAAGATTTCTCTCTTTCCCTTTTAAATCAAGAATTTTCTCTTAAAAAGAAGTCATAAAGTACTTTCTTTTGGACCAAGGTCAGCCACAGTTAACTGAAAAGGCAGTAACTGAACCAGCAGATACAGGGGTCCTACTGTTACTAGTACATCTTCAGGCATGAATATGTTACTATTTATAGAAACATAGAAACACCGGGCCATCTAGTCTGACCCCCCGGCTCCAGTTGGCTCTGGTCACGACATGCCCACCATGTGCATGTCCAGCTTATCTTTGAACACCCTCACCAATGTGGTCTCAACCACCTCTCGTGGAAGCCCATTCCACACCCTCGGGGTCCTAACGGTCAGGAAGTGCTTCCTGGCATCCAAATGTAACCTTGTTTCCCTGAGCTTGGCTCTGTTGGAGCACGTTCTGCCCTCCTCTGCAGGGGAGAACAGGTCTCTGCCCACCTCCGTGTGACACCCCCTCACATACCTGTATTTATTCTTGAAAGTGGGCGTTGCTGCCCACTAACATAAGCTGGGTGTGAACATTTTTTTCCTTTTTCATAAAGCTAAAAGTCAGAGTCATCCCATGAAGATGATGGATGGGAGATTCTGAACAGATAGAAGGAAGCACTTCTTTGCACAAAGAAGTACTTTGCAAAAGCTAAGCTATGGAATTAATTTCTGCAAGATGGAATGGTCACCATCAAAGTGGACGGTTTTAAAGGAGGATTCAAATCCATGACTGAGAAATTGCTTTTTCTGAGAAACCTCAGATGGTAGGCTTGTTACCAAGCTGCAGTAGCAGAGGTTGCTTGGGAGCAGTTCTGATACAGGGATGTGTAGTGGTCTAGGAGTAGTGGAACTGTGGTGGATTATCTGAGGCCAAAGTTACAATGGTGTGGATGTCTCACTGGGACTTTTTAAATCTAAATGTGCATAGGACTGTGTATAGACCCTTAACATGACTGCAGTTGATGTTGGGCAGCTCCGTTTCAAGAGCATGCACATCCTCAACGCTTGCCCTCAGCATGCTTGGTGGAAGCCAGCTTCAGTGGGTTGAGCATTCCCACCGGTCTTGACCTCCATACCCCCCTGGAGCCTGAACAAAAGCGCCGCCTTGGGGACCGTGTTGGAAGGGTGTCTTGTAGAGACGCCGACTAATATTTGAACAAGTCTACGAGGGGCTCGAAGGAGGCACAGCCTTTACTTTTCCCGGGGAGAAATGAGAGAAGGGATGCGGGGGGGGGGAGGCAGGTGAAAAGTGCAGGGCTGCCAATGAGGGTGCTTAAGCTCATGGCAGCAAACTGCAGATTGCTTTTGCGAAGTGGAACTCGCACTTAGCCATGTGTGTAGCATATCCTTATTTATGCACCAGGTTTTATTCTCTCATGTCATATTTCAGTTTAAACTATTGGAGTAGCTCAGTTCATGGAATTTTCTCCCAAACTTTATGGATTTGTTTTATTTATGTACTTCAACATTATGCTTACCTGAAATACGCCTTTTAATTATATTGCTGTTCATTTGGAAGTGGTGAGAGGATTTGGGCAGGCTTCTGCAAATGCAGCATATAAATAAATTGATGACGAGACTCTCTGCCTGTATAACCACAAGCATTTAAAAATTGTCTTTAAGTGAGATTTTGGATCCTCGTGGTTCAGCAATTCCTTAATGATCATTTATGCTAATTGTGCGGATGTGCTGTTTGTTAGATCTCCTGTGGGCAACAAGCAGGTCACTTGCGACTCTGGGGCGTTTCCTGTAGCCCGCCAATTGGAGGGCCCCCATCACTCACCACTCTAAATGTGCCTCTGTTCTCCTGCAGCCCAAAGTGGACTTTTAAAAAATCCCACCATACTCTGGTTTCTCTCCCAACAGCTTCCTGTTGAGAAAGCACCATGAAGTAATTTTGTGTAGAGTAGCCATCATTCCTCTCCAAACAAGGATTGAAATGCCTTCCCTTCCCAGGGAGGGCAAATAACTGGGGAACAGAAGGCTTGCCCGTTCTTTCCCTTCCAAATCCGTGAAGATCCTCTTCACCCATGGGAGGATCATACAGAGAGAGCACATGCATCTGTGTGAAAGCATCCATGTGGGACTGGCTGTGTGTGTGTTTGTGGTGATGTGAAGTTCATGTGCTGCCCACTGCTGTCAGTATGTAGCCCCAGGAGTGGGGAGCACAGCTGTTCTAGCTATTGATCTAGACTTTTGCTTTATAGTTGAATCTGCTTCATTAACTGGCATATGGTATCTCTCAAACTCCTTTTCTGAGTATCAGTCTTGTGCTTAAGAAGGAAATAAATTCTCTTAGGAATGATTGAAAGGGCTGGATATGGTCCATCTGAAGATGTGAGAGCTGTCTATTTCAGAGAGTCTCCTGCAGAAAATGGTTCTTGTTCTCTGGTTCTCCAGAAGGCAGGACTAGACCAGACTGTTGGAACCTTCAGGAAGTTATTTTTGTGAAGTATGAAGAGGAATTTCTTAACAGCTGTTCAGTAGTGGAACTGATTATCTCAGGAAGTGGTGGGCTTTCCTTCACTGGGGCTAGTTCCGCGGAAGTATTTACAGCATCCATTAGGGATGCCGTGACTATGCCTTGTGCTGCAGAGCAGCATTGATGAAGGGGTTGGACTAGATGAACTCTAGGGACATCCCAACTTCATGATTCTTTAGTGCTCAGAAAACCACTATCCATGCAGGTTTGCCTTTTGATTCAGAATAAGCTAGTTCCTCATGATACAGCAGAATTCCTTGATCCCAGTAACATCTGACTGGAAGAAGGGAGGATTAAAGCAGTAAATTACATACAGTATATCACAGAAATGAGTACACCCCTCACATTTTGTAACTATTTTATTATATCTTTTCATGTGACAACCCTGAAGAAATGACACTTTGCTGCAATGTAAAGTAGTGAGTATACAGCTTGTATAACAGTGTAAATTTGCTGTCCCCTCAAAATAACTCAACACACAGCCATCAATGTCTAAACCGCTGGCAACAAAAGTGAGTACCCCTAAGTGAAACTGTCCAAATTGGGCCCAGAGTGTCAATATTTTGTGTGGCCACCATTATTTTCCAGCACTGCCTTAACCCTCTTGGGCATGGAGTTCACCAGAGCTTCACAGGTTGCCACTGGAGTCCTCTTCCACTCCTCCATGATGACATCACGGAGCTGGTGGATGTTAGAGACCTTGCGCTCCTTCATCTTCCGTTTCAGGATGCCCCACAGATGCTCGATAGGATTTAGGTCTGGAGACATGCTTGGCCAGTCCATCACCTTTATCCTCAGCTTCTTTAGCAAGGCAGTGGTCGCCTTGGAGGTGTGTTTGGGGTCGTTATCATGTTGGAATACTGCCCTGCGGCCCAGTCTCCGAAGGAGGGGATCATGCTCTGCTTCAGTATGTCACAGTACATGTTGGCATTCATGGTTCCCTCAATGAACTGTAGCTCATGCAGCCCCAGACCATGACACTCCCACCACCATGCTTGACTGTAGGCAGGACACACTTGTCTTTGTACGTCTCACCTGGTGGTCGCCACACAGACTTGACACCATCTGAACCAAATAAGTTTATCTTGGTCTCATCAGACCACAGGACATGGTTCCACTAATCCGTGTTCTTAGTCTGCTTGTCTTCAGCAAACTGTTCGTGGGCTTTCTTGTGCATCATCTTTAGAAGAGGCTTCCTTCTGGGACGACAGCCCTGCAGACCATTTTGATGCAGCGTGCGGCGTATGGTCTAGCACTGACAGGCTGACCCACCACCCCTTCAACCTCTGCAGCAGTGCTGGCAGCACTCATACGTCTATTTCCCAAAGCCAACCTCTGGATATGACACTGAGCACGTGCACTCAACTCTTTGGTCGACCATGTCGAGGCCTGTTCCTGGGTGGAACCTGTCCTGTTAAACTGCTGTATGGTCTTGGCCACCATGCTGCAGCTCAGTTTCAGGGTCTTGGCAATTTTCTTATAGCCTAGACCATCTTTATGTAGAGCAACCATTCTTTTTTTCAGATCCTCAGAGAGTTCTTTGCCATGAGGTGCCATGTTGAACTTCCAGTGACCAGTATGAGAGAGAGAGAGCTATAACACCAAATTTAACACACCTGCTCCCCATTCACACCTGAGACCTTGTAACACTAACAAGTCACATGACACCAGGGAGGGAAAATGGCTAATAATGCCCAATTTGGATAGTTTCACTTAGGGGTGTACTCACTCTTGTTGCCAGCGGTCTAGACATTGATGGCTGTGTGTTGAGTTATTTTGAAGGGACAGCAAATTTACACTGTTATACAGGCTGTGTACTCACTACTTTACATTGTAGCAAAGTGTCATCTCTTCAGTGTTGTCACATGAAAAGATATAATAAAATATTTACAAAATGTGAGGGGTGTACTCACTTCTGTGATATACTGTAGATTTACCAGTGAGCAGCCATGTTTGTGAGTCTGTGACCTGCAAATATCCACTTAATTGGCTTGCAACTGGTTTATTTCTTGGAGGGCAGTTCTCTTATGCCACAGTAGTCTGCTTAGGAATTAGTAGTCCAATAAATTGGAACATGCATGTTCTTCTTGATGTTGTTTTCATAATACTCTGAAATGTTTGATCTGTCAGTAAGTGGGGGTTCTTTTATAGACAATTCAGCCTAATTATTAAATTGGCTTGGATGGGAAAGCAATAGGTGTTAATTGGTGCAACAAAAACAGGGAATAACATTGTGTTATTTTTTTTGCTTTCAGGGAAGGGAAAGTGAGGCTCCTGGTAAGTACCTTTTAGCCTGATACCTCTAAAGAAGCCTAGAACTATAAGGGGGAGAGAGAGAGAGAAACCAAACCCCCCTCTAGCTGGAGAGGAGATAAACTGACTTGAATGCAAGAGCTATATTTTATGCTTTACGGTTTTAAGAGGCTCTGGATGGGACCTGCAAATCACCTGACAGATCTGCCCGTCAGTTCTGTAGGTCTGATATTAGGTAACACAATATACAACATTCCTCAGTTCTATTCCTGAGAAAATTGACATTTGTCTTTAAGTCACATTTGTATGTAAGTTGAATCACATACAGTCGGCCCTCCACATTCGCAGGGGTTAGGGGCACAGGATTTTCACGAAAGTGGAAAAACCATGAATATCTCTACCCTGCCTAAACTGACTAGTCCTTCTCTTTGCATCAGGGAAGTGCCAGAGGGCTTTCCCTCTCTCAATGGGCAGGTCAGGAAGGGGTGCTCTGGAGGCCTCTCTTTCTCCCCTTTCACTCCCCCCTCCCCCCCCTCTCTCTCTCGGCCTTAACTTGAATTTTAAATTAATAGGTTTTATGGCAGTTCATTTATAAGTGCAGATGGTTTATAACTTGGACATTTGTAACCCAGAGACTGCCTTGATTGATTGATTGATTGATTGATTGATTGATTGATTGAATTCATTCATTCATTCATTCATTCATTCATTCATTCATTCATTCATATACCTGTCTAGTAGTCCATATCTGGTGTCTCTGCGTGACTTACAATATCAAAACACAATATTCTAAAATCAGGAACCATAAATCAACATATTCAAAACATATTAACACATCCAAATATAAAAGATAATATATCAAAATTATAAAATATTAAATAAATCAATTTAAACTAAAATCCACTAAATCCAAACATAGGTTCAATTTTAAAAGCAGTAACCATTAAAACCCATTGTTAATATAGCCAGAGAAAAGGTGAGTCTTTGCCTGGCACTGAAATGCTTCCAGCGTCCATGCCAGGAGCAGCTCTCTAAAAACCCTATTCCAGAGGTGGGGCGCAACTGCTGAGAAAGCCCTTCTTTTAGCTAACATCCCCCTCACCTCCTAGGGGATGGCTCCCTAAGGAGGACCTTTTAGCTTGATCTTAATGGATGGGTAGGGACATATGGGAGCAGATGATTCTTTAGGTACCCAGGACCCAAACCATTTAAGGGTTGGTGTAAGTAAGTACAACCACTTTAAATTGGACTTGGGCTCCCACTGGTAGCTAGTGTAGTTGGTATACTGATAAAACTGATACACTGTGGGCTCATGGACTAGTTCTCGTCAACAATTGCATGGCACTATTTTGAACCAGTTGGAGTGTCTGGACTGTCTTCAAAGGCAGCCCCATGTAAATAATCAAACTGGAATGTAACCAGGGCATGCGTAACAGTGGCTATGTTTTGTCTGTTGAGATATGGCTGTAATTGGTAAATTAGCCACAGTTGGAAGAAGATGCTCCTGGCTCCTGAGACTTGGGTAAGAGTTTTGGATTCAGGAGCACCCCCCAAACTGTGGACCCTGTCCTTTAGGGGGAGTTCAACCCCGTCCAGGGCAGGGTGTAAGCCATTCAACCCATCCAGCTGACCACCGGCCAAGAATACTTCTGTCTTGTTTGGATTGAGCCTCAGTTTATTGGCCTTCATCCGGTTCATTACTGAGTTTAGGCACTGGTTCAGGACAGACACAGCCTCACCTGGGTTTGATGTAAACAAGAGGTAGAGCTGAGTATCATCAGTGTACCGTGCTCTGAGCCCAAACCTCCAGAAGACCCCTCCCAGCTGTTTCATGTAGACATTGAAGAGCGGGGGGGGGCAGTATAGAGCTCTGCTGACCCCCATGGCATAACCCCCATGGTGCAGAGCAGCTGGTTCCCAGCACCAGTTTCTGGACCTGGTCAACCAGATAAGAATGGAACCACTGCAAAGCAGTGCCTCCAACCCTCAACCCAGCCAACCTGTCTAGAAGAACACCATGGTTGACGGTGTCAAAAGCTGCTGAGAGGTCCAGGTGAACCAACGGGATTGTGCTCCCTGTGTCTCTCATCCCACAGGCCAACGCAGTCTCTGCCCTAAATCCAGGCCTGATTAAAATGGATCCAGATATCTGTGTCATCCGGAAATGCCTGGAAGACTTGTGTTTTTGCACAGGGGAGCATAGCAACTGTCACGAGCTAGGGGTCCCCTCCCAAGCAAGGCAGTCACTCCAGCACTTCTTGTAAGAGTATTTATTCTACACAGGAAATCTAAGCATTCACAAGCCTCTGAGCCTACAGAAGGAGAAGTGTTGTCCCCCCTCTGCCCCCTTTACCCAAAGCTTTGCTTATGAACCCTTTAAGGAAGGCGGGACACTGCGAAAATGGGCCCGCATGCGTTCTACATGGTGAGCCCCTAATCGGTCCAGCCTGTGGCTGTGACGATAGGCCCTCAGATCCACGTCTTCAGGAGGCTCGTGTCCTCCGTTGGAGAACTCTCCCCTCTCCCGTCCTTGGTCTGCCTCATTCCCACAGGCAGGAGGGAGACTGGGCTCCTGGCTGTCCTTGAGCTACTTTCATCCAGGGCAGATGGAGGCTGGCACTGCGGGGGGGTAGGGGGGAGTGTGCAGGTGCAGTCCTGTCAGTTACAACAATTCCATTATCAGAGTGTGAGCTTTGAGCCTAGTCTGGTTCAGCCATCCCCGCATCATCCTCAGAGTCTGAGCTATCCAAAACAGGCCGTGTCTGATGCGTGCCTGGGAATCTCATCAGAGCGCGTGTGCACGACAGCAGCCTATGCGTCGGTGGCCCCTCTCACTCGCTCCAGAAGACGGGCACTGCACTTCCTGTGAGGCCTTGCCTGGCTCAGCTAGAGCTCCTCAGCCTACCCTTCAAACCCTCGCCTTTTCCTTCCATTACTCCTCCTTCCCCTCTAATGCACATAGTGGCAGAAGGCACATTAAGCAAGGTGTATCAGGAAAGCCTGCACAGAACACGAGGCACCTCAGAAATGTCAGAAATTCTAGCTCGGTGAGCTGGAGGTCCTTCCTATAAAGCTGTAGCACTCATCTTTGCCGGTGCGCTGCGTGTTTTGAAATCCTTTCTGGAACAAGCAGCACATCTTGCAAGTTGTGCTTAAGCTGAGAATGCTGTGCTGCTTTTAGCAGCTGATTAAAAGCAGAATGTATGCCCACACCAGAGTGGAAAGGGATTCCTGAGCCATACTAAAGCAAGCCAAGATCCGCATGCTCATTTGTAGGAGAAGCAGTGTGGGCAGAATGGCATTAGTCCAGCTCTCTGTCAAGTAGAACCGCTGCTGCTGCTGCTGCTGCTTAATGCCTTATGCACACGGGTAGCTTTATCAAGTGTGAAATAGAACACCTCTCTCCTCATGTGCAGTCCTCATCATTCACTTGATGCTCTCCGTGGGCCCCCTTAGCTGGCTTTTTCCATGCATGGGGCAGATTTCTAAGATGACTGATCTTCAAACTTGCAGCAAATAGACTTAGCTGATTGCTCCATCTAGTGCACACCACACACAGCTGACCTCACTCTTCTGTATTCAGTCGAAATGCTTCTTACTGAGCTGGATCTGGGCATTTTAATGCTGTGGTTAACCAGCCAGAAAACAGTTGGTTAAAGTACATCTTGAAATCAAGGTCAAAAAGACATCCTGACCTGGAAGGGTTATGAGGTAAACTCTCACTGTGTGTGCGTGCGTTATGCTGATTGGATTACAATTACCATTATGGTTTTGCTGTTTTAAGAGAATGAGAGAGAGACTTTGTTAACTACCCAGATTGCTTTGGCTAGTGACCAGCATAAAAATAAATGCCAGCTCATCATTCCCATTTGATAATTCATGGCTGTTACATGGTTACAGTCCAGGAATGGGATGCTAAAATGCTATGAAAAGGGCAGGCCACTGGCAACTAGTTAGACAGGCCTTCCCCAACTTGGTGGCCTTCCAGTTGTGTTAGACTTCAACTCCCATAAGCCCCTAGCCAGTGCAGCCAAGCAGGAATGCTGGGAGTGGTAATCAAAGACCTCTGGAGGGCTGGTGAAGGTTTGCATTTAAGTGTGAGTTTGGCCTCTATAGGTGGTAGAGGAATAGAGGAAGAAAGAGGAATATCTTCTAATACAACCAAGAGGCACTACAGGAGGAGCCTGGGAGGCGTGCTGCCAGCCTCCCCATCCCTTTACATAGAAACATACATAGAAACAGAGTCAGAAGGGGCCTCCCGGGCCATCTAGTCTGACCCCCAGCTCCCCTCACACCATGCCTACCTATCTTCCCCCTCCCCCTAAACTTTGCACTATGTAGTAGGGCCCAGAACAGCTTGCTTCTTGTCTGATCTTTTTGCCTTAGGCTAGAAATGGAGCAAGTCCTGCCAGAAGCTATTGTACCCTCATAACTGGGAACTTTGAAATATTTTTTATATTTTGGGGAGGCTCCCCCAAGAAAAAATGTGAGAAAACTAAGATCCGGATACTGCCAGCATACTTGAGCGTGACAAGCTCCCCAGACCACATATCCTCCATGGGAAGGAGTAAAGCTGGCTCTTATGTGGCACTTAAAAGTACCATACAGGAAGGGAAAAATGTGAATGTTGATGCAAGTTGTATGTGTTTCTCCCTCTGTAGATTTTCTTTATATTCACTGTGATGTCCCCCAAAATGGTGTGTTTCCAAGGCCGGTGATTCCAAATGTCTGCCTTTACATTTCCTCTAGCCTCCTTCCTCTACAGAGTACCACTCCTTAATTTCCATGTGTTTCTTGTGTGTGGCTTCCATACTTTTCTGGTCCCTTCTGAACAAGGCTCTTCGTACAGAAGAGTTTACTAGCCACACCCCCAGTTCTTCATCCTCTCTCTGCATCACACATGTGGGCTCCGCACCTGCGGGGAGCCTGTTGTCTGGATGATTTCATAGCCTCAGGGATAATGTTACTTCCTTATCTCCGGGGAGAAAGGCCACGTTTAGAATTACATCTGATTGCTCACAGCCTTTGCTATGGAGAGTAGAGCATTCAGGGAACATGACTCACTGGACAGAGCAATCCTCTGCTTACCAAGATGGTTCCATGCATGTCAAATGGGTGAGCCGAAAACTGTCATAGGACACTAAGTGCAGCACAAATAAAACCAAATCATGGGCACTCTACTTCAGGAGAACTGGACCACTGATAGAAGCCCAACTTATTTGACTGTGTGCTCAGAATACCACTATTCATGAGGGGAAGCTGAGGGGAAACCATATTGCTGTTCTACAATGATCCATTGACTCCTGTGGTTCCTTGAACGTGCTCTGACTGCCACTAGCAAGTCAATGAAGTGCTGTCCCAGGTTACACTTGTCCATCCAGAGCCCAGGACTTCTACACTTGACATACCAGATTTCAAGAGTTCAGTGTTCCTTTCAAGGAAAGAGATTTAGGGTGCAGCCCTTGTAAGTTTAGACAGGAGAACTCACAGCATACCCCAGCAGTCATTGTGCTTCCAGCCCCAATACCTCCAGCCTAGCGCCTGAAACTTTTTAAAAAGCCTAGCTCTTGGATTAATAGCAGGCATTGTAGAAACAAGTGGTAAAGGTAGTCAAGAATATTTTCAGTAGGAAGGCTATGGAAGAGTGCTTGCTAATCCAAGCAGCTCTTCTGTGTCAACCTGAAAATTGAATGGAAAGGCCTGATCTGAAAATGTGAGTAGTAAGCAGATGTTTTGTACACAGCTCTGTGGGAGTTACCAAGTAATGTACACACATTTATGTTCTGCTTTAAGATCCACCCAAAATAATCTAATTATATACATATGCAAGAATTCTACCCATGCAAATAGTCATTAGTGTGTTGGTTAGCTTCTAATGACTAGGTTTGGCAGACTGTCTGAAAGACAGTAGAACATATTTAGGAAAGCTTTATCCAAAGGAGTTTCTGAACAGTCATTCTGGGACATTTGAGGCCAAAACAAGACATTAAGAGCTCCATCCTGTGGTCCATTGAAGCTCAGTATTGTCAACACTGCCTGGCAGGGACCTTGCGGGCAGAAGTATTTCTCAGCCTTACCTGGAGTTGCTGGGGATTGAACTGGGGAACTTCTGCTCACACAGCAGGTGCCCTACCATCTGCTACTGCTCCCTCCTCTTCTAACCTTTAGAACTGGAGGGTAAATAAAAACCAAAGGTTTAGTTCTCCTTTCCTTGTGAAGATTGATTGTACAACGCAAACCCACGAATAGGGTAAACCAGGCCAGTGTATCTGTAGGACAGGGTTTAAGGAGAGTAGACATTGTTTGAAGAGCAAGTGTTTGTCCTGCATTGCTTGCCTACAAAAGCGAGGAGGAGTAGGTAAGGACACAACTGTGGAGTTAATGTGATCCCTGATAGGCTACAGACATGCTAGCTTTGGGAGTTTTGACGCATGCACTTTCTAAGTGTCTTGCTGACACTGGCAGGTACTCAGCTAAGGGGAATAATTTGGTTTCCACCTAATCACTCTTCTTGTTTTTCAGAAAACACAGAGGTTGAAATAGAAGCTGCTTCAGGCCCAAGTGAAGAGAAACCCCTGCCAGCGGCACCTGTTCCTAGCCCGGTAGCACCAGCACCTGTGCCATCCAGGAGAAATCCACCTGGTGGGAAGTCCAGCCTAGTCCTTGGTTAAACTTGATCCTCCTGTGCTCCTTCTAACTACTTGGAACTCATGTCTGTTATCTTTGTTTTTCTTCCATGCTTGTGAACTGCACAACTTGAGCTTGACTGTACTTCTCAAACTATCATTAAAGAAGCACTTTATGTACTTCAGTTTTGTTTTTAAAGAAGGTCTTTTTTCTGCATTCAACTTCTGTCTTGTCTCCCTTGGGTCTAATGGAAGTGGCATGTGTGATTTCTTTTCCTTGTGGTAGATAATAGAGCAGTGGTATTCGCTATGCAGCCCATGGCTGACTGAAAGTTTTCTACAGTATATAGTCATGTGTATCCTAAGCCTAGGCTGGTTGATTCTGGGTGTGCTAGGTGGCATTTTTGTCCTGAAATGTGTAGAAACCCCTTAGTTGGCTTTAGAGGGGTTGAAAGGTGGGGTTGTACAGATCAGAAGATGGGTGATAAAATGTATGTGTTCTCTTACCCTACTCATTTCTGCAACACAAACTGATTGACCAGTTACTGAGTGATACTTGGATAACCAATGTCGGAAGCCCTGTTGTACATTACAGAACAGTAGAGCTGTGATGCTAGTCATTAACCATGCTGCCTTCAACCTGGAATCTTGGTTCAGCCATGATAAGACATGGCCAGTGCCAAATATAGGGCTGGTGATGTGAGCCTGCTGTTCTGTTCCCTGAGTATCGGGCCCCACCTTAGGTGGCGGTGATGGAATGGATCTTACAAAAGTAAGTATTGAGTGGAGAACAGTCTCTTAAGACAGAGTCTAGTCCAAATGACTCCAGTGCTATGCATGATCATGCTGGTGCTTGACCATGAGGTGAATCTCATCCTTCTAAATGTGTGTTGTATCTTGATAAAGCTGGATTGTTGCTTACTAATAAAGGATATAGAAATTTTGAAGTGTCAGAGCTTTCTTTTGCAGGGGGGGATGTGCCTGATAATCCCTTGACTGATTCCTGAAAGAAAGCCAGAAATATGCAAACTAGAAATGGCCTGGCTTCTTAAACCATTTCTCATATATCCCCTTAAACAATTATTGCAATGTCAGCATACTGATTTGCAAGTAAACAGATCTTTTATGCTGAAAGACTAATCAAAGCTGTACCACCCTTGTTCTTTTTGGGCTACAGAATCTTATATCTGTTAAGAGATGGGGGAAGGCAGGATTGAGAATTTTTATGTAAACTTTGTATTTTTGTTCTCATCGTGGGGCACTAACCAAGCCCTGTCTGCAGATGCTCGGGATTGAATTTGGGACCTTTTGCATGCCAAGTATGCTTTCAGGGTTGTGGTACTTCATACAAAAGCAAGGGTGAGATGGGCACTGCAGGCAGCTCCACAGTCTAGGGGTGGCCATAACATTCTGTATCCCAACAAACTATGACTGTTGTTGGTGGAATGCAAAAGAGCTGCTCTAAAAGATAAGGGGCAGAGTGCCCACATGGGAGAAGACTGTCCTTTCAAGCATTCCACTCCCGAAATTCACAGCTTTGAGGGTTGTGACAACCATAGCAAACTGGGTCACATACTCTAAAGAAATCTTGTTTTGCGGTTTGTTTCTTTGAGCACAGTCTTCAGTAAGAGGTTAAAGGTAGCCCAAATGTATTTTTTAAACACCCAGCCAGAATAGAACAAATCTGGCAAATAGTACCATGTGTTACAGTTAGGTGTGCCTAATTCCAAGCAAAAGCAGAGCTTGCTGTAGAGTGCTCTGCAACTTGTGAATATTTCAGTACTTGTCTCTCTTCTGCATGTGCCACTTTATCTTCTCAGTGGGAAGTGGGCGGGAGGGAGGATTAAGGCAAAAAAAGTGGGGTAAGCCCAGCTCTGGTTAAGCCCAGACTTCATTTGTCAATCTTGGCTGAATCTAACTTGCAAACGTTTGTTGTCTCTTGTTCAAGGGAGAGGTGCTGGGCTTTTGACAAAACAGGATGGCTCTGTAGTTTCACTAATTACTCTGATAATTCATCCCAGTAAATCCATGGAGTTGACCCTTTTATAGGGATCATCTGACAAGCTCAGGCATTAAAAGACATGAACTATGTCCGAAGTATGTTAACATAAAAGCTTAGGGATGGTCTGAAGTGCCGAGATTATGGGGAGGGTGAGCCAGAGTGAATCTATGATGAATTGTCGCAGCAGTTCAGCTGTGAGATTGGGGGCGGCTCGAATGCATGATGTTGGAAGTGACAGAGCCCTCAGAGAGGGCTGTACCAGCATGCACTTTGCATTACCATGGTATTGCAAAATTCTGAGCAGGATAAATGAAGCTTATTCATTCCTGTCCTTATTTATTCTGAAGCACGTGGAGTTTTCCAGGATATTAGGGCTATGACAGAATGGATGTGCTCAGTCGATGTGGCTTCACAGAGTGGATCCTATTTATTTATTTAGAAAATTTCTATGCCACCCCATTCGCCAAAGCCTCGGGGCGGCTTACAAATAAATCAATTAAAAAACTATAAATTAACAATATAAAACAGTATAAAAGACTTCAATCCTACATGGAATGAAGTCTTAAGCAGAATCAGTGTCTGGTAAGTCACATTTGAGGCAAGGAAAAGAATACAGACAAATGTACTACCTTTCAGAAATTGATTCTACAAAACGACTTTGCGCTAGCTTTAAACACCCGCACACACAACTCCGAAGAGGAATTTCCCTGTAGAGAGGCTGCTTATATCGCATGAACCTCAAATGGGACGCGTGTTCCGAGCACGTGGGTCCAGGCCGAGTTCCTCGCTGCTCGCTGTCCCGCCAAGACCTCTCCGCTTGGGCACCCTCCGCTTTCCGCCGTACTCCTGAGGGACAGGCCTGTCTTTCCTCCGCCCTCCGCCCATCCTGGAAGCAACCCGCTCTCCTCCGCCGCGCTTTCGGAGCGATCGGCCCGCCGGCGCCAAGGCCAATCAGCCGCGCCGCTCAGCGCTGCGCCTCCGCCCTGCGGCCGCCGGGGAGGCATGGCGCCGCTGCGCGTGCTGGTGGACATGGACGGCGTCCTGGCCGACTTCGAGGGCGCGCTGCTGCGGGGCTTCCTCGCCGCCTATCCCGGGGAGCCGCACATCGAGCTGGCGCAGCGGAGGGGCTTCTCGGCGCTGGAGCAATACCGCTGCCTGCGGGAGGACCTGGCGGTGAGCCGCTCCGCGGGGCGGAGGATTTCCGGGGGGCCGCGTGGGGGCGCGGCGCCGCTGCTCTTTCCCACGCCGTATTATCGGGCAGAAATGGGGAGCGAGAAAAGGCAACCTCGTGGCCCTGAGAGTTCCGTTGCCCGAAATGTGTCACTGTAGATTTCGCCGTGACAACCGTGGGCAGGTTAATACCCCACAGGTGATTTGGCCCACTACTCTCAGCAGCCTAGTCAGCACAGGCAAAGAGAGGGGATGATGGGAATTGGAAGCCAAATACATCTGGAGGGCGCCTCCATTAGATAGAGCACTTCTTCTCTTAGCACAGCTTTCCCTAATCTGCTATTTTCAGCTGCAGCCCCCAGCATGTCTAACCAGCTGGCTGAGATTGAAGCTGAAAATATTTAGATTTGGAGTGGATTTAATAACTATGTGATGGGCATAAATTCCGTAAGCAGTAAACAGGAAAGTTTGAACTGTTGGTTTTTGGTCAAAAGTCCTTGTTAGAGAGAGACAAAAGAGCCACCCCCCCCAAAAAAAAAGAAAAAAAAAGTGGGAACAGCCCTGATAGAAATCTCTAACCCTTGACAGAGACAGTTGCTAGTGCACCATTTATTCCACAAGATTATTGCTTCAGCCCACCAGGCACATTTAGCGCTTAAGTTTGTAATCAAGATCGTTGTTGGCTTTTTTGCTGCCATCCCTGAGGAGCTCCATGTAAAACTGGCAAAATGAAGAGGCATTTCAGAGCTGGAGTAATTTAACACTTCCTTTGGCAAAATCTTTGGGTGAGGCTCTCTGGCTGGCATAGCAGGATTGTGGGGCAAGGGTGCTTCAAGACAGCTATAAATTTCCTGATAGTACAGTAGAAGCTCCTCCTCCTCCATACAGCTCCTCCTAGAGGGTTTTTGTGCATTTGATAGTGAGGGATATAGATAAAATCAGCTCATGAAGAATTTAGAAAAAATGTTGCATGGAGTATTGGATAAAAATACATCAGAGATGTAATGCTTGTTTACTATGAAAGTAGTTTCACATGTAGGCAGTGCCTACCTTTTTCTTAAAGGTACAGTACAAAGTGAAATATGCAGGCAAAAAATCTGAGAATGAATACTCCCATATTCTTTATTGCAGTTGCATTATACTCCCATAATGCAACTGCTAGCATGTCAAGAAAGTGTAGTTAAAAGTTTTCTTTTGGATGTGCTAGCTCACACAGTGTTTCAAAAGCATGGGAGCACTGAGTTTTCCGCGTATCTATTCTACAGTGGGGCCTATTCAAGAAGGGGTCTGCATATTTTGCTCAACAGTAAGAATTACAAGCAAACCAACTGAATTTGCAGTTCAGGCTATAACTGGAGCCTTAAGGGCTAGAAACTTGCTTTTAAAACAATTGTGAAAACCCTCAATGTGCTGTATTTTGTCAACTTCTGTATTTGTATAGGAGAATATTGTCATTGTGATATGAGTGTAGCAAGGAAGCTGATAATTTATCTGCAGAAAATATCCATTCAAAATACCACTTAAGCATATTCATTCGATTCCCTTTATCCCTAACAATAGGAAAATTACTTAACAAGTGCAGTTTTTGTTAACACCAAGATACTTTTCTTCCAGGACCAATTTGGAGGGAGAAGCTTCTCTAGAAAGTTATGTGAAGCCAGTTCTTTCAAGCTCACATCCAATAGGGATGTGTTCCTATTGGATCAGTCAACTGCTATTCCTGCATACAGTTGCATCTCTTTGAAATTATCAGGAATTACAAGCATACCAATTAGAAAAAGTCTAAAATTGCTACTGGATAGGTGCACCCAGAATTGGAACTCACATGGGCAGAGGGTTTTTTAATTTTTGGTAGTACCCAGATAGCCACACATATATTTTTACAAGAAAGCCCACAATGAGTGCTGAGAGCACTTCCACAGTCAAAGGTGTACTCCTGCCTCTTGTAAGCAGTGTCAGTCCTGCATGAAGTGCTCATCTTCAAATGAGTAAAAGTGTTTCACGTGATGAAAAAGGATGTTCTTTAAGTGTTCTGCCATGTATTAGAGGTTTTTAAAAGACTGATAGCACTACTGTCACCAAACATAAAAATGTAACTTTAAGAAAAAAGTCTGGTATGTAGGTAAAATGCCCCCTGCCCACTTTCTTTGAGAGATTAATTAAAACCTCAGGTGTCCATGAGTGCTGAACATAATGCATCATCTGTCTTTGTTTAGAGCTCACCTTTTTTCCAACTGAAACTCCAGAGCATTGTCCAGGTGGGCTCCCATCCAAGCACTGATCATACCCAGCCTGCTTAGCTTCAGGAAAGTCATTACATCATGCGCCCTCAAAGCAAACAATGAACAGCACTGACAAATGAGAGACCAGACTTACAGGGAACTCCCTCCCTGAAAAAAAAAGTCTTCAAAACCATAGATGAAAGAAATCATTTCTATGTTCTGCCTCAAGGGATGAATTTTAAATAGTGGATGAAAGGTACACGTACCATTGCTGGAAAGAGCTCTATATATGAAATACTAGGTGTGAGGAATTGCTGGGCTTTTTCTTTCAGAATGGCAGATTCATTATAAACGAAAAACAATCCCTCCTGCTTTGCAAGTCAGGTGTTCTGAACTGTTTGGTGGGGGAGGAGCTGTGAGCCAGATGACGCCAAGGAGGGAAGGCCATGTCCTCTGTCATCACCCAGTCCTTATCCAAAGCACTCTCTGGAGCTATTCCAACCTGCACTTCCGCAGGAGACTTGCCTGCCTTTCCTGCGTATGGGTACTGTTCTACTGGGAAAGTTTACACGACCATCACAGAAAAAAAGAACCATGTGGTGCTAGTCTCAGATTATTTCTAGGCCAGTTTAATGTACTTCACAAAATATTAACATGAGTAAAAAGTGCATTATAAAATTTTACAATTTGAAGAATGTAAGAGAAGCCCAGCTGCCATGACAAAAAGCCCACCTAATCCCAGGTTTGGTTCATACAGCGACCAACTAACTGCCTATGGGAAGCCCAGAGGGAGGACATGAGTTTGGCAGTACCCTCCGGTCATGTTCCACAAGACACTGGTGCACAGACCAAGGCAGCCTGCTCTTGCCTCTGGAGGAACCACACAGCCCTCATGATTCATAGTCACTGACACCTTTTTCCTCCATGACTCTGCCTAGCCCCCTTTTGAACCTACCCAAGCTGGCAGCATCAGTGCATTATAGGGTACCAAATTCCATAATTTAACTTTCCACGGTGTGAAGAAAGGTTTCCTTTTGACTGTCCTGAATCTCCCACCATTCAACGGCACCAGATGACCCTGCGTTCTAGTATGAGGAGAGAATGAAACGAACAGGAATAAATCATAAGAGCAAACCTTAACTGAAAAAGCTTGGATGTATAAAAATGCATTCTTAGTTTCCCTTAATTTTAAAGGTAGGTTTATCTCTCACACTGCTCGAGCATATACAGGGGATATGGTTTTGAAAATCACCATGGTTTGATTCTTGAACCTTTGTAATGTACAAGGAATCTTCTCTGGTTTCTCCAATTGTTGTCCAAAGTTAGATAAATTTTAAGCATATGCTCAGAGGATTTCAGGAGGAAATAAAATTCTCCATGTGATTTTTTAGATTAAGTTAGCCAGCGTATATGAGTCACCAGGCTTCTTTCTGGATTTGGATCCCATTCCTGGAGCTATCGAAGCAATGCAAGAAATGATCCAAATGCCCAAGTAAGGACCATTTGAAAAGCACAACACTTTGCGACTAGCCTCATGTTTTCCTCTAGTGACTAGTAATCCTGTTTCTTTTCAGCACCGAGGTTTTTATTTGCACAAGCCCTCTACGGAGATATGAATTCTGCATTCCAGAGAAGGTTGGAGAGTCTCTTCTTTTTTGGCTTACTTTTCCCAGCTTCATCATTATGTAATGCAAAGTGCCCACTGGTATTCTGATGAGTGTTATGAAAGCACCTTCCTTAGTTTTTCTGACTTCTCCTGGCCAACCCTTTGATGCCAGTGCTTCATGCCCATCATTGTTGTTATTTGTCATGGGGAAGAAGTGGGGCTGGATTCTCCTACCATGCTGTTTACTTAGCTGTCCTGTTGTCACAGAGGCTGGCCTGCATTGGCCCAAGCTGAGTTCCTAGATGGTTATTGTAGGCTAGAATCTGAACCCCAAGGTCTATGGCTGTCCCATGTAACATTAAACCCTCTGGCTACATTCCACTGCTATTGAATACCTTCCTATTGCTACAAATCCACTGAATGCTTTATAACCTTCTGAAAGAAACACATTATATTTGCTGCTCATGTAGCTGGATATTCTGATATACAATCTGTATTTGTACAATTCAGACCCACCAGAAGTCGCTCTTTTTTCAAAGATACAAAGACCCCGTGAACTGTAAAGGCTATTCCCTTCTCATTATAGAAGCAGCTTCTTTGAAAGATCTGTTCACTGCTTCTGATATTTTCAGCAGAGCCTAATTCCAATTCTAGCCATTCATACTTGATAAAACATGCATAGCATAAACTTAGGTAGGCCACCACTGCCCACCTTTGTTAAATACATAAAAGATGTGCTTACCCATCAACAGCCAGAAGACATAGATGGGAAAAGACATGCACCTTTTTTCTCATCAAATTCACAGTATTTATTACTATTTGGCTCACCAGGGCAGCAACAGGGTAATAAAATATCTTACCTTCATTAAGTGAGAACTGTTAACAGAAGCAAATGTAAGGAAAGGCCTTTAAGTGGATATTGGATTGGAATCAGATCCTTTGTTCTGCCAGCAGGACACCACCTTCCAAATTGGCTGCAGAAGGCCTCCAAATACTGTCCTGTAGGTAAGGCAAGCATGCAGGGGTGGGAGGTTAGCGAGAAGGAGAGGATGCCGTGGTCCTGCTCTCTTCTACCAGCAGAATGAAGGATCTGAATCCAACCCAATGCAGTTCCAAGGCCAAGACGTAATGGGTATATCACAATTCTGTAAAGAGTATAAATGAATAGTATTCTTTGTCCAATCAGATATGATTAAGGCTGCAGTCCTCAAACACACACAGCTAGGGAGAAAGCCCTGTTTATCATCAGGTTTTCTCCTGAGTAAATATACATAGAACGGTGAATCTTGAATGCCAGGAAATCCAAACAAATCTGCTTTATCTAGGTTATTTCCTTGCCTCTACACCTCATTTATTTAAATTCTTATTTTCCTATGAACAAAACTGAGACTCCTGGATGAGGGGCAAAGTTAACTGAAGAACACCCTCTGCCACACACACACACAGAGGCCACCAAAAGTCTCCAGATTTTGAAGAAAGCTACCAGATCTAGACTAGGAGCCAGCTTAACATACAGGTCTGTGTCTGTTTACTCAGAACTAAGGTCCATGGGATTTAGTGGCATTTGCAGCCTAAGTGGTTTGCAATGTGAGAAGTTGTCTCTGACAGCCTACAGAATATAGATCAGTCCCATCTCCACATCTAAATTCCATGTCAAGTCTGATACCTTGCAGTGCATCGATTTCCTTTAAGCTTTTGCTACACATATTCTAATACTGCCCCCTCTTCACCTGACAGTACAGCTGGGTTGCAAAACACTTGGGTCCCAAATTTGTGGAGCGACTAATCCTGACCAGAGATAAAACAGTTGTGTCAGCGGATCTGCTTTTTGATGACAAAGACAGTATTAAAGGTATGCTCATTTGGAATGCTGCTTTCACATTCAAGTGCTTTACTTAAAGTTCAGGTGATGTTTAATATTTGATCTTTCACTTTCCCATTCTGTTCTCAGGGGTGGAGTCTAATCCAAGCTGGGAGCACATCCTGTTCTCTTGTTGCCATAACAGGCATCTAATGCTGCAGCCCCCACAAAGGAGACTGGAGTCCTGGACTGACGAGTGGAAGGCAATACTGGAGAGCAAACGCTCCAAGAATGTCTAAAGAGAGGGGCACATCCTTTCTCTGCCAGTTGAAGAACACGAGACTGCAGCTGATAAGGAGGCCCCACAGCAAGGAAGAACAGACTCAGACGGCTGCCCTAGGTAGGGAAAGAGGTTCTGTTTGTTCCTCTGAGTTAAGCAACTGAGTATTATGCTTGCACTGTTCAAGTTATTAAAATGTTAAATCCCTGTGTGGAGCTATTGTCATATTTATAGGTAAATAAAATGACAGTATATCAATACTGGATGTGTGTGGAGCCAGAAGATTGGTAGGGACGCCAGAACAGAAGGAATTTAAGGGGGTCCCATAGGGTGTAATAATCCTCAAATTTTATAGTATTCTATTTCTTTATGACAGATCAGCTTCTGTTAAAGTATCATCCTTCATCATTGGCTATACTGGCTAAGGCTGATGGAAGTGATAGGGCAAAGCATCTAGAGGCCACAAGTTGCAAGCCGCCCCTGAGTTAAAGGAACCTGCATCCTATCCTCCCACTTCCCTTCCAGAACAAGGCCAGTGCAGCAGCTGTTAAGGCCTTCTAGCAACAATTTACACCATTGTGGGACATTACAGCAAACTGAGAAGCACCAAAAATATGTAAGGAAGCACTAAAATGACTTGGTCTCAAGCACACACTTCATACTTGAACTCCCAGTTCATTTACAAGCATTTTCAACAGAGATTTCTGGATTAGCTTCCTCACCTTAGAACTGTCTTTGCCAAAATGCTGCTTTCCATTCAAGAAAAATAGCTCTGGCTGGCCCAAAGTGCTGCATTAATCCTTCGGCAGTGGAATTCCCACTGCTGTGTGCTTGGTCTGGTTCCGAGCCTCCTCGACCTGAAGAGGGGTGCAGTAGTCTTCAAGGAAGATGGTGGCCAGGTTCCGTAGCCTCCTGTTGGTGGAAAGGGAAAAGCGCAGCATGCACTCTACCACAGGGAGGGCAGTGATCTGTTGGCGAGACTGGGGTGTCGTCAAGTACATCAGGGTAGTAACTGCAGACAAGACAGTCTCCTCATTGGAACTGGACAGGCAGTTGACCACAGCTGCTATCCCATCTGCCTCCAAGATATAGTCCTTGTTGATTTTATCCAAGCAGAGGTTACAAAGGCCGCCTAAAATGGGGTTAGGGCAAAGAGAGTGAGAGACAAACACACAAGGTAGTAACAGGATTTTTGTCTGTTTCACCCGAACATCTTCCTTGTGTTTCATGCACTTCTGAGTCATCTAGGTTGTCTAACCAGGTTCCTATTTCTGCAGCATGCAAACACTAAATGTATGCATATTTTCAAAAGAAGTGGCTTTTGAAAATATCTCCATCCTGTTTCCACTGAGAAACTGCAGCTTCCTCTTTGTCTGTAGGCCTAGGCAAGCACAGAGAAAGTAATTTCTACTGAATTCAGAGCATACAGCCATTAAATTAAGCCATTCATGATAATGCTGAACATAAAGAGCATCCCTCAGGAGGTGCAAAGCAAATGTCTGAGTCCTGATAGCAGCATTCTGGAATAAGTATACTGTTTGGGTGAATAAAAGCCAACTATCAGCCTAGTGGTAAGAGTGGATAAGGCCACAAGGAAAGGCAGTCAGCCACACTGTCTTACCAAATCTTAAGTAAACTCTTACCATGCTTCTGGGCCTGATCAGAGATCTGCAAAAGTAGCTCACCACTCGGCCATACAGAATGGATAATCAGCATTTGAAGAGGCTACACAATCACAGTCATCATTTGGGAGACATTTGTTTACATCCACCCTTTTTTGCCAGATTTCGCAAAACATGAGATCCATGCCAGAGTTAGGAAAAAGGCAGGGAATGAATCCAGATTTTTTGTTTGGGCAGCTCCAACCCTCCAGAGTAGATTTGGGGAGCACACGCTGGGGAATCACAGAAGTCCTGTCCCACAAGTAGCATTCTTCCACTGGAAGGACGATGGCTCTGGATCCAAGCTCAGAAATATAATTTTTCTGATTTAAATAGCATTAAACATTTTCATGGGCTTAGTGGGAATTTGGGCTTGGCTGGCAAAGGGCAGGTAAACTGAAGGGCAAGCAAGAGGCACAGCACATCACAGGCCAGGAACTGAGTTGATCCTCACAATGTGGCGATACTGGTTGATGTTTCACCATTCTAACAGTGTATCACAGTTGCAAAACTCCTTCTCACTGCAATCAGTCCACTTGTTCTGATCCTGAGAAAGCCTTCCTCTGGCTTTTCAACCAAAGCATTTCCACTGGTCTCCCCACATGATGCTCTGGTGCTCTGCCCCACGACTGCGGTAAGAGTGCGCTCTGCTTCACTCTGCTGTCTTCAACTGCGCTCTGGGTGTGTGAGAGTCCCCCGCAGCCCCCAAGTGCTCTCTTAGTCTTCATTTTAGAACCGGATCCTTCCCTTTATCTGTGGCTCTGTAGCAAGCTGCTCCTTCAGCCTGGACAGCTTCAGATCAAGCACGCAGGATGTGGGGTACCCTGCCCATTACATGATGCAGGGAGTTGGACCTGACTTCCAGAAATAAGCCCTGGAAGCCAAAGCACTCTGGTCTTGGATCACTCACATGCTTTTATCAGGCAATGCAAGACTTCCACGCTGTGTTAGGCAATGTGTTCATTTTAGGATATTTTCTCAACAAGCCCTACTGTAGTCCCTGCTCCATTTGCCTGCTGTAAGTAGATCTTTTTCCAGTTATACAGATGTCCCCTCGATCCAGACAAGGACGCAGCTTTGAAGGACGGTGATGATGATGATGATGATGATGATGATGGCAATGATGAGACTTTCTATAGTGCTTCTGTGCTCAAAGTGATGCACATACACTATTTCAGGAAACACACCTTCTCTGTCTTAGTTGGAGGTCTGAGACAGAGATGGGGGCTGGCTTGACCATGCAGAGACTCCCTGTATCAGCCTTGTAATATATGGAAATTGCTTTGAGTTAAAATAGCTAACCTTCCCCAGCTATATGTACCCTTTTGCACTGACAATGCATGTCCCTAAACCAGGGATAGGAAAACTTTGCAGCAGTACAAGTAACTGTTCTGGGCTCCACCACAAAATGACGGCCAGCAGAGACACACTGAAGAACAAGCCACCTGCCCAAAAGACCCAGTGCAAGCAAAGGTGAGGCCTGAGTTCCCAGCACACTAAACAACTCCTCCAGATCCACAGTTCGACAGAAACCTGTTTCACAGTGACCCTGGCTGCCAGTAAAAGAAAAAGGAAATTAAATGGGAAGAGCAAGGAACTTTAGCAGGCCCTAACAGGGTGTCTGGAGCACCGGGAAATGCTGCTTGTCCCTGCCCTAAACGAGAAAGCTTCCTGAGACCAAATTGGACTGAGCGTCCCTCTAGCCCAGTCCTGGCAAGATTTGAGGCAGGACCCTCCCAGCCCTACCTGGAGATGCCAAGGATGGAACCTGGGATCTGAGTGCAAATCAGGTGCTTTGCTGCTGTGCCACAGCCCCTCAAATGAATGTGGCAGTCTAACATGAATATGAGGAATAATTTGACTGTGACATCTAGTAGACATCCTAGAATCACCAAGGTGCAAGGAACTTTTCGAAGTCATTCTAACTCGTGGCAAATAATTTAAATTCAAGATTTACCAAGCGCAAATTCCACAAGGGTTCCATTGTCCTCAGTTAGCATATCAAGAAACAGGTCCAAGACCTTGAGTTGCCTGAGATATTCATAGTTCTTGGGGTCGTAAGCAAAGTTAGCTAGGTTGGCCAACACCTGCTCCTTGGCTTCTGCAATATAATAAAAGGATTCCCCAGATTAGGAAAGAAGAAACTGAGATGGATAAGGCATCCTTGAATCAGTACAAAAGGCATTAGTGGCCAGAAATTACACTTACCAGAGTTCTCCGTTACCTGGAATTCAGTAACTAGGGCTTGCAGGTATTCAAGTCGACCCAAACTTAGCAAGTCCTTCTGGTTTTGAGACATGGTGCTAGATCAAAGACAATGGTACATTGAAGTAATACTCTGAATTTCATATTACTAATCCAAAATAAATTGGACCTGATCTTAGCTGCTGCAAGGTTTGGACTCATTTCTCTCAAAAGAGAGCATTCAAGTTAGAAAGTTCATACTTTGAAGGTGAACCAGAGAACAAGAAGGGTTGGGATGCATCAATGAAATACCAAGGTTAAGCAGCGAGATTATCCAAGTGGCTGGTGAGTACCAGACCGCCTCTAGTTTGTGGAGAGATACTGCAGAACAAGGAGGGTCAGAGGGGGAGCCGTGTGAATTCATCAACCCACTGGTTCATCATCAAGCCAAAAAAGGAGACCAATTAAGTAATGTCCTGCCTTCCCACCCTCTGGCCCCCATGCAGCACAAACCTCCTTGTGGGTGCAGCCAGCCCCTTTTGGGGGAAAAAGGAACAAGGAGAATTCAGTTTGGGATCAACTTCTATAGCATGGGCAAGTGCTTCTAAGCAGCCACACCAATCAGAGGATCACTATTTTGATAGATGTTACTTGTTAACAACTTTATTATTACTTGTTCTTTATTGCAAAGTTGGCCTAGCTCAGTAAAGGACTGTATTTTAGAAACCTTTTGTCCTGATCTGCTAGAAAGGAAAAGTGATGTGTTCTCAGCAGCTGCACCTGGGGTGGCCAAGTTTGCCGATGACATCAAATTCTTTTTGATGTTTAAATAATTTTAAGCTCATGCCAGCCCCAGACCTTCAACATGGTACATGCCTTGCGTGCCTTCAGAGAGAGAGGTTTTCATTTCCGCTTTCTACCCACTAAAGCACCCTTTCCCCACCTCGCCACTCTCCAGATGTGTTAGGCTGCAACTCCCATCATCCGCAGCCGGTTTTGGCAGGCAGCCGGTTGGAAAAGGCTGCTTCAAGGAGCCCTCCCAGGACCTAGACCAAGCCGTAACAAACTGAATGAAAGCGAACTTCTTCAACTCCCCCCGCCACGCTCTTACCTGTGGTCCTTTACCTGTGGTCTTCTATCCTCCCTTTATTTATTTATTTAGAAAATTTCTATGCCGCCCCATTCGCCGAAGCCTCGGGGCGGCTCACAAAACATTAAAATATAATACATTAAAAATATAAAACGAATTTACAATATAAAATAAGTCGCACCATTATGCTTCCGGGGTACGCAGAACAGTGAAAGAGCAATACAAGCGGACACTCGAGAAGCATCCCAAACCGGAAGTTACGTATAAAGCTGGCGGAAGAGCCCCTGTAATGGCCACACCATAGACCATAATTCTCCGCGCAGAGGTGGGCAGGAGCGAAAGTCGCAGCGGGGGCGGGCCTATCCGTGAGGAGCGGCTGTCCGAACGTCTGTCGCGTGGAAGCCGCTCACGCGCTCCGGCGACCGCCATCGCGTGCAGGCGGCGAGTCAAGGACGGGCGGGGAGGAGTCCTGGGAGGAGGTTTTGCCGGTGGAGTTGCTGAGATCGGAAGGACGGTGCACTGCACCTCGCAAGACCCTGGGTTTAAATTGGTCATTTAAATCTGTGATCTTGGCCACGCTTAAGGTGGGAGCAAGCCCCGTCGATCACAGTGAGCCTTACTTTGGAGTAAACATGCATAGGGCTGCGCTGTTAAGTGTTCCCTTGCACACAGATCGTTATTTTGAAGACCAAAGCACACACTACTTTAAATGCGTGTCTGGAAGTTTATATGTCTTTTATTCTCCCTTTCATTTTCCTGAAGAGTAGGCTCAGTGCCCCGATCCAGATTAGACCCTTAGAATAGGGATGATGCACGAATCAATAGGTAGAACTTTAATTGGTTAGATTATGCAATCATTGACATGTAACTCGGCCTGAGAAAGTCCCTCTTTTGTAGAAATCAGCATGTGTGCATCCTTGAAATGTAGCCTGACACTGACCAGGCACCAGTCCAAAGAAAACTAGTTGGCACTTGACAGATAACAGCAGCTCAAACAAAGGGCAGTTCACACCAGCCCACCCCATCCTCCTCCTCTTCTATGTAATAGCACCCTCTCCTTCAAAGCATCTTTGGTGTGGAAGTGGGAAAGATGATGCCTTGTAAATTTTTGCTTCTATAAACTTTTGGAAAGTGTTAACTATATTACATGTAACCATTTAGTGATCAGTGTATAAAAGGAGCAACTGGGGACTGCTCAGGTGCGCCATCTGGAACGATTAGTTGGTAGCTGGTTATTCTCAAGAATAAATCCTTTAAAAGAAAACCTTCCCCTGTTGTGTATTTTGGGCATATGCACACCAGGACATGGACATTTTGGTCAACAGAGAGGTACCTGGATCTGGACTGGGACATCTCTGCCTACTATGGAATAAATATTAAAAGGTTATGTAGCTACTAGATACTCATCTAAAATACACATGAACACGTAAGCAATGTTTACTGTAACAGGAGCAGGCTACAAGCCTATGTTTGCAGACCTGGAACTGAGTCCCCACGGATTGTCTGTACTTCTATATACTGCAGACAGCTTTTCCTCCCTGAAACAGAGGAGCTCTGTGCCTGTGAATACCAGTACTATGAAGAGAATCATGAGGAGGTGCTACAGAACTATCAGCAAGCGCTGGCTGAATTGCAAAAGAAAAGAACTGCCTCCCACCTGACTCTGTAAGAACCGGCTTGGCTCTGTGGAGTGACAAGTCACGCCATCCTTGGTACTTGGGACTGCTCAAGGCACTTGTGAGCTTCACATCCTCAATTTTTCTTGTAGGAGAGACTGTCCAGAAATGCAGGAGCTTGGGAGTGAGGGGACTTGAGATCAGTACTTGGCTCCTTCACTGGTTTCTTTAGTGACTTCAGCATCCTATTTCACAGAAACAATCTTGTCATCACTCAGAAAAGATGATCCTGCTTTGGCAAGTCAGCTACTCCTAAATGTTTCACCCAAGGGACTGTGTGGGTTTTTCTTTGAATCATGTAGCTGCTGTCTTCAATAAAAAGTCCAGAAGTATGTTGTTGATGACGCCTGTGCAAAAGTTGCTAGGTTGTTCAGATACAAAACTTCTGGCGGGTCTTTTTAGTCACTATAGGGAACGCAGTTGCTAACATAAACGAATCATGTAATTTGGTTACAAATGTGAACAAGGGAGCATGAAAAAATAGCTTTGTTGTAAATCAAACAGATTCAGGAACTGCTTTGTAATTGCTTACTGTGCCATTCTGCATTCCTAACCTTTCGCCTTTACATTTTAATACCAAAAGACTAATTCTCAGTGTGAATGAAATAGTTCAAAAAGTTCAATTTGTCCAGTGTGTTCCCTTTCACAATCTCAAATGATGTGCTCCAAACAAAAAACTTTGCAAATGAAATATACTTCCATAGGCACATTTAATCAGTTCTGCTTTCCAGGAGTCAACTGTTACTTGGAGGAGTGGGTGCTGGCAGAAGGCACGAATGAGGCTGCAGCAGAAACAAACAGAAAGAAAAAGAGCGGGGAAGGCTAAAGCCAAGCGGCTCCTGGTATCTGTAGAGATCCTTGCTAGATACCTTAAGAATTCCAGCTGTTCTTTGCTTGTGTGCAAACAACATTTATGGTCAAAAGTATGCAGGACGGAGGGGTATGAATGTTGGTTGGAGGAAATCTGTATAATAAGCAGCCTTATTGAAATGTTATATTTAGGGGATAAGGAAAGAATGAGACAAAATCTATTCAAGAAATCGATTTTAGCATTAAGAATGAAGAGTACTCCTACCCCATGGAAAAATGGGGTCCTTGCCAGTGGGAAAGGCTAGGGGATGCAGGGAGCCAAATCAGCTGAGGTAAATTTGAAAGAAATGGTGGCCCAGCTGTGAAAATGGTGTGGGCAACTGACACAAGGGGGAGAGCAGCAGGAGGACCTGAGCACCACCTAGTCCTGAAGCATGTCCCCAGCCAGGAAAAGACCCGCTTAGGAACATGTCTACTCATGAACTTTCTGCTGCAGCAACCAGGTGGGATAGATGAGGAACAGGGTCTTGCTCACCCTTTTTTGCACAGGGTGAATCATGCCATTTTCCCCTTCATTTTGTAGATTCCAGGAGTGTAGCATGCATTCCTTTGCAAATAATAGTGTGCAAACAATACTGCTTTACTATAGTCGTTAAGCAGTCTCAAAGATACTGTAGAGATACATAGGAATATAGGAAGTAGCCTTTTATGGAGTCGGACCCTTGCACTGTGTGGCCCAGTAATGTCATTCCTGGCAACATTTCTCTTGGGTTTCAGGTGGGAAGTTTCTCCACCCTACCTGGAGATCTCAGGATCAAACCTGGGACCTTCTGCATGCAAAGATTGTACCTTGCAACTTGAGGCACGGCCCTCCCTTCTGCATTTGGGCTCTGCTTCATGTCTCTTAACCTACAGATCTTTTCTAAAAGGCTTCCACTTATAGTGACTGGAAAAAATCTAGAAACAATGAAAGGTCTGGAAGAAGGGGAGTGATTTCTCATAATCTTGTTTCTCATCTTTGCCAGGGTTCTCTGTCATATAATAAAACTAGTTCTGTTTCTGTTCCCTGACTTTTAAATCTAATTAAAGCTTAATTCTCTGACTGCCTTGTCTAGAAAGTCTGAAATAACCAGTTATGCTTCAGGGCTTGGTGTTCGAGCTGAATGTACATTTCATAATACAACAACTTTACATCCTAATAAAATGAAGCTTCCTGACCTGTAAGATTGTCAGACATTCCAAACACTGAAATATTCTTTCAAGAAAGCAGTACCGCTGTTAATGCAGGTCCTGGAGCAGCAGCACAATATTCAATTGGCAAGTGATGGTTTGAAAACCATCTATGGAAGGGTAGCTGCACTCTAGGTTCTGACTTAGAACAAAAATGGCTAGAGATGTTCAGCCAAGTTAGAGCCAGAAATACTGTAATGGGGTTGTGACCAAAGTAGGGGAGACAAGGTAATGATGTGCTGAGAGGCAGAAATAGGAATCAGTGTGAAACAAGAAAGAAAAGATAAAAACAACTAGTTTTAGCTGCAATCCTATGGTCCCAAGTGAGTAAAGGTCTTGTCCGGGTGACTGGATCGTTTGGATACCATCCTGAATGTAGAAAAGAGGGGCCCATTTTCAAAGGTTGAAATCCTCCTAGAATCCCCCATGCCCCTTGACCCCTTTTGCCTCTCCAAATACCAGAGCTGAGGTTTCCATTACAGCTTAGAGGTGGCGTCTCTCCCTTGGCCTTGACGTATGAGGATGGGCACTATCCTACAGCCCGAAACATCCTCCCTATGATTATAGGTTTAGAGCCTTAATTGACTGAATAATGAATACCATTTTAAAAAGCTATGAATCTAACCCTTTATTCTGAAGTCAGGAAAGTTAGTATTCATCTCGCCAGCTGAGACTCTAGCACAGCCATTGGTAAATGGAGTGAAACAAAAACCATAACTGACAGGAGGGTAAATATAAAGCCCTCTACCAGACACAGTTTTGGAATCAGTTGGGCACGTTCTAGGAGAAGACCTATCCCCATATCCCTTTGCTAGAAGTATGGTAACCAATTGTTACACGAAATCATATTTGCTTCTTCCAATAGACTTAGAAGAGAAGGGTAGTGACAAGAAATCTGAACTTCCATAGTAAACTTGCATTGCATTTGCATTATATTAAAGTCAAACAATTTTGAGTTGTTTTACTATATTTATTCATTAAAGGGTAGGAAAACCCACTAAAATTTGGTCCCTTCTCAGAAACAGTGTATTCTGAAAGCAAAAACAAAACACATAATTATCCTGAAAGAAGCACAGAGATTGGTGTGCATTACAGTTCAAAAGCCTTAACTTTGCCAAGTTGCTTTTGTGCTGTTCACCTTACAAAAGTTACTAAGTGCATTTGACTTTTTCTAGTACACCACACACAATGCTTTCCAGCAAGTGATGTAACAACCTTGTAACAAATAAACCACAATCCTGAAACCAAGCCACTGCAAATTGCTTTTAGGTAGTGGCCTACATCAATGCCAATTTTGTGGTGCTTGGTAAAATAGTTCATGGCTTCTTAAAAAGAAGGGCCTCATTCAGTGTCCTATATAAACATCATTACAGCAGTATGGGAAATTAATTGATGCTGAGCTACTGGCAATCTGCACATTTGTTAGTAATGTGAAGTTTTCCTTCACAATTTTTTGTGCTGAATACCTTGCATATCTTCTAGCAGGCAGTCCATTTCTGGTCTCACTCAGGTACAGAGGAAGCAGAATGAAAACGTTCAGTATGTGTCTGGCTTGCTGTGCTTTGCTTGTGAAAGAAGCACAAGCTATTTAGAGATGTTTGGTGAAAGCTGCTGACCCACAAGAGATAAATAGGAGAGGGGAAGCCAGGCCACTTTCACTAATAACAGGATTACAAACTTACTATCTTATTTCCAAGATCTGGTAGCCAGGTGTATGGAGCTTCTAGACTTAAATGTCCCAAGTAACTCTCATAGGTAAGTGTTATTGTTACCAGTATCTTTCATGATGTTCTCTAACCCATTGGAAAAGCCCTTAAAACATGTACAGGGCTAGGTTGAAAATCTACTTTTGCATGTTCCATGTCAACCCTGAACATGGTAGGGCCCTTCCTATCCTTTATATTGACAACATTCATATATATTTACATATAATAAGTGCATGTGCTACATTCCGAAAACCTCCCAAAGCCCTGAAGCACAAATTGAACTGAGGCTTCTGTTTGGTATGTAGTTACTAGGGATCAGTGCAGCATGTGGAGTCATTGTATTGTCATACACAAAGACCACCCAAACCCCACCTGCAGGTGTTACATAGCTTCATGTTGCTTCCTTCCTCCAAATTAAAGGTCTAGATCCTCAGACCTGGGGACCAAATCCAGCTCTCCAAGTTTCCCAAGGCGGCCATGCTCCCTTTCCCTGCCAACTGGCCAGCGTTTATTTGCTGGCTTCCTAGCGCTTGTTCCATTTTCCCCTACTCTAAAAGGCTGTGGTTCTCCTAAGGCTTAATTACTACCGGGAGTAAGAGCTTTCAGCTAAAGTTGGCTGGTGTTCTGGCCTCACCCCTTTTGCCTGCAGCCCTTCCCACCACTCAGATTTATGCCCTTTCCTCAGAATGCCTCTGAAGTGAAATTTGGCCCTCGGGCTGAATGTGGTGCAACGTCCTCGCCCAAAGGCATCGTGGGAAGATGGTTTGTGACCTCTAACTGCTCCGTCACTGCAGATGATGGTGATGGAATGCAATGGCTTTCAAGCCACCCTGCCTAAGGAGAATTTCCTCTAAGTAGAAAAGCTCAAGAAACGAATGGCTTGCCCACCTGTTCTTCTACTAATTGTTCCTGTGCATCCATGTAGCACCTGTTAACCAGCAGGATAAGTGAAGTGGATGCTCCAGGAGACGGATTTTGGGGCCCCTTAAGGGTAACAGAAAGGCAGAGGAATCTGATGCACGGTGTGTGTCTCCCCTCCAAGGGCCATTGAGACATGGTGCTGCTCTGTCCTTGTGTAACTCACTCCTTTTAGTGAGGCTTAGGCAGAAATGGACCGCGTCACTTGTTCTTCGCGGAGTCATTCCACTCGGTTGCAAGACACCAAAACATCTGGGGCAAGTCTTGCATGAACATGCCCTCCGTCTGGTCCTTGAAATGCACACGGATTAATATAGACGTGGCAGGTCAGAATCCTTCAGTTGTTCATTCCTAATCCTACTGACCTTCTTAAAGGGTAGACTGCATAGTCATTGTTCCGTGCTATTTTAAACCACTTCAGGCCTGTATCAATCAGAACGCTTCAGGTTAGTGTTTACAGAGATACAAGAACCAGAAGAACAAACTGTGAAATGAAGGGCTGGAACTGGGAAAAGTAAACACAGTAAGTCTGAATTTAAGCATAGCTGTGTTCCTATTCAAACACTACTATTTGATATGCATAGGCCCAGTGGATCAAATGCAAAAGATTTGGCAAACTGAGCTGCAATTTTTCCAGTCAACTCAGTAACAATCCTGGGTCAGTTTCAGAGATAATCTTACCATGGATCAATATGAAGCAATCTCTTTCGGAAGACTATTCCAGAGGAAGTGCTCTATTTCCCAAACTATATTTTTTCTCTACGTATTTCTGAATGCAATTAAAAACTGTCTTGATTTTGACCCACAGAGACGGCTTTGCTTGTGACCTGTTGTTTCAGGTAGGAAGGCAAGAACAGCATTTCTCATCCTTAATGCTTCTTTACACCCACATATGTCTATAGAGGGTCAGTTTGCCCATATACTATGCTTGTATAGCTCACACATTCCTCCTGGGCTGACTCTATAGGCACCTAAAATGGCCAAGATGGTGCACTGGATGAGATCAAACATACCTCTGTGTTTCCATTGCACTATTCTATGGTCTAGTCAGTGCTTCAAGAATTGTTCCTAAAAACAACAAAAGGACCGACTGTTTTGTTCAGCAATGGCCCTTTCTTTTCAGCAGCATGAATTTCAAATGGGAGCAAAGGGGATCTAAGACACTATTGGCTAGACTATATAGGCACTTTGGAGCCATCCTAGTTTTTGGTGGACTATAGCTTCAGATTTGAGCCTTTGTTATCCTGTGAAATATCTTTGAATGCAGATGTGGCTCACTTTGGCTAGTAGTACATACAACCACACCCACCCGATTGGACTACTAAAATTGATATATTCATATAAGAACTGGCCTTCAGTTATATAGCACGAATGCAACATTCTGTGTAACATTCAAAGCGCCCGGTGGTAAAGCACCCTAAAAAAGCTGTATCTTTGTGCTTGAAGGGAAGTCAGCCAACTGACTTCACAGTGTGTTCAGTTATAGCAAAACACCCTGCCCAGAAATGTTTTTAAGTCTTATATAACTGTCCCTTACTGGACTTGCATGGTTGTCAGGGGGCTAACATAATTTATAGCCCAATAAGTGAATAAGTTCTTCCATTCTTCTTCACTGGATTATATCATGAAAACCTGATAATAATAGAAATGTTTGAGCTTCAAGTAATGCAGATCTTGTCACAGGACCATGCCCTCTTCTGTCTCCCTGGGGTTTGCATCACGTACAAGTTGCTTAAGGTACTCTTTGGATTTCTGGATGTCCTTGAGCTCTTATCCTCAGATTTGGAATCATTATCTAGGACTCCAAGCTTAACAAAGCTGTGTAGAAAGTCACAACAAGAAAAAGGTGGGCACCAAGAAAGCAGGCACATTCTCCTTCTGCTTTCAGGCGCTTAGGGTTGTGAGGAATGCAACATTCTTCCAGCTTTTCTGGATTCAGATGCTGGTGACATAGATGACTTCGGGAGGGCCGTTTTTGTCGGGCCCCGCCTCAGCTGGCACTTCACTGTATTTGCCCCTCGACGGGTCCTCAGGGGGTGGCTTTTGAGTTTCCGTTAATTTGTTCTTTGCCTCCATGGTGCAGAAGCCAAGACCCATGAAGAGAGCTGCGGATACCATGAAGAAGCTGGAAGCGTAGAACACGTAACTAAAGTGGCCTGTGATATCCACGAGAAAACCTGCAACATAATCAAGTGGAAAGCTCAGGCAAAGACATGCTGAAGTACAGAGTTCACCTTTTTAATACGAGTCCTGTCTCTCCAACCTGTGAACTGATGTCTACAGCTGATCTCATGGGCATAACTGCCCCTGGTACCTTCCTTTCCCTCCTCCTCCTCCTCCTCAAAGGATATGCCTTCACCAGAAACAGAGACCAGTTCAAGTGCCGTGGCTTCCCTGCCCCATCACCAGAACAAACACTGGAAATTGTCATTGGTAACTGGACTGAGAATCAGCTGTTGTTCAGAAGCTTTATTTTAACAAATTTTATTTTCCCAATATTTTAACAGTTAATTGGTTTTATGCTTGTTTTCAGCATCATTTATTGGATGCAGTGTGTTGTGTGTTGTTTGCTGTATACGGTTGCTTTGTTTTGTTTTTTGTAAGTCATCCAGAGACTTTTAGTATTGGAATGGCATATAAAAACTTTAAATAAATAAAAATTAAATAAACACACCGGGGCGGGGGGGGAGGGGCTGCTGTTTTCAGGATGCCTGGGGAATGAGTATTAAAATAGATTTAACTCTGTGATATTGATACAACTAAAATCTCTTTAATGAACATTGTTCTCAGGCACATGGCCAGCCACCATCTCCTTGTCTATTTAACAGCAGAGTGTGGAGCTTTGGTTTGAAGGGTCAAATGGATTGGTCGAATGAATCCTAAATATCTGCTCAGGGATGGAATTACACTGCAGGCTCAAGCAAATGTCACTTTCTCCATCTTCAGCTCCCCAGGTGTAAATCAGAATCAAAGTAACCTGTCTCAGGACTGGGTGGCAGACAGATCAGCCTCTACTGGTAATTTTCTGGGTGATCACCAAGAGTTTCTGACTCCCAGCTCTTTAACAAGCTCCTCCTAAATGAGGCAGCAGAGGTGGAAGGAAGCTTTGGGGGAAAGCCAGGGCTGCTTCCAGACAAGGTTTTCATGCCACTGTTGCCTGCCCCCTTTGCAAAATTTTTCAGATCTAGAAGAGGAGGACTTTCAACTTATAATCCCCCTGCATTCTCCCACTGTTTCACCTGTCTTTTCCCTTATCCAACCAGAAGTGTACTTTTGTGACAAGACTGTGAGCTCCATTCCAGTATTGAAAACAAATTCTTGGGCAGAGCTTGTTCCTCAATGCTATGGGGACCTCCTACTATTTTGCGCCTGGCTCCAGTTGGTGGATCTTGCGGTTCTAGGAAAAAACAAAGAAGGCCGAACAAGCCATATATTTCCCTGCAATCTCCTAGTGTGATTGTAAAGACATGTTCGCGGAATGTTCTGTATGCCTGCAACCTCCGGATAATCATCAGCATCAATGATTCTCAACCTGTTGTCATGCTGCGACGGACCCCTCCAGAACATCATGCATCGTCCTGGCAGCGTTAGGAGCTCTTGGGCAGGCATGCTGGATCAGCAGCACTGTGGTGCAACCTTGCCCCCTTTCATTTTCATTCCTCATCAGCCCTCACCCTCTTCTCCCCCACCATTCTGTGTCTTCAGCAGTTCCGTCTTGTCCCTGTAGTCCTTCTTTGTTCTTCCACTTTCTCCCTTGCTCCCTTACCTTCCGCACTCTTCTTTCTGCCTGGCCCTTACCCAGGTCTTTTCCTTACCCAGAGGTTTGTTTCTGACACAGCATGACATCCCATGAAGCCTGTCCTTCAAACAGCTGTAGATTTAGAGATCAGGACTAGTTTCTGGACTTGGAATCCTGCTGGTCCAGATAGCAAAGTGATTTGGCCAACAGTGGCTGGACAGCCCATGGGCATCTTCCCCCAACCCAAGTTTTGCGAGGCTCTCCTTCTCATCAGTCCTCCGAGAAGAGCTAAGCCAAGCTACCTGAATTTTCCTCAGGACTCCAGTTCAGCCTTCCCCAATCTGGCGCCCTCAGAATGTGATCAGCTACAGCACCCAGCATCCCTAGCCCAAATAAAGAATGGCCATGCTGCTTGCTATGATGGGAATTGTAGTCCAGTGCATTAGGATGGTGCCAGGTTCAGGAAGAGCAGCTCATGGTCCAACCTAGGGCTAGCGCAGGTCTGAAGAAATAGGTCCATACTACCACTGCAGCGCCAGGCTTGGAACCCCGCTGCTTCAACTCCATCCACCTCCTGTACTTTCAGATTCTTATCTCAGCTCCCAGAACTTGGCACTCAATGCTAGAACTCCTCTCAGGCCAACAGTGACGCCTAAGCAATCTCAGCCTAGCTTTATCCTGGATAACACAAGTCATTTCGGCCCCACAGTACTGATGCAGATTTCGCCTGCCCAGACAGCAGGTTCCTTGTAAACAGAGTTTTTTGGGAACGTTCCACAGCAATCCACTTCTCAGAATCTGTTCTAGCTGACATTTTGGTTTGCTTCATTGAGACACATCTCATGTTAACATCTGTGTTTGGTTTGTGCAAAATAAATGATTATTTCCCTCCTGTGGCCTCTTTTTTTCTTTTTGTTTTTGTAATAAAGTGACTGAATCATAACTTGCCCAAAGGCATCTCTGGTTTCTATTTCCAGAGAGAAAAATATCTGTGCATGCAATTTGTTAATTTTGCTTGATCCAGAGGGCCTTAAGTTTCTGGCTCCAAGGGTCTGTGGATACTGTAAACAGTCGCCTGCCTACTTAAACCCTACTAGGGCATCAGGCAAAACTAGCCGTAGCATCTCAAGGCTGGCAGTCATGTTTGCTGTGTTACCCACTGGCTGTTGTGTTGAATACTGCTAAGTGTGAAAGGGAGACGCAGGCCTGAGAACAGACAGAACACAGAAGCAAAAGAGCTGTGCCTGTCAGCAGTAACTAGAGGAATTTTCCACATTTAGAGTTTTGGGAATATCGTGGGTGCTCACCTAAAATGGTTGCTGTTGTGCGCATGGACTCAGAAGAGTCCTTGGTGGGTGCACAAAAGGAAAAAACTTCCCATGAAAACCAGAGGGTTGATGAAAATATATTCTGGTGTCAGCAGAACAAGCTTTACTCCCCAGCTGCACAGACGATGAGAATGGAAGTACAGGAGATAAGGAAATTCAGGGAGGTGTCCAAACAGAAGAACATCCCGAGACCAATTTGGTTGTTGATGAGGAAACAATTTTACCAGGTGACGATATGGGATGTGGGAATGTAGGAGATAACATGGAGGAAGCTGTTGAGGATGCTCATTCTTGCAGACACACGTGCAGATTGGGACAAATAGAATCGAGACTGATTGAGCGACGCAGGGAAAAGGGTCACAGTGCCACGCCTCTGGAAGGACGGCCCCGAAGGATTCAGAAGCCCAGTGTAAGTTGAACTTAATTAGAACGAGAGGACAACTTCCTAGCTTATCTGACTGTAACCAGGGCCGTCTTAACACCATTCTGGGCCCCGGGCAAAGCAGTGTACTGGGGCCCCTACGACAACTACAACTACTGTTAATTTTGGAAGTTTTCCAATTTTCCAAGGGTTAACATACACAGATTAGTATGGGGCCCACGGGCGAGGGCCCATCAGGCCCATGCGTTACGATGGCCCTGACTGTAACTGCAATACTGTGTAGAATAAAACTTGTGTAGTATCAACTGGAGTGATTGCTTTCGTTGGGAAGGAGCGCCAGCCACGCAACAGTTGCCATTGAACTGGTGGTGGGATAGCTCATTAGGTTGTTTCCAGCCACAAAATACCCATTCCCCAGAGGTCAATGGGACTAGAAGAAAAGACTTGCTGAAGAACGCAAGTACAGGGCAGAGGTACAGGCCAAGCTCTGAAACACAAAACTGCTTTCTTGATCCAAGTTGGTGCTAGAAGCCAGCCCCTCACTTTTCAGCATGCAGCCCTCCGAGGTTAAAAAAAATAAGTTAAAAAATGAAGGTATAACATAAAAATCGGGTGGGGCAGGGAGCTTAGTGGGCACCACAAGAGGTGGCTGCAGACACTGTGCCGGACCGGCCCAAGCTGTTAAATATTCTCAGACCTGATCTGACATGGTTTAGCTTTTTCAAGGGCATTAAAATACAGGAGCGGACATACAGAGGTGGATCTAAAACCATAAGTGAAATCCTAATCATGGAAACAGTGAGTCTCAGCACCCACTAATGGAAGGGCTGATTCTCCTTGCAGCCCTTCAGCATCTGCTCTAGAGGACTGGGGTGGCCTCCAGACAGGCCTGGGAGGTGGGGCAGAGAGGAGAGAGCATATACAAAAATGTTCTCCCTCCTTTCAATTAGTAGCAGCTTCCACTCAATCAAAAGGCTTTTGCACCTTTGACACAACCCATCAATAATAATGGAGTAATTAATATCTACTATTTTGTACAAGTCTATAAAAACTCGTATCAACCAAAACATTTCTTCACTTTCTTTTAAAAATGCAGTTTTTCATAATGTTTTTGCATACTTTTGTCTTGTGTGTGTGTTTTTTTAAAGAGCTGAAATGCACCAGACAACCATGGTGGTGGCTCCCCAGTATGGTTCTACAATGGGGCTATCAGGTTTTTAATGTTTTCCATAGCAAACATCCACGTATGTGTGTTGAACGTGAGTGCTACATAAAATTGGGTGTTAACTGCATGACTTGTGACATCCCACTTACAAAAGAAAAAGAAATCAGTTTGGGGAGGGCAGTGAAGGACAGGGAGAACCTTCAGTCCCTTTTCTGCCTACTGTTTCCGAAGAAGCTCAAGCATTGCCTTCCTTGTATCTGTTAACAGAATCTGAATTACTCTCTGGGGTTGGAGGATAGATGACCATCCAGGAAAGAGATCTGCAAGCTCCCAGGTAAGTTCTCCTTCTTTCTAGTCGTTTACCATCCACAATGTCTGCTGGAGTCCCTAAGGCACTAGAAAGAGTCTTTCCGAGGCTGAAGAAATTTTCCTACAGGGAATTCTATGACCACATATTTTATCTGCCTCTTACCTGCAAGAGGGGGTCCAATGAGAATAGTGATGCTCTCCAAGATGGTGAAGAGACCCAAGGCACTGGAGAACCTGTCCATTTCTACCACATCCATTAATACCTGGAAGATAAGTGCACCAATGATGCTCATGGAAACACTATAGACCAAGCAGTAGAGGACAAGAATATTGTACCCCGCTGAGATGGCACAGATGAGGTTGCTCAGGCCATTGAGCAAGACAGCTGTGCTGAAGAGGTAGATCCGCCGGCCAGTGAAGATGCTGAGGCCCGACAGCAGGCCGGCCATGGGGCGCATGAATATGTTGATGAACCCAATGGTGGAGATGAGGAGTGCCGCCTTGCGCTCCTCGACACCATTCAGAATAGCATAGGGCACCAGATAGATGAGGGGCAGCACAAACCCCATCACCATCCAGGCTACTCCAATGGTGTAGATCTGGTAGCCTTTGTTCTTGAAGAAGATGTCAAATGCCAGGTACTTCTGCAGGGTCTGGAAGCAAGCGGCAAATCTGGACTGACGTAGCAGCTCCTTGTGATGTGCACTGTGGCCATTGGACAAATGCGCCCCTTCCACTGACTGCCCCTGGCAGCAGCTCAGCGATGGGGCAGGCGGCTTGGTGGGGACCGGTCTCATCACAGCCCCACACACGCAGCAGTTCAGCAGCATGCCCCCAAAGATGAGGAAGGTGTTTCTCCAGCCCATCTCGTCAAGCAAGTACTGGGAGATCAGTGGCCACAGCGTGAGGCCAATGGAGACGCCCGAGGAAGCCAAAGCATTGGCCAGGGTTCGCCGGTGGGAGAAGTAGTAGCCAAGCACTGTCACACTTGCCTGGAAGCTAAAGCACGATCCCAAACCTTTAAGGAAAGAGGAGAGGAAAAACAGGAATGCGCCACGCTGGAGATAGACGGATGGATGTTTGATTATGAGAGCCCAGTATTTATCTCGAGCTTTTAAAGGGCTCAGTGCAGCCAGTGTCCCTGCACTTGCTCAGGGGCACCACTGAAAGAGGGCAGAGAAGGGGTGAGACATTCCCCACCCCAATTTCAGGCAACATCGTTTTTCAGCAGCATCCATATTTGATGGCAACTCACCAGTTCCTCACAAATACAATCTATTATTCTGAACAGTTAAAGGGTCCGTGCCAAAGCTATGGCATCCCTTGGCTGGAACAACTGCGCATGGGCATGCACATGTGTGCACACGGATGTCTGTCTGTGCCCGCCACAGAGGGACTGGCCAGGGTTCAATAACACTTGCTAGCATTTGATAACATGGCTCCAAGGACACATTTAAAAAGTGACCTCATCAAAACTCCTTTAACTACGTTGCTTGATGCTGATTTAGCTGTTTAATTTAACATAGCCAGGCTCTTACCCCTACGCAGATCGCTTTAATGTAATGAAATGTCATAACGAAAGCCATGCTGGATCAGACCAAAGGTCCATCTAGTCCACCACCCTGTATACATAGTGACAAAGCAGCCGCTCACAGGTTCCCTCAGGCAGGATGGGTGCCACACCTCCTCCTGCCCAGCTGCTCAGCAACTGGTGTATGTAGGCAGGCTGCCTCTGGGAAAGGAGGTAGAACATTACCCAAGGCTAGCATGCACTGATAACCTCCTCCCTAATGTAATGCAATGATAATTTGTCCCTCCCTACTGAAAAATTCTGAAATAGCATTCATGTGTAACATAAGCCCATATTCTTAGCCGTGTATTGCAGGTAACTGACAATGGAGTGCCGAAATCAGATCTGAACCAGAATCACACTCCTCAGTCCTGTGGAAATGCTATTGGGATTAAGTCCCGGTGAATCCAGTGGAGCTTACTTCTGAATATATTCATGCATAGGGTGCATGGCCAGCCACTTCACTATACTGTCCTTCAGCCTCTGAGTCCCATTAGACATGAGGAGAAACAGTGTGACAGCAACCCTGGATGACAGTCATAGATACCCACCCAAATAGTTGGCTGTACTCACCAGTGATGAATCCAGCTGTTATATAAAGCTGGCTAATAGATTTGGAGAAAGAACTGGCAACCATGCCCACCCCACTGAGAAGACCTCCCAGCATCACAGTGGTCCTGCAGCCAAATCGCTCCACCAAAATGCTGCAAAGCGGTCCTGAAAAATAAACATCAGTGTCAGGGCAGGAGCTCCAGATGTGGAACTACTACGGAGAATGGAAGACTGCTCCATGGCAAAAGTGATGCTGCCACGCATCCGTGGGTAAGCTGGTCTTCCTCGCCATTCTCCTGCATGTGGTTCATGAGGAAGGAAGAGTAACATATTTTAGATGCCCTTTGAAATCACAGCTATTCACATGGGGGGTTTCCTCATCTATGCAGAATGCTGCGGCTACTCTGTTATTTTTATAGGATTGGAATGTTTTAAGGATGCAATCCTATGCATCTTTAGTCAGAAGAAAATCCTGCCACTCCTACCATGCCCCGGCCATTAATTATGTGAACTAGCATGTCGCCATGTTGTATTTCAGGGCACAACTCTGCACATATTTTGGCAGGACAGCCACACACAACTCTCAGCCTGGCCCAGCCAGCTTTGCGGGCCATTTCCCCTGCCTGAACTTGTGCCCTTAGGGATGCAGTATCTTCAAGCAGCACAGACTTTTGTACTAAATATGTAAAATACTATCATATGTGCCTTTCCCATCACCCACATAATTCAAGGCTATGTCTTGTAAAACAGAATTATGAAGGGTGGGGAGATAATCCTAGGTCATTATCGTTTAACTTCCTGCTTAAGAGGATCACCACGAATGTTCCCAAGCAAACACTTCCACCTGCAGGATATGGAGGAGGCCTAGTTCAAACACGGGGGAGGCAGGGGAGAATGGGAAGTGACTGCCTTGCTGTGTATCAACAACCCAGAAGGCAAGCAAATACCATGGTGGTAAAAACTAGTGACATGTATAATTGCAGGCAAGAGAGAATGCATGAACTGAGCATCAGGATGCAGGTTTTCAGGACTGGAGACAAGAACTGATGGTCATAAGCTAGCCAGAGCTATTGCAATGGAGCTGGAAAAGTAACCTGAAGAAATACCAGTCAGTTTTCAGAGCATAACATTAAGACAACATGCTCCTTAGATACAGCGAAGTTCAGGCTGTTGTCTGAATTGTCCTAGAAATAATTTGTCAGCAATGACAGGAAGCAGGTGGTGAAGCTCGGGGGCATGCCCCAGCTACAGGACCATGTTACGGGACCACAACTTTGTTGGTTAACAGGTGCCTCTCGGGTAACAATCTCTCAAAGGGAAGTGGTCTGACGACATTTCACTTTCCCTCAGGACATGACTTTCTCAAAAAGTTGCACAATGAAGCAGGTGTGAACAGGAAGTGGAGTTTATCCTTTTTGTGACTTTCCAGTAGACTTCAGGTACTGCTTATGTGACTTGGCTCTATGTCCCTGGCTTCTGTGAAGGAGGCGTCTTTCTGTGCAGAAACAAATTGTGGCCGCTTCCAGGATTGAGAGCTGCTAGAGCCCCTAGTTAGAAGGCGTGGCACAGCTCTTCAGTCTCTTCCTCCTTCACGGATTTTCCATGGGAAGACGTAAGACAGAAGCAGCACTGGGCAGAATGTGGGAGGCTCTTGCGTGAAGGACGGCAATGTCTGGACACAAGCTCCACCGGACAGAAGACGGAAAGCTTGAAAGACCCAACCGTCCTCCACAGCAGTGGGACAGACGGGCTGTTCAAAGGGATGGCGTGAACATTCAGCCATTCAGCCATTAAAATACTGGGAAAATAAAAAGGTTCAGGCCTAGCAGTGAAAAGAGCAAAGAGTCGGCGCCAGGTATACTTCTCTGGGGAGCAGATTCCACACTTGGGGCACCACCACTGAGAAGGCCCTTCACCTGGGAGCAACCTTGCTGGTCTCTTTCAAAGAGGGCTGCTGGAGAAGGACCTCCGCAGATGATCTTTCAGGCACAAGGCCTAAAATTCAGGGATGACAACTGGCTTGCTGGTGCATCCCAGGGTCTGATATGGAGAAATTACAGTTAGGATGGCCAGTTATGATTTTTTTTCACTCTTACTCATAGGCAGGCTAAATCCCATATCTTTAGGTAATGGGGCCGCCTACAGAATCATACAGCTATGTATTATAACTTGTCCCACTCTTCTTTCATAGTTCTTCACCTCCCCCTGTATTTAGCACAGCCCTGTGAGGCAGGTTACGCCGAGTGAAGGAGAGTGGCCCAAGATCACCCAGCACGCTTCGTGGCTTTGTGGAAATCTGGTATGTCTGGTCCTGGGGGCTGAAAGGTATCCCAAGTCCTCAAGTCTAATCTGAAGGCACAGGCAGGGACTGAAAAGGATAAGGTGAATTTGCTCAGGGCTTCTGCTTATTTAACAGCTGAGGGCATGAAGAAGCACGTCAGGTTAGGCGCTTCGCTTCACGCAGCTGCTTCTGCATCTCTGGGCACGCGCTTTTCCCCTCCAGGCTCTGCTTGTCACACAGGTTTCCAGTGGTCATAAACAAAACAAACAAAGGAAAATGGGCCACCCTACCTGGGTCACCTCAGGATACGCCCAAGTAGAGGGCACGGCAGCCTCGTGCAAGAGGGCCTGGCAGCCCCGGACTGAAGTCTCTAACAATTTAAGGGCATTTCCCAGATACCATTTCACTTCTGCACATGGGAAATAAGTTGCTGACTTGGGTCCAAAATTAAAAGACAAAATGATTATGCAACTTGGCACGTGCTATGGATATGCTCGGTAGAAGAAAACAGGCCTAGCCTGTTTGTTTAACACAAGTTTAATATGCAGAAGTTACCAGGCTTAATTTATACTGTTAATTTATATTATTTTAAGGAAGTTTATTTATGTTTGTGAGCAGCCCAGAGGCTTCGGCGAATGGGGCGCCATGGAAGTTTTCTAAATACATAAATAGGCGATGCTTTTTGTGGCACGGAGGATAACATGCTCACCTGCTGAATTCTCTGTTAAAGGTGAGGGAGCAAGCCAGTCAAATTTTCTGGGCCAACTGGCAGCTTTACATTAGCCTAGAAGCAGCACACACTTCCCTCTTACACAGCCTTAAACGTCAGTCCAGCTTCTACGTAATACTTTGTCTGAAAGCTGATGGGAATAAAGGATTGCAGCTTTTTCCCCTGGCTAGGTTTTGTCCTTTCAACCATCAGAGGTTAAATGCAGAGGAGCCTTGCCAGAAAAACAGTTTGCAAGCGTAATCATATTGTAGGTTGGAGAAATTTGAGGTACATTCTCTCTCCTCCTCCTCTTGTTCAGCTCAGCATAAGCCTATTATATGTTTAATCATTGTGACAGCTTAGATTTCTTTCCTCTGAATCACTAGTTTACGTAAGCCATCCATGTGGATCATATATATGTACAATAGGCTGGATTTCTGGCTCAGTGTGGTACTGTAGCCTGAAAAGACTTCTTCTTACTCAGATAAGGTTGTTTTGTTTGTTGGAGGAATTATTCATGTCCATTTCCTTTTTCTCTGTGGCATCACTCCCTTCACTACTTCTGATCCTTCCAAACAGAAACTTCCTTCCTTTGCCTGAGATGTAAAGCATCTTGATGCACCTCATCCCAGCTGGTCTCAGGGGACACTAAGCTATCGGTACCCTCAGGTCACATGGCTGCCCTTACCAAGATACAATCAGAACACCCTGAAAGCAGATTAAATGCACTGAGATTGTGTAAGCTAGGGTGGCACATGGACCTTATTTGCTATGTATAATATCATTTAGTTTATCCTACTGTATAGCAGCAACAACACAATGAAACAAAAAGCAGTTTAAGAAGCAGGAGGGAGTGTTACACAGAGTAAGGAAACTCTATGGGGCATGCCGTCCACACAGTGACATGGACGAAGGAGGTCAAAACAGAGCAGGCTGTGGAAAGCAGAGGCAACTCAAGTTTGCAGCTCTTTTCTACTCATTGAGGCTCTTTTCTACTTGTTCCTACTGAGCTCTGTAATTTCATTTTTCATGTACTGCCCATATATCCTATCCAATGGCAAAAGCTCTCTAGCCTGCTTACAATGATCAAAAACCTTAACAACATGATATTATACAACATATAATATCTGTTTCTCTGGTACAGTGATTATGATATAGTATTTCTACCCCGTTTTTCCCTCTTGTAAAGAGCCCACAGTGGCTTACATCCTTCACTCCATTTCACTCTAAATGAATGGTTACAGCCACATAACAGAAACATGCAAACAACTCAGGATATGTTGGCTTATTATCATTTTATGTACTTATGCAGCATTTTCTAGCTCTGCCCAGCTACTATTTCCCATCAAATTCCCAACTTTCTGTTTTGTGTCCTTTCACAGGACACAAATAGAGAAACTATTAGTTGGTAGGATGAATTATCACCATCCAGTCCATAATATAATGCTCTGCTACCACATAAGGTATATAAAATATATGGATTTCTGCCCAGCTGGTTCCAGACCTATCGTTCTCAGCCTCATAGCTCATCCTAACTCCAGAAAGGCAGCAATTCCTATAAAGGGTCAGCCAGGATGCCCCATCGTATTCTAGAAACCCTTCTGATGGGTCACCAGATTACAGGTGCTGGATTGTGGCAAGGTGATACTAGAAGTCTGGATCAGGAACTAGAACCATAAGGAAGGGTTTGAGCAGAAGACAATTCTGTTAAAAGAGCTCCTTGGCAGAATAATATGTAACTGGTCACCCACCTTCCCCTGCATCTTTGCATCAGAAAGCGAAAGGGAAGCTTACAGATTGCATGGTCTGATGACTCTCCATAAGCCAATACATCCCCACAGGTACCTTTCAAAAAGGAAGGCTAGAAAGGAAAATGAACACTCACCACCTGCGTGTAGCACAGCCGTCATGATGGAGGGGAACCATGATGTCTCGCTGTTGCTGGCTTGGAAATCATGCTGCAGATCCTTGAAAAAGACCCCAACACAGGCAGGAAAGCCCAGGGTCAGGGCGTGAGCCAGCACCGTGGCTACTAAGACCATCCATGCCCATCCACGATCCTGGAATCTGGAGCTCTGAGGGGCTGCCTCTCCCTCCTGGGGCATTCTTCCCTGCAGCTTTCTCTGAACAAGCTTAATCAGAAGAAAACAAACAGATGGATGTGGGACAGCAGCAAGTTCAGTGGAAAGGTGACAGTGAAGGAGCTATTGAGCAAGAGTCCATGCCAGGAGCAGGAGACTTTTCTGTGCCTCTCCAGAGAACTCCTCAGCCCTTGCCTGAGTTCATCAGCCTGCTTGGCAAAGGGCTGCCTTCCCTTTTACTTCACGAGGCTGCGAGAGCCTTGTGAAATAGTATAGGTCACACCTGAAGCGAGGAAGTTCGCATTACTTGGCATAGTTTCCTGGCTTGTTTTCCCTTTCACCTGCTTTCAGACTACAAACTCCCCTTGCCAAACTCCTCTATCCAATGTCATAAAATTCTAGTGCCAAGAAGAGAAAGCGTGCAAATGTCAGTGACGCTGCAAAGTATTTATAGTTCTGCTGAGCATTCAGAGGACCGCAGTGAGTCCTCTCCCACAAGCTCCTGGGGTTCATTTCAGGTGCTGGATAGAAAGTTCCAAAAGCCCTTCCGCTAAGTGTCACTCCATGTCCCTCCATGGGTGAACGGATGGTCACGCATGACGCTTGCATCTATGTTCATTTGTTCTATGTTCACAGAACTCTAGTCTAATGTTCACAGGGGCTAGAAAGTACACTTGATACACCAATCAGTTTCTTCTCCTTTCCATCCCACACAAAAAGCATTTCTATGCGCACACAAATAGCACAAGAAACACACACAGGTGTGCTTTAATGCACCTGTAATGCCATCCTCAAAAAGGCCCTGAGGAGGGGCTGTCCCTTGAATTGGGTTCCACAGCGAGGCAACCCCCCGAACCACCGAGGTTCCGGAATGAAGAAAGACCACCATGGTTTCCATGTGAACTCCGTAACCCACGTCGTGCTGGAGAGCAGACAGAGAGGCAGCTGTGCACGCGCGCGTGTAATCTATATGCTGCCCCATTAGCTGCAGACTCTCCGGGCAGCTCGCATACAGCCTGTGCTAACACCTGCTCTGCAGGGCTCTCCTTGCTCTGGGCCACAAACGGCCAGCAGGTACAAAGGAACACATGCACATCTTGGACATGAGTCTGGCACACCTGAAAAAATGCCTGATGTGGTCACAAACGCGGCCACAGGGAAGCAGGGCTTGTTTTCATTTCTCTGGGAGCAGAGGCGTTGCCAGGCAACTGCAAAAAGCCTTCCTCTGCTCTGCTCGCTTCTCCTCCCTGAGCCCCACGAGCCAGCCAGCCAGCCAGCCTGCCTGGCGGCCTCACAGTCATCTGGGGGGAGCATGCACTGCACCCTGTTTTCGAAGCCCCACAGTGCCATCCGGAGCTGAAGCAGGGTGGAGTCTCGGAGCTGAATGCCTGGGTCTAGAGGAGATTCGCATGAGCAGAGGCTGTGCTGTCCTTAGGCATTTTCTAAAAAAAGAAGAATGTTCAAATGACCCCACCCATAGTCTGGAGAGTTAATTTTTAATGACACATACAAATTCGCTGAAGCCAGGAAAATTGCACCCCCCCCATGGATTCCACTACCTGACATGCCGATTCACATGCCTTTGTGCACGGCTGCTCCTGCACAGAGCCGCGCGGTCACCTCTGCACAGCCTTCTCCACCCGGATCCCAATGCGGGGCAGGCAGGAGGAGAAGGCACAAAGGCTCCTTTCAGCCCGAAAGGCACAGCAAATAGCTCCCTTCCCTAGTCCTGCTGCTGGAAACTGGCCGAAGCACACACTTCTGGCTGCACCGGGAGAGAGATCTGCACCTCCGCTGCCGCTAGGTCCTTCCATGGTAATAACATCCTCATTCCACTGAAAGGAGTAGTACTGAAGCAATCCGATGCACTCAAGGGTTACACCTCCTGCCTCCATATTTGCTCCAGTTACTTTTTAGTATGACTTAAGCGTGTTGCATGTGCATCTCTTTGCTGGGGACCGGCAAAGCCTGTCCCCGAGGTCTCCTGGGTTAGGTGTCTTCCTTGGGAAATGCTCGACAGTGTCATCAGGGGGCTACAGCTCGTTCTAGGCAATGACACTTCCCTCTTGCACACCAGTGCAGTCGCTCTGGACTTGCTTACCGACACCCCCCAAGGGAAAGCAGCCACTGCCTGGCAACCGCAGACCACAGAACAGAGATGCCAGCTTAGGGACCAGAGGCTGCCACAAACCCAGACGCCAACCCCATCCCCGTATCTACTGTGGCTGCCCTAAACATGGCGGCCACAACATCTGGGCTCATCCCCTGCTTGTCTTGCAGCGTGATTTATGCTGCCTTCTGCCAGCGACACCCTGCCCCTTTCACACGGGACAAGCACCCTTCACACACCAGGAGAAAACGAGTGTGCAAGGGACATCAGGAGCAGCAATGTTCAAAAGCTGGCATGTGGGGGCAGGCAGCAAGGACACTCTGCCACTGACCTGAGGGCGAGCCCTCCTGGACAAAGACACGTCAAAGCTGGGTTAGCCAGATGGACTTTAAAGGGGCACTGACCGCTGGGCTCTTGGTTCCCCTCTACCTCCTACAGCTTAAACTGGGATGAAGTCTTTCCAACGGCGGCGCTGCATCCGTTCATGAGCTTTCCTCATGCCAGGACAGTTGCGATAGCAGCCACGCTGTTTTGTTCTGTGCTCGGACAAGAGCAAACCTCCCTCCGCCCCTGAAACAACCGTCGTGAGAGAAGTTCATCTTCCCCGTCTACTGGAGAGCGATTATTTCCGCCTCAGGCCAGCTGCCCCGCTCCCCCCGTCCGCCCGCCCGCCACCTCTCGCCGGGAAGGGGGCCGCTGAAGGCAGTTTCATTTTCTTTTGGCAACAGGAAAGGAAAACCCAGCGCCGCCCGCCCGCCCGCCCGGGAGCCTTCGGCGGGGCAAGCAAGACGGATGGGCCACACTTCCTTCCCGCCTCCCTCCGCGCACGGCAGCCCGGCCGCTGAGGATCGCGAGGGACCCCGCAGGGGCAGGGAAGGGCACCGGATGGGAGGGGAGCTCCGCGCAGCGCGCGCACCCGCGGGCGCGCGCACCGGCCTTTCCGAAGGGGCCCCGAGCCGGTCCCCCGGCCGATCCCCGTTACCTGTTCGCGCCGGCCCAGGGTGGGCGCGGGGCTGCCGGCCGCCTCCCTCCGGGGAGCGTCCCGGCCCCTTCCCTCTCGCTCTCCTTCGCCTCTCCCCCAGGGGCCGTCGGAGCCCTTTCCTCCGTCCGCCGCGGCTGCCGACGGAGGAGGAGGAGGAGGAGGCGGCTGGATGGCGAGAGCCTGGATTATCGCTCACTGCGGGAGCCACCCCGGGCGGGAAGGGATCAGGCGGGAGCCGTCGGAGGGAGGGCGAAGGCTGCGAGGAAGGACGGCTCCGCCGCGCTGGCGACCGTGCAGTCAGGCACTGCCGCGGTCTGGCCCGGAATGGGCGGCCTCGCCTCGGCTTGGCTTGGCTGGCTTGGCTTTCAGAGGGCTTGCAGGGCCATTGTCCGCGCCCGCGCTGAAGCCCGGACCTCGCGGCTGGGCTATGGCGGGTGCAAGAGCGGCTCTTGTGCTGCAGGGAGGGGTGGGGGGCAACTGCACGTGAAATTGGTGGCGTGCGCAGGCGGCGTGGTGCGTGGTGATAGTGCGGGGCTGGAGCCCAGAACGCCTGGGTTCCGGTCGTCTTTGGCTGACTCCGACGCTGCTGCTGACTCTCAGGCTAACCTACCTCACAGGACTGTTGTTGTCAAGATAATATGGAGAAGAGCTGCGTAGGCTGCCTGGGGTTCCTTGCAAGAGGAAAAAAAGGTGGAATATGAATGCAATGTGATAATACATGTAATAATAATAGTTACCTTTGTATCCAATGCAATGAGCTCAGGATGGAAATAGCATACCCTATTAATCTCTCTCCTCTCTTCTTCGCAACAGCCCCATGAGGTTGGTTGGTTAGAGATATGGAGAGGGAATGGCTGGCCCTGAGTTACGAGAGAGTGCACGGCAGAGCGGGCATTAGCACCCAGGAATCCAGAGCCCCTGTTTAACAATTCCCATTATGCTGAACTGGTTGATGGAGTGCTCCCGCATTCCAAAACAAAACTGGCCCTGTAAATAGAAAACTAGCATCTCAGGAAGGAAGCATATGCAAACTAGCCTCTCACATAGCCTGTCTTTCACATACCCCGTAACCCTGCAATAGGTCTGCAGCAGCAGCATAAACCTAGATCCAGAGTGGGTAATTTGTAGGCCAAAACTGGAGGGGCGCGACTCCCATCATGCCTCATCATTGCATATGGCAGATGGGAGTGGTAGGCCAAAAGATGGAGAGGACCACAAAATGTCCACCATTGGCATGGACTACCAAGAGTTACATTGTTTATTCAATTCAAATAGTACGCTGATCACAGAGGGACTGATTAATGGTGCAGTCCCTAACCCTTATTAGACTGAAAATGCCCTACAACTTGCAGCCATGCTGGAGTTTTAGGACTTTTTTCTGTCTAGACATGCACAGGATTGTAGGACTTTTGTCTGCTCCTGCAAAAGCAGGAAAGTGTGTGTGTGTGTGTGTGTGTGTGTGTGTGTGTGTGGTGGGGTACGCTAACTACTGGCAGTGTAGGCAGGCACGAAAGGATGCTCTGATGGAAAGAATCTCAGCAAGGTAAACTTCCACCACCCCTGGTGCTCCACTCAGCCTGAGGCAGAGTACTCTGGACCTTGTAGCGTACCCCTGAGGTTGATGGAACAGGGGCCCAAGCCTGCACCCTCTGATTCCAAGCCCTGGGCCAGGGCCCTTAACCAGTAGGAACAACCAAGGGGAAATGTCTGAACTTAGTACCAAAGACAATTGAAATAAAAGGCATGCTTTCAAATATGATCAGCAGTAAGTTTATTAGCGAAAGGGGAAGACAATGACACACAATGGATTATTATCTGCAAACAATACTTATATGGCAAAACAACAGAATTGAATCTGTGTATTCACACCAGCAGCACCAGTCTCGAACCTCAGAAAGCAAGCCCTGCAAAGCAAACAGTATGCAGGGAAACGCAAAATCAAGCAAATCCCATTGAATTTAATTCCCCACAGTCTTTAGCAAGTCTGAGGCGATCCCTATTAGCTAATCATGAACAAGCTTTAAACGATCTGCCTTGCCTTTGTGTAGGCAGGAAATTCTGACACTCTGAACTCATCTGCCCAGTTAGAGAGCGTTCTGCTTCAGCTGTAATGACCTGAGAAGACACACCCAGGTAACTTAATATGAGCCCTTCTGAATGGAACTGTACATGTGCCTGAAACACAGAAGAAAAATCGATTGGCAACCCATTGAGTTGTTTGTAACAGTAGGCCCACAATGTGTAGAACCAGGGAGCAGGCCGGAAATGTAGATGCTCCTGAGGAATAATCACAAATGCTCCAAAGAGTGAGCAAGCATGTGTGCTTCTGCAGAATCTGGACTTCCGTGGAACCTGGTTGGTGAGCTTTCAGGTTGATAATCACCTGGTGTAGCCACTTGCATTCCCAACTGATATAGGAAGGATTTCAGTGGGGATGTAGCTGCTCATCACATTTCTCTGCCATCTTTCCTCCAAGAAGTACTAGCAACACACTGAAGTTGCTTCAGTTTGGTCCTCCCAGCAAGCAGTGCTGGGTGGGTGGCATCCAATAGGACACTTCTGCCTGTTGGAGATCTTGCCCCCACTGCTTCCACATTAACAATGTTGGGCTTCTGGGGCACTCTGAAATGAGTGGAAATGCTTGTTTCTGGAAGGAGGCAGGCTGGCAGAACTCATGCAAGGGAGCTGTACTGGCCTGCCACCTCCAGAAAGAAGCATTGGTACTCATTTCAGGGTTTGTCCTAGAAAACACTACATCTCCTTGCATAAATGGTGGGTCCTGGGTGCACAATAAAATCAGCAAAACCCACTGGAGGGGAATCAGCAAGACAGCAAAGAATCAATGTAGACATAAACTCTCCATTACATTCTGCCCAGTGTGGTGCAGGCTTTGCTGTGAAAAAGTGGCTGGCCCAAGCCCAACCAGTGGCTGAGTGGGGACTTGAACCCAGTTCTTCCCAGTCTAAGCCCAGCATTCTAAGCCATCTTTACCCAACCTTGTGCCCTTCAGATGCACTGGACTGAAATGGGCTGTCTGGGAAGGATGGGAGTTGCAGTCCAATACTATGGCAAGATACCAGGTTGGGGATGTCTTCTCTAAGCACTGCAATGCAATGGCTCTGATTCCATTAACATGGGATGGAGGGAGAATTAAGCAGTAACTGTGATTCAGAAGGCTCTGACTGAGCCAGTGTGATGCTGCTGAAATTTAGCATTGCTGCAGCAATGTCTTAATCTCTATCTACTTTCAGAAACCTGATGCAATTAGGGATGGAGAAGCCATGACTCATCCTTAGATATCACCAAGGGGAAGTTAGGTAAGAGAGTAAGAGGCTAATGTTAAGGCAGGCATTGGCAGACTTTTGGCTGCTGGGATTCACAGTGTTCAGCTCATGAGCTCAAAATGTACAAATCTGAACTTTGTTATAATTTTCAGATTTCAAGGTGTGTGTGTGCCTGGGCTGGCCTGTTGGTAGTAAAGATTTCTTCATACGAATGCTGGGATTTTATTTATTTATTTATTTAAAACATTTCTATGCTGCCCCATTCGCCGAAGTCTCGGGGCGGCTCACAACATAAAATTAAAATATAATACAACCAAATATACAATAAATTAACAATATAAACTAAGTCGCCCTGGCCAGATAAAATAAGCAAATAATATTAACAATTAAAATGACGTTTAAATAAAAAGGTCTTCACCTGGCGCCGAAAAATAACGACGGCGCCAGGCGGACCTCTCTGAGGAGCGCATTCCATAGATTGGGTGCCACTGCAGAGAAAGCCCTCCTCCGAGTACCTACCCTCCTAATTTCTTTCACGGAGGGTTCCCAGAGAAGGGCCTCTCCCGCAGATCTCAAGGGGCAGTCGGGCATATATGGATGTAAGCACTCCTTCAGGTAACCAGGACCCAAGCCGTTTAGGGCTTTATAGGTCATCACCAACACCTTGAATTGAGCCCGGACTTCAATGGGAAGCCAGTGAAGCTGACGGAGGACTGAAGTCATGTGAACATAACGCCCAGTCCCCATCAGCAGCCTGGCAGCTCTATTTTGAACCAATTGAAGTATCTGGACCGTCTTCAAGGATAGCCCCACGTAGAGCGCGTTTTTTTTATTTATATATATATATATATATATATATATATATATATATATATATATTTTCATAGCCACTGAATGACTGTGTGACTTGATGAGCCAGGCCTGTTTGGTCTCGGGCCGCCACACCACCTAAGTGTCTCATTACATGCCTTGCACACAGCTCATGCATCTGTAGTGGACAGAAATGGAGATACTCCTATGGAAATGGAAAGAATCTTGCAGTCAAGAGCAGATCCCAGAGCTTCCCTTGGCTGGGCTGCTTGCAAAACAGCCAGAGCGAGAGCAATGTGGGCTCAGGCTGTCATGAACAAATGTTTTTCAAGTGCCGGATGACTACACCCTTGATAATGAGGCTGGGAACAGGAGACTGCTTTGCAGCGTGGCGTGCACCTTGGGAGTGCCTTGGGATGCAACCAGGGAGACACAGGGGTGAAGCCAAGGTTGTCATCCGAGGCAAATGGCTGGCAATCGCTGCCAACAAGGGATAATTAACTAGCAAAGGATCTTAACATTTAACTTGGAGGAGCAAGCCAGGAAGCTTTAACACTAATCCAGCTACTGCGGAGACACAAGGCCTGCAACCAGTCACAGTTATACTATGCTAAATATTATTCCGAAAAGGCGCAGGCAGGCAGGGCTTTTCACACTAGCCAAAATTCTTGGGAATTGGGCATCTGCCTATAGATCAGTCTGTAGTCCCTGGAAATGAATATAATGGCAGCAGTGTGACATTTAAGGTTTCGTCTGTTGGTATGTTTTTTGCTGCACTGGGTGGGAGAAGCTGGAAAGGACACAAGAGATATATATTGTCTGACTGGTGCAGGATGCATGAATGGAGCTTTTTTGGCTCAGTGACTAAACTGGTGAACTTGGTGATCCAGTTGTGGCATCACAGCCTGGCGGCAGTTGGTGGGGGCAGGGGCCGCGGTGCTAAAAAACGCAGAAAAATTGAGACTGACTTAGAACAACTCTTGGGTCACCCTGGAGCAGTTACAAGACTGGTTCAACTATTTACTGAAAAAGTGTTTTTGGTCATCATGTTATTGGGTTGAGGGTTGGGTCACAGGCAGAGATACAATAGGAAGAACTACAAGAAATTGTGACTTGTTCACAGGCGTGGCACAAGCCAAGTAACCGTGGCTTGTGTGATGTGTTTCAGAGTGGAGGAATTTGAGGACCCTGGAGATGAAGCACAGGGCAGATGGTGCTATTCTGGTGAGAGGCTGCAGCATCATTCAGAGGAAGGCAACTGAGACAGGCCCCCGCTCCAGGCGCCGTGATTTTCCTGGCTTGCCTGCACTCCTCCCTAGCCTGAAGGGGCTGGTGGTGGATGCCGGCCAGCTAGGTTTGCCTTTCCCCAAAGGACGATGGCCTCTTTCAAGCGTGCTCACCAGGGCTTCTTGTGCAGCACCGAGCTTGACTAAAGGGGCAGGGAGGGTAGTCTTGCCTTGTGAGAGCCTCGCCCCCTTGATCAGACTCCTTAGGCAATGGGTAGCTGGTGCTGGGTACCTCTACCCAAAAACAGGCGCCTGAGGCAGGATCGGTTTCTGTCGCCCACTGCCTCACAGCCTCCCTGCATTCACTGACTGGTGTCCTGCTGAGTGTCGTGTTGAGGAGCCAAAGTCCTGCAGACTCCGGGGACTTTACTTTTCATGCTGAGGCTCCCTTGCCAGGAGCAGCTCAGGATGCATGGCCACGATATCCACCGTGTGCCCGTCTGAGATAGCATCAAGCCCAGCACATGTGACTGGAGAAAGCGCTCTGTGGGTGAGGGACCCAGCAGTGGCTCCAGTGACTCCGATGGATCGCTTTCAGGCTAACCGTGGAGGACCAAGTTTGCCCCAGAGGCTGATGGGTCCAGGTGGGCTTCTAAGGCTTCTTGGGAATTTTCTTGCTGGCTTGGCCAGTGATCCTCCTGAGGGCCCGGTCTCTCATTGGAATAAGGGGATTGGCCAGGCTGTCAATGCAGTCCCTCCGAATCTTCCGTGTTCTCTTCTTGAAACGTTGGTATTCTGAGCAGGGTGATGCAAGTACGAGGTCAGCAATCAAAAGACAAGTGGCAGAAGACACATCGCAAGTTCAAATGAGCACAGGCAAAAACCTTTTTGTGATTCTGTTCTGTGGTGGTGAAGGAGTCACACTTCCCGGCCACCACAGCATCTGCTCAGTGTCATGCAGGGGAGCTTTTTCAGGTGGTTAAATGCCTCTTTTCAGCAGGTTTTAGAACAGCCTTTCCTAACCTGGGGCCTTCAGAGGCCTTTGGACCCCAGCTCCCAGGATTCCCATCCAGCAGGGCCATTGACTGGGAATTTAGGGTGTTGCAGTTGAAATATGTCTGGAAGGCACACGGTTGGGGAAGGCTGCTCTAGAACAACAGCTAAAAGAAACCCCTTAAAGGCCCCCTGTGAGCAGTTTGCTGGACATTGGGCAGTTCCAGCCACTTGTATCCCCGCGGGTTGGGATGCTGCTCCTTTGAGAAAGTCTGAGATATGCAGGGTCAGTACACCATCTTGTCACGTGAATCCCTTTCAGCTGAGGATGTAGACATGCCCTTGTGTTTGTGAGCTGCCCAGAGGGTCCTTGGGCTATAGGACAGCATGCAAGTGTCCTAAATAAATAAATGCTGCTTAGAGGACGGGGGCCTATTACTTGCTCTTTCGATCTGTGTCCAAGCTAACTTGTGAAATGTGCCAGAGCTTGGCTGGGCATCTGGATCTCCTTGATCCAGATCAGTGCATCCTTGAGATCAGTGCCTCCTTGAGGGAAGGTGCGATCCCTGCAGCTTGGAAGAAAGCAGTGCTGAGGCCTGTGTTGAAGAAACCGAATTCAGAGCAAGGACGGCCCGTCTGTGGGTGTCACCGGGGCATGGTTCCACCAAGCCTGCTCCTCTACCCAGGCAGGTCAATTTCACCCATCTTACATGATATAATTCAGAATGGAAGCAAGCAGCAGTGCTGCCCAATGGGCTCATCCTTGGTTGTTTGCATCCTGTTTTAGCTAAGGGACCATTGGGCGTGCTTCAGAGTTGCGTGTGGTCAGAAAGTTCCTGCAGGAACTTCTGCATTGCCCCACAGAAGGCAGAAGAATGCTGCTCAAGGAGAGACCTGGGTAACCTGTTTATGATCTGCTCAGACACCAGACCTGCTCAATTACACTCTTTGGTTGCGAGCCAGAGAACAAAAAAGAATTTCTGGAGTTAGGATGTTTAAAAGGGAACAGTGGGATTTATAGACAGGCTTGAAGTATAGTACCTGTCTTTAAAAAAAAAAAACTCAGCACATGGGCATGTGCACAAACATCTAATCTACAGACTTAAAGTTGTTTAAGAATAATTTCTCTTTCCCTGGAGAGCTCCAAGAATCATAGCACCGTCAGAAGAGCCACCAACTTCTAACAAAATAATTCCCAACAGCCGTGCCCCTCCTCATCGAATTACCATTTACAGGGATTCTAGATTCTTGGGAGAAGCTAAATTGGTAGTGCAAAGATGCCCACACCACCAAGCACCTTTAAAAGCGCCACTGTAAACCCGCACAGTTAAGGGGCGTTGTTTGCTTCTGACTGCAGCACTGCAAGTCTAAAAAATGAATACAGAATTCTGTTCAGGCAGGAATGAGATAAAAGTTAATTTTATCAGCCTTGGCGTTTAAGTGGTGGGAGCTGGGGGTTCTGTATGCATGTTTCCCTCTACTCCGGGTGCTGTTTCAAAGTAATGGAAGCCCCACTGCTCACCATGGCAGCTGGGTATAGTGGCTCGGTGAAGGTGGTTAGGAAGCGGTAGATGAGATTCATGGTGCTGGTGACACCATAGAACGTCAAGGAGCCTGCAGCATAATCCAGCAAGACCCCAATGGTTTTGTAGAAGTCGCCTTGCACCACAGTCTGGACGTTGTCATGCCAGACGGAGAACTTCACCGAGTCCCACTCCAGGCACCACGAATTGCCATTCCTGCCAATCAGGTGCAGCATGCATGTTTTCTCGGTCCTATGCCTGTAGTTGTAGGTGACTCCTAAGGAAAGCCACGCATTCGCGATCTCGGCCTCCCAGTAATGGCAGCCCTCACAGAGGCTGCGGCTGCACAAGAGCTGCGGCCAGTGATTGAAGCCTTGGCTGGGTTTTGAGTAGTTCTCCAAGAGGATCCCCAAGTTCAGCACGGAGTGGGTCTCTTCAAACAGGAAGAGCTCTTCATTGGCAGTGCTGGCATCGAAATTCAGGACACAATAAGCTGCTTTATGAAAGAAAAAGAACAGAGAAGAGTCAAAAGGCTGATGCGAATGGGGTGGCGTGTAAGTTCTCCAAATAAATAAAAAGGAGACAGTCTGGGAAGGAGAGCAAGCATGAGGAGGCCCAAAAGGTGCCAAGGATCATTGGATCACTGAGGCTAGAAGGAAGCTGGAGATGTTTGCTGATTGATTTATTAGACTTGTACCCTACCTGTTTTCAAGGAGCTGAGGGTGCCCAACTGAGCCTTGCAAGGAACAGTGGCTGAGCCAGTCACACGGTGAGTTTCATTACATGGCTGGGCTGGGATTAGAACCAGGGTCTCCCCAGTTCCAACCTGGCATTCTAACCACAACTGCACAGCCAGAACCTCTACAGATTGTCCCACGTTCGGATCACCCATCAGATTACCCAGTCACCCGACAGAATAACCTGGCCCCTCCTGTTTGTTTATTGCACATGTATTATTTTTAGATATTTTCCAAGAAGTTCCAGGCTGCCCAAAGAATGCTTTTTCCTTCTTTTCCTAACAACCACCATCATCTGGAATGGCAAAAGAAATGGAAATATATGTATGCAGGCACCTCTGTAGCTGTGAAGGAACTTGTATCCCAAGGAATACAAGTCTTAGGACTCCCCAAGTTTCTAACCACAACATCTCACTGGTCTGTAAAGTGTTTATATATGCTACAAGTGGACAGCAGCAGCAAATAAATGGATCCATGTCAAAGGTGCCTATATGAGTAGCAGAAGAGGTCAGGTAAGCAACTGAGCTGATTAAATCAAACTGGGAGGAAAGGCAAAGCTCCAAAGTTGCTGCCAAAATAATCAAAATTGAATTCACTTCCCATTTCCAAATATAACATACATATCAGTCCAGAGGATGAGGTGAAGTCTCTCTAAGAAAAATACCTTCTTAGCTTACCCTTCTTAGCTGTACCTCACAGGAAGAGACGAGACATATGGAGTCTAACCGTACAAGGCCGCCAACATTACTAAGGTTCAGAGAAAATTCCAGGAAAAAAAGAGGTTTGCTGTAGCTGAGAGGCACAACCTGGTCTTTTGACCTGAATAAATGTCATGAGGCCTTCTGCGTGTGTGCCGTTTTTCTGCCACCTTTCAACAGGAGGATGATTAACTGGCAGGCCATTAGTGCTCAGCTGCCCTTGCTAAACGCAGCACCCAAAACAGACACAGTGCATGATCTTCTGGTCATGAATTTGACTCTGTTGAGGGCCAAGGCAAGCCAGCAAGTGCAGGCTGGTATTAGTTTAATGCAAGTATTTAGATCAATGCTGACATTTAACTTTCCTCTAGTGCAAGGGTGTGTTTTCATTTGTTCTGTTTTTTTCTTTCAGAGGTAGAGCACTGGGAGATTTTGGGGTTGGCACTTCCATCATGAAACCAGAACTGGTGCTTTAAATGTTATCCTGCTCTTAACCATACTTTGAAGAAAAGAAGTAGGAATTGGTATTCCCATGCTGTAGTTTAATGGTGGGGATGCAGGGCTCAGACTTAATTTATGCTGGGCTGGAATAAGGATTTTCTAGCTCCCTGTCTCAATCACTGAAGGATGCAATTCCGTATCCTCCTGCTGTTGTCTGGGGGTTAGAGGATTTTTCAGAGTCCATCTTCAAGCTCCCGTGAATTTGGAGCTGGGACACTGACGACGGCAACCTTGCCTGCAGCTGGCATGGAAAGGGCTGCACCTGCTGCCTCTCTGAGCACCTTGGAGAGGGAAAAATGATGTGCTATATAAGTGGGGGGGATGCTGCCTTAAGCCAGTTCTTCTTGGCACCTCAGTCCCCTTCCCTCCCATGCCCTGGTGCTGAATCTGAAAGCAGCTGTCCCGACAAAATACCTGAGGAGAGATGTCGCAGCTCCACGGATGTGAGGTTAGGGAAAGTGCTATATAAATTCTAAGTATCCGCACGCATCCCAGTGCCAGAGTTGGCTAATCCCTGCGATGATTAGAGGACAAGTCACGTGCACCTGTCTACCATCCTGCTGGACTCTCCCCAGGAATGCCTCCCTGGAATGCAATTTTAAAGGTGGGGGAGGATGGAGGAGGGAAAGCCAAAAGGTCTTGTTTGCCTATGCATTTCACCAACTCAGTTTCATAATATGTAGTGCTTAGTGTATATTCGTGTGTAGCTCTGCATGTATGGGTGGCATTTATATAGACACGGGAGTGGACGTGTGCATTTGTGAGCACATGCAGGGGGCCTGGCCGTGTTGTCGGTGCTGAGTGCAGGAAGAGGCCCAGGCCTGTCCCTGCATCCCTCCCCAGCTCATGGTCTGCGTCCGTGCTGTGGAAGGGGTGCTCAGGTAGTGGAGAGGGATATCTGTGTGTTTCCAGAAGATCTTGCAGCCTTGTCATTTCACTCTGCTAATTCAATTCGTTCTGGAACGCTGAACACTAATGCATGTCAGTGCTGAAATGTCTGGGGCACTGTGATGACACGGTGATTAAGCACTTGAACAGGATCAGAGAAAGCCTGTTCCGATCAGGATAAAATAAAGTGAGGAGTGAACCGTGTGTCCTGGGTCTGCTCAGAAACCATCACTTACCCCAGGCTTCTCTCTTCCGGGAGGAGGAGAACTCCAGCAGACAAGGCTTCCCAGCCTGAAGACGCAGTGACTGAGGAAGTCATGCCTGTTGAACTTCCACACCTCGTACAATGATTAAAGGCGCAAGGCAAAATATCCACCAAAAAGTGGCAACCCTGGGAAACAGCACTCTTAGAGTATCTTTTGCAATCATTCTGAAAACATTGTTTTATTCTTTACACTGCTAGGAGTGAAATCCCTTTTTAAAAAGCCAGAAGAGGAAATATTTTGTGAAATTGATCAGACAGTGATGTGGAATGTCAGGACTGGGTCAGTGCTGAATCCCTGCGAAGTCTGATGGATCACATACAGACAGGAGGAAGAGAAAGGGTGGAAAACTTTTCTCTTCCCATGCTGCCTGTCCCACCAATTTCTGGGTCTTTAACTCATTCTTCTCTCAGTGGAACATGGGCCAAAAGTAACCTGTGCTCGGAAGGGGAAAACTAGCTACTTCCCTCATCCAAAACAATTGAGGGAAAATGTTTAGTTTTCCATTTCTATATTGTTTTAAAATATCTTCTTCCCAGTTAGTGGGGCTTTGGTATGTTTTCATACCCAAGTGTGCCTATGAGATTGTTAAGTCAGCTTCTTTCTGAAAACGTGAAGGTGAAACAGAAAGGGGAACAGGGTTGCTTAAAAATCAAAATATGCATGTTGGTTTTTAAAGGTTAGAATAAAGGCAGCTAAGGTGGGATCAGGGGATTGGAACAATTCCCAATACAGAAAAGTTACAATGCTTAGGGCTGTTTATTTAGAAAACAGCGACATGATAGAACAGGGATGGTGTACCATCCAAGCCTCGCCCCCAGTGAGCTGCTGAACTTGTCACTGGGAGTGGCAAAGAAATCTGCAACGTGGTACTGAATTTTGGGGGTAAACTGCTACAGAGGATTAACGAGGACAAATTTAGCTGGAAAAAGCCACATGTATCCTTTTAAAGCCTCTGTAACGGGCTGATGGCACCATAATTTGGTGGTGAGGTTTGCTGCTGCTGCCATGCCAAAGGAGCTTAGGCCATGGAGTGGGAAGTGGTTCCCAGACACCCCAATATATTCTTCTGTTGCTGATGCAGGTTTTATAATTGCTTTACAAATAAGGGAAATGTGAAATCCAATTTAAGACTCAGCATCTTTATTCGGGGAGGAGTGCACCCAGGATGTACAGGGATAACCTACAAGGAAGAAAGGCCAGACAAACTATTGGACAGCATCAGGTCACTTTCCTGCAGCATTAGACTGAACAAGTTAATCCAGTTGCCCAACCACATCTGCTAACTCTTGCATTCCTGAAGCTCAGTTCTTTGAGTCTTAACTCATGGACAAAACTGACCTGCTGCAGGAGATTCTGGATCAGACTTTGCCCCTTTAAGACTGTGTTTTTGTCTGATATGGCTTGCCCTTGACCAGAAAAGCACACATCAGCCCACAGCAAGAAGCGCATCCCTAGGACAGGAGCCTCAGCATTCCCCCTTATTCCAGACTAGCCTGCTGCCCTTCAGGACTTGGGGTGCTTCTAGACAGAGAGCTCTTAGCACAAGCAGCAAATAGACGTCATGAAGCTATTCTGACTTGTTTCTCTTTTACACAAATACAAGATGGAAGTACTGAAAATATATGGAAGGGTTAAAATGGAAGATGTTGGTATCTGGAACGTCCACAAATGAGACAGAACTGCCCATTAAAAGCCTCTTTTGGGAGCACCTTCCATGTATATGGTTCATTCAAGAATATGGGGGAGAATACGGAGGGCAGGATGCAGGAATCTCTTGGGAAACGGTACTTCAAGGTTGAACTGTAAGAGTAGGAGGAACAATGATGGGCTGACTACTGAATGGCTATGGTTGATTAGGTCTTCGTCAGGCTATAGTTTACCTTTTGCCAATGGGAGATTGAGGGTTAGGGTTTCTTTGAGAACTTTTGAAGGAGATCTGCAGGAGAGCTTGGATAGGCTTGTACCAGCTGAAAATCAGCAGCTCAGCCCACAAATCATCTCATTACTCATCTCACAGATCTCATTGAAACCACTGCAAATCGTTGTTACCTGCTGTCAGGTCATTTCCGACTTATGGTGACCCTATGCAGGAGTACCCTCCAAACGATCTTTTCCTTGATTGCCCTGCTCAGCTCTTGTAAACTCAAGGCTGTGACTTCCTTTGTGGAGTTGATCCATCTCATATTTGGTCCCCTTCTCCTGCCTGCAACTTTCCCTAGCACACTGGCCTCTTCCAATGACTATTCCAGTGACAAGCACTATGTAATCAAGGTACGGCAGCCTCCGTTTTTGCTTTCAAAGAAAGTTTTGGTTGATTTGCTCTAGGAGCCACTTGTTTGTCCTTCTGTTGGTCCAAGGATTCTCAAAGCTTTCTTCCAAAACCATGTTTTCAATGCATCGATTTTCTTCTTGTCAACTTTCCTCAGTGCCCGGCTTTCATGCCCAGTGATCAGGAATATAATAGTGTAGATGATCTTGGCCTTGGTCCCTGGTGAAACATTCTTACATCTAGTGATCTTTTCTAGTTCTTTCATTGCTGCCCTGCCCAGTATCAACCTTGGTTTATATCTCCTTTTACATAGGCATGTAAAATCTTTCACAATTCCAGTGTCTTCATTGTTGACCTTAAAGTTATGTACTGCCTCTATAGTCCTAAGTAGTGTTTTCTTAGGGTTCAGCTGCAGTTCTCTTTTTTCAATTTCTTCTTTTGTCAGGAGGCATTTCAGTTCACTGATGCTTCCTGCCAGTAATACGCTATCATCTGGATATCTTAAATTATTGATGTGTCTCCTGCCAATTTCCACTCCTTCCTCTGATTCTGATCCAACTCTCCTTATGATAAGCTCTGCCTACAGACTGACTATTCCTTTGTTGGGCTAATGAGCCAGGATGTCTTGTCAATGGGATCTGCTTGCTGAATAACAGTTTCCAGATAGCTGGCAAATTATTTTAAGTAAATGCCCCAGAACAGTGAAAACAACAAGAACCTTACCTTGGACATTTAACACGTTCGTTCTGGTACAGCCTTTAATGGACACTGCCCAGTTCTTCAAATTCAGGGAGTGTTATTCCTCTGAAGAAGCGCACAGTGTCCACAAAAATATACAACAGACTGGGTTAGTCTTTAAGATGCCATGACATTCTTTGTTGTGTTTCTCGCAACCAATTAACATGGCTACTGTTCTGGGAATTGTTACAAAAAGGTAAGCAAGCTTTTAGTTTCTCCAGGAGAATGCAAAAACTTGCTCATTGTTTTGTGACAAGCTGGCCAGCCTAAGAAATGCATTACATGTCTTCTTATGAGCTGACAGAACTCATCTTATTTTTTTGGAAGACAAAGCCACCAGAGCTTAGAAAAGGGAGCACTCTATATTTGCCTATATAGGAGGCAAATAGGGGCGAAAGACTGAAAGTCTGCAGATGAAGAGGTATCTAAGCGCAAACAAACAATAGTACAACCCATGTGTTGCTGCTTAGTCATTTGAGCATCATTTCTCCCTCCAGCATGGCAAAAGCTCACACACTTATTTAATGCTTATTTAATGCTTTTTATTTCCAGTAACTGCAGAGGTCCTTCTAACAGAAGTGGTGTGGGATGGGATGGAGTGATGAACATTTAGTCTGGGTGCAGTACTGGTTGCCCTTTTCCTCTAAGCTCTGAGCAAATTGTACAATTGGGATTGTGCAGGAGGCAGAGTTCAGACAATACAATTACCCACACATAAGGATTGTGCATGGATTGAATGTGGGTTATCACTGAACCATGGGTTATTATGTTGTCTGAACACAGCTGCATTAACAAGCCATGGCTTCTTAATCATGAGCCATCCAAGAAGAGAACTCATAGTTTCTTGTTGTAGAATCTGCAATTCGGTGCTAGTAGCATATTTTGCAGGAGCTCGCAAAAGTATCCCAGAAACTCTACCAGGCTGTAGCTTGTTAGAACTTGGACCCAGCAACTGTCTTCTTATCTATTTTTTCAGATGAAACTCATGAGCTTTTGGTTGACAAGCAGAAACTCACCAGGGCTGGCCTTTCCAGAATGGCATTGCAATGACAAGGAAAGATGTTAAAACCCTAGTTCACTTTTGGCCTAGCTATGGAGTTTCCCTATGTTTCCTTGTTGCATTATATAGTAATCAAATAAAAAAATTCTGATTGTTATCAAGGTTTACTGCTGCTCTTGAAAATGTGCTCCCCCCACCCCCAGTCCCTTTTATGGAGCAGAATTTGTAATACTGATTTGAGTGCCTTGTTTTTTGGCCCTCTACTGTAGATTACAAAAAAAAAATAAAAAAAAGGTGCTGCGTTTCTCACCCTTTATTGCACCTTTCCCAAGTGCCTGTCTGATGAAGTTTTCTGTATCGGGGGCTTACTGCGAACTTTGGTCTAGGATTAGAGCACCTGCTCTTGTCGAAGTTCTCCAGTGACTCACCTAACAGGTACAAGTGGTGGCACGAGCCTCAGCCAGGAGGCTGATCCAACCTGTGTGAAGAAGGGGCCGTGGCAAGTCATCCAGAATCCCCATGAATGTACTTCCTCGCCTGTGGCCAGCCAGTGCTGTGCAGCTTCCCTTCACCTATGGGATCGTTCTTGCTCTGTTTCAGGAGGGCTGGGGGAAGCAGCAGAAGGGAGGAACGAAGAAGACATAGCGAACCTGCTTTGCCCAGCCTTGGTGAAACAAACTGCTGGTTTAGCTGGGAAGGCAAACTCTAATTTCTACCATGTATGGCTGAGCTGCATTAGCAGCAGCCACACACTATAAAGTTTCAGCATAACATGCCACACTTATGCATCGTCCAACTTGCAGATGCCCTCATGGTATTTTACAATCAAACAAAAGCAAAATGATAAAACAAGAGTGAAAATATTAAAATATAAGAACATCAAACCTGAAGGAGGCAACAGTAAAACAGATCATCAGAGCAACAGATTAAAGTTTGAATGCCTACTTAAGAAAAAGAAAGAAAAAAGATGAAATCCCTGCTTAAAGAAGATCTTAACATGGCATCTAAATGCATACGGTGAAGAGGCCAAGTGAATCTCTCTGGGAAGGGCATTCTAGGGAGGTTGGGGGCACTCTACCAAAAGCTCTTTCCATGTCACATCATTGCAAGTATCTTCTCAAAGGCCATCTTATCAATCAGACAAAAGCACACCAGAGAAGGTGGTCCTTCAGGTAGACTGTTCCTAAACCATGCAGGACTTTAAGTGTCAGCATCAACGCTTTGAACTGGGTCTGGAAACTGATTATCAACCTGTGCAACTCAATGCAGCCCTGCAGTAATACTTTCTAACTGGCCAGGCCCAGTAGGCAGACTTGCTGCTCCCATCTGTTTTAACTGAAGTTTCCATACTGCCTTCAATGCACTGGAATAGTCTAGGCAGAAGGTTGCCAGGACATGGTTAATTGTAGCCCGGCTGACTCTGCCCAGGTAAGGCTGTAGCTCTTAGATCAGTTGAAGCGGATAAGAGGCACGTCATACCACGGAGGCCATGTGGGTTTCACTTGACAGAACTGGATCTGTGAACTTCTCCCTTGTGTGGAAGGATGATCCCATGCAGAGCAGGTTGTACACCCTTAAACTACTTTTTTTGTTAATGTTTCGATTATGTCAGAATGAGAATTTCCATTGAGTCTTTTCTTATTTTTTAATACTTCATGTTTGCAAGGGTGCTAATTCATCCACTTTCTCTTAATTGCCACAGTCATTGACATTTGCTTCCTGAGAACACCACGATCAAATGCTACAAGGCAGAAGTGCAACTCTTAACCACATGGTTGGGCCAGAAGTGACTTGATGGCTTAGGGCCATGTAACCTGGCACTCTAACAAGGTTATTGCCAGCCACACTAGCGACTTCCAAGTGTAAGAAAACAGCAAGAAAAAAAGTAATGGAAACACCTACATTTTAGGAGATTCTTCCGATCTGTGGGTGCTGGTATCACTTCATAGGGTACCATTGTGATCCCTGCAAGATTAGAGGTGCTTGTGTTATTTATTGTGCGTGTAGGATGGGCTGTGACCAATGATAAGTGTGAAGGGAAAAATAAGATGTTCTACTCAGGGGTGAGGGCAACCCTGAGTTTCAAAGTTTCTGTCTGCTCTTATGAATCATTATTCTAGAAAAATGGCCATTTTAATCTGCTACAGCAGGAGAAAGGATGCCCTTTTCAGCCCAAGGACCAAATTCCAATCTGGGAAAGGTCTTGGGGTCCACATTAACTCCGTGAATGATGTTGAAGGCTATGTGGGAAGGAAGTTGTAGCTAAACAAAAGTGTCCTTTGGCAAGTGAAGGCTAAAAATATGTGGCAGGAGCTTAATATGTTGCTATTCTGATGAATTTGCCTGTGTTTAACAGTGGCAAGAGCTAGCAAGCATGTTTTGGCTCAGCTACTTTCCCAAGTTCAATCTCAACACAGAAACAACAGAAAGTGAAGCACTAGAAGCCAAGAATGAAGACTAGGCAGAATAACTTGGCATAGACTATGGGGCAACTTCTCCTGGAAACTTTCTACAGCCTAAGTTAGCATGGTATTTTATTGCAAAATGGGCAGTGCTGGCACCTTATCTAATTAGGAAGAGACATGTTGATGCAGTTCACATCATCAACAAGGGCTGGGAATGAAAAGCTGTGGGTGGAAACAAGGGTGCTGGCTCCTGCCTGCCCAGGCACTGCATTAAGCCTGACCTGGAGCCTATGAGTATGAAGTCTCCGTTCTTTTCCCCCAAACAGCCCACAATGCTGGGCTGAATAACTCAGGGACAGAGTTATGTGGGCCTGGTCAGAAACCAGCGTGCTCATGCATTTGTGGACATCCCATGGGGTACCCTCTCTGGTAGAATTTTCAGGCCTTCTTCCTTGGTGGAGGGCAGCATCCACACCCCTGCCAATATCCCCACCCTGCCGTGGGAAATACCAGGGGGTCCCACGTGGGCTGCAGTAAGACTTGAGGGGGCTGGATGTTCTGCACCAGAGCAGGGAGTTACTCCAGCTTCCAAAAACTTTGGTTGCATTTTTTTGCACATGTTCTATCTCTGCAAGCATCTTTTTGAGGTTGGTTGACCATAAGAGACTCCATTAGGAGCAGGAGGTGGCGTATAAATGAATGAACGAACGAATGAATGAACGAACATGACATTCTGAGTGTGGTCGCACCATAGATTTGCATTACAATATTTTCTAGCAATTTCCTAATAGTCACTAGCATGGAATTCACCTTTTTCACAGCTGACAAACACTAGATCAGCTGTTTTTATTATGGCCTCAAGGGCCTGATCTCAGTGATAACACATAATACTTCACAGCTGTAGATATATCAGTGGTCCAAGTTCCCCGATTTCAAGTGTCTTGAAATGCCTGTGCATTTTGAAGGGATTCTTGGTCTTAAATTGAGGCGTAAGTACTGAAAGCTATGTTGGAGGGTAGTAACGAAGTAATTTGAATCTAGAACGCATGGTGCAGATCTGTCCAGCCATCAGGTATGCAGAACTAACTCACCTTTCTGAAGGACCTTGTTGATGAAGCAGAGTCCAATCATGGATATCTGGGATTTCAAGTCAGTCAGGATCTGTTTAAGACCAACGAAACTGGTCGGTTCCTCACATTTCAGACCAACCAAAGCTTCCATACAACCGGACATTATTTTTATCTTTGGGAAGTCCTGTAGGAACAAACAAACTTTAGGAGAGACTTCAATTCACCCCAAAATTGTTGGAATGGAGAGATTTGCATTTCCTTGGTCTTGGAAAAGGTCAATGTTTTTGTACTTTCTGGTAAAAATGTTAGAAACCTTTAAGAGGGACTAAAGAAAAAGTGAGCATTTCCCCTTTCCAATTCTCCAAGAGAACAACAAACTAGACATGGTATATATTATCACAATTTTGTTGAAGCCAAGATTTAAATCTGGCCAATTCCTGGATCAGAGAAACCACTAGCAGCTGTGGGGCTGGCAGGAAGGGGCTATGGCCAGAAGAAGGGGGTACAGCCATCTGGAGAAGGCTGGAGAGCTGGACTGGTTTTCCAGGTGGATGGATTTCGCCTGTGAGCCAGATAAGTGCTATACCACTCAGGAAGGAAAGAAGGAAAGGGGAGATTGTTGCCAGATGAAGTGGAGTGGAAGGAAAAGAATTAGGAGGAAGAAAAGGGTCCTAGGAGGAGGATCCTGAACAGGGCCTGGGAGGAACAAAGGGCTGGGAATTAAATAATGCAGTAGGAGATGGGAAGCAGATGAGAGTTACATAGACTGCCTTACGTCCTGAGTAATGTGGAGCATTCTGGGAGAATCAGTGCGGCACACTGGGTAACAGGAACACTCAGACATGCACATTTAAAGTTTTGTTCCTCTATTAAGGGCATTGGGCAGCTTTGACCAAGTCAACCTATTCTAAGCTACCATACGGTTCTGGCATAAGCTTAAGTCAGTGTTCTGAGATCCTCAGAGAAAGAGTGTGATATACTGAAGAAAGAATTGGCAAATTCTGTGTGGGAAGAAAATACCCTTGGTGGAGAATAAAAGCTTAACCTCCAGATCTTATTTATTTATTGCATTTGAGTCCCATGTCTTTGTCCTTTCAAGGAATTTGAGGTGGCTTACATAATTTCCCTCTCCTCTCAATCCTATCCTCACAACAGCAACCCAGTGAGGCAGCTGGGCCGAGAGCCTGTGACTGACCCGAAGTCACCCAGTGAGCTCCATGGCCAAGCAGGACTAGAACCCAGGTCTCCCGAGTCCCAGTCACACGCTCTGAACCACTGCCCTGCACTGGCTCTCACAACAAACACAGGAAAGCCCCCATGCCACTAGGAAATGTTAAAACCCACTGGAAACATCACTGACTGCTTTATTGCTTTTTTGCGATAGGCTAAATGCGCTTGTATGGATTTGGTCAGCACCACCTCAGGGGGTCAGAGATGGCTGACTGGGGCTGGAGCCCCAACTCTTCCATGCAGAGCCCTGAATCACAGGGGTGGGGGTGGGGGGGGCTCTGCTTGCACCACCCTGCTATCCATGGGCCCCAGCTGAGTGTCTCTGTTTCACCTGATCCCCCTGGCTTAGCTGGCTTTTTGCTCACAAGCACGTGACCTCCTGTTGCCTTTCCACCCAAGGGCCTTTTCTTTCTGAGATCAGTTGCCCTCCTCTCCCCTGGCCATACATCATTTTTTACAAACAGACATGCTTTTCTGAGGAGACAGAGCCCCTGAAAGACACAGAGACTTTGGAGCATTCGCGGATCTGTCCAGCTTTCTCCTGTGGGCCTGAGTCCCAGATCTTTCTGGCAGCTTAGCACTGCTCCTGGCCACCTCTGTGCAGGTGGGTGCATTCCTTCTGCTAATGTCCATTTGTGTCTTCGTAACATGCCTTAAATGGCACAGAAGCCATTGCTCACATATAATGGTATTTAACTGATGACTGCTGATAAAGATTGTGCTATCTTGTATTTCCGGAGCGGCTTGGATTATAGAGAAACTTCGTTGAAACTTTCAGATGAAACAAACCATGTACAATAAAATAAAACTATACTCTTCCAGCATATTTATAGCGAAAGAAGGGTTCTTCACTTTGCTTAAAATCAAAGCAGGTAGTGCTACAGAAACATTTCTGAGCACAGCATGCAAGGGGTGGAGAAAAGGGTTGACTCCGGTCCAATCTGGCTACATGGTGAAGGACGGTGGCTGCTATCAGCACTGAGGTCAGGGTCTGGTTAGTACTAGTGTCAGGGGAGTAATATATTTTGTAAACACGCCACAAGATCAATCGATGGGGCAGATAATGAATGTTTGCACCAATTATTCTGGCACTTCTCCCAGCAGAGTAAAGAGGAAGAAGCAGTGGAGGCATTCCATCTGCATGGCACAATCGCTGATAGATTCATTCCCTTTCTTCTGTGCTCATAATATGCGTATGAGTAAAGTTGGCTTGATTTAAAATGAGCTCTATTCCTAGGAAGGCCCAGCTGCAATCCAGATTCCAAACTAAAAATTAGTGGAGTGATAACACAACACATCCAAGGATAATCTACTATTTTTCCTCTTCTAATGGCAATAAAACAGAATTTTACAAAGCACACAGTGGAAACTATACCTTCTGCATTTTACTCCATATAACTGAGACAATCAGTGTGATATGCTGGATAGAGTGTTGAACTGGGGCCTAGTTCACACTTGGCCATGAAGTTCACCGCATGACTTTGAGCCAGTAACTCAGTCTCAGCCTAACATACCTCACAGGGTTGTTGTTGTGAAGATAAAACAGAGAGGAGAAGCACCTTGTAAGCCACTTTAGGTTCCTTGCAAGAGGAAGAAAGGCAGGGGATAAGTGTAATATAATTAGATTTTTTGCTGGGGTAAATATTAAAAAAGTTAGGAAGAGTAGAATTAAGTGTAAAAAGCCATCATGAGAAAAAGAGGGCTATATCACCAGTGTTCTGAAGACATCGTAACTTTCACTGACAATAAATTGCTGTATCTAGTTTCCAATTAGTCTATATTGGGAAAACCTACATGGGCTAGAATGTAGAACTGTTATTATTTCTTGTCCTTGATATCCCACACCAACTACAAGTTGCATCAGAAAAGATCAGATGCACCTTCTGCAGTCTTCTGATGCTTAATCAGAAGTTCTGTTAAATTCAGTGGGACTTGCTCCCAGATAATAATGCACAGAGGACTGAAACCTATGACAGTGTTCTGATTTTTCAGTGCGAAGGGTTGGCTTGGGGAGGGGAAGGTTCTTCATGTTTAGGGAGCAGAGATAATTTGAGGCTCAGCTGCTGTGTCTACTCCAAATCTTAAGAAATACATCTGCTCTTAAAAATATATTAGGCAGGATCCAGTGGACTCACTACTGTGACGACAGCCTTAAGCAGAATGGCTCCCACGCTCTTCAACATCAGCCGTGAGACACAGTGGCCAGCCCACCAGCACGGAATGGGGCATCCCAGTGGGACTGTGACCCTCAGAGACATATGGAGAATAGGGCAGGACCCTCCAATACACAGCAAAAGTTTTATTGCACTGGGGTTTTATTGTATTGGGGTTTTATTGTATTGTTATTTATTGATGTTTTGTGAGCCGCCCCGAGGCTTTATTGCGATGGGGCGGCATAGAAATGTTTTAAATAAATAAATATAAATAAATAAAAAAAAGAAGCAGCAGGAGGCTGTCTGTAATGAAGCATGGACCATAGCATTAGTTTAACCTAGTATCGTTTAGGATATGCAATTATACCCTGATTCTGATCTGCAAAGTACATTCCAGTATAGGAATTGGTTTCTCCTTTTAAGAGGCCTAACAAGTAGCACTTGGCTATCCCTGTTTTATGCACGTGAGATGCAAACTGAGGCAGGGAACTCAGAACATAAGAAACAGCCTTCTCCAGTGTCAGAGGATTGATCGCAGCCCGGAGTATATCTAACCCATGTTGTCTTCTCTGATATAACCAAATGAGACTTTTCCCAACACAGCTGCCCCTTGATCCTTTTCACTGGAGATGATTGCCAGAGATGGACAGCAAGGTTTTGCATAGCGACAGCGAGGTTTTGCATGGAGAGCAAGAACACACTTTGCCATATCCTGCCCATAGCACTTCCACTTCACCCAGTGGACCACAGAGGCAGCTAGCACAAGGACCTGCGTTGTGCTCTGGCCAAGAGTTCCCAGCAAAGGCAGGTGATAGTGAGGCCTCCTGAATTCCCATCACAGGGTGCTGGGAGCAAGCATTACCTGCAGGAACTGATGGTCGCTTGGGTCACCCACAAGAGTTGCCAGCCACAGGTTCTGCTTCCTGAGATCAGCCATTTGCTCTTGCCTGTGCTGAATGGAATGCCCCATTTCAACTAAGGCTGATCTTTCCTCTTGGTCTATGAAGTCCATCACCTTGGTCTGCAGTCGCTTGAGTTCTTTCATCACCTCAGCAAAGGCCCGATTCACTTCATCCCTGGCAGACTTCACCACTTTCTGCAAGGGAAAGAAGTGCTAGATGCAGTGTATGTCCATTTAGTACCTATTCCTGATACTTCTGGGCTAGGTGGCACGGAGCAAAGACAGACAGACAGACAGACAGACAGACAGACAGACAGACAGATCTCCTCTATGCTGTCAGACCACTGTGGAACCACATTCCCCCTGTTTTGGCCAGGCAGGTGGTTTGACATCGTACTGCAACATGTCATCTTCTCCTAGCAGCAGCTCTTCAAACTTGAAAGCTTGAACCATCTTTTCCAGCATTTTGGTAGGTCCTTATAAAGGTGTTACTTGACTGTGGAACTTAAAAGAGGACACACAGAGCATCAAATAAATACTTAAGTGGTCACACTTACTAGTTGTGTTTTTCTCTTTTTAAAGTGCAAAGCTCACATGAAATAATGGAAGAAGGGGCAGGAAGAGGAAACAGGAAGCAGGTTTCAGTGCGGAGGCTGCTGCATATGTCACCTGAGGAACAGAGTCAGGGGAACGCTGAGCTTATCCACAGCAGAAAATCCCAAACCCACACTGCTCTTTGCTGGTATGTCCTTACATAGCCCTCGACTGGGGCCCCTTTCAGAGCAAGCAACAATTAGCTGGGTTTTCTTCAAACTGTCATGGTGGTAAAAATTCAGTGTCTTAAAAACAAGCACACACAGAGCTAGTGTGTGCCACCGAATCTGTATCATGTGTCATTAATTCCATCCTTTCCAAAGTATATTCTCAGAAACTTTTCTCACCGTGAGGTAGTTCACTCTCCCCCGGTGTTTCTGACTGTCTGCTGCCAGCATCAAGATCTGATTCTCTACATTGGCATGTATCCTCTTCACCTCCACCTGGGAAAGAAAGAACGAACTTGAATGAGGATGTAGCAGCAACTCCGAAACTCTGAGTCAAGACACCTAAAAAAGATGCTTTGTCTAAATACTTTCCCATTACTCAAATCTTAAAAGCATGCGTTACAATGAGCAGGTATTCGCACTGCACGTAGATGCATTCAGGTGGTTGTAAGAAGCTGTGTGCAAGTGCGTCCTCCTTTGGATCCCGGCACTGTTCTAGAACGGCATCAAGGGTTGCCTCCTGCAGCATCCCTCGGACGCAATCCTCTTTGGCCCTGGCCATAGGAGAGTCTGAAGAGGGTTTTCAGTGCGAGGCTACCCCACTCAACTGTTTTCTAATGCTATTTTAACTGTACTGTTTGTTCCTTATCTTGGTTCTGCCTGCAATTGCTTTTTGTGCTGCCAATAATACAACATTAAACCAGTGCTAATGACCCAGAAACAAAAGAACGTCTTGGCACCTTGATGAAACTGAAACACCTGTAAAATGGGAGGCCGAACAAAGGGAGTTTCATCCTCTTAGAGCTACGTCCGAAAAGGCCCTGCTCCAAGTTTCCAGTGCAGGACTCCCCCAGTGGCCCTGGTTTATGGACCGAGGCCTCACTGGATTGCTTCAGTAGGCAGAGAGATGCTTAATTCAGATCTCATTAAGAAGAAAAAAGAAAATACACATCTTCTGCAGCCATGAACTGAATGTAACTGGATAAGATGCTGCCCTCTACTGAACTCTATTCAGCTTGAAATGAATTTTCTCTAAACTACAGAATCTCAAGAACAAACAAGGAACACAATGTAAAGGTAATAATCTTTGTGCTGCTACTGTTAAGTGCTTCAGTGCTTTATCAGCAACGAGAAAATGATGGGCCAAATTGCCTTGAAATAATAGTTTGGAAACATTTCTCCAGTGAAACCATTTCTTCTTTCCCTTTATTATTCAACTGATACAGGAAGAGAACGAAGAAGTTATACAACTGTAAATGGCACATCCCAAATACAGGCCAGTCTAAACATTTTTTTTTTTAACCTCAAATACAAGTAGTCCCAGAGGGACATTCTGTACCACACATCCTAATGTGACTTTAATACTTTACATAATATCTTTCCCATGCCTTTTACATAACTGCAATTCCACAATATGTGGGTAGAAGTACTCCTTTTTCCAAACCTCCAATTGAAATTTGAACCGTTTGGAAATGTTTTGATAGTCCGGCTAGACCATTTACGTAATACCTTGTTTTCCAAAATGCCTTGGAAGTTATAGTGGAAGAGGAACAGAAGGGCAAGCTCCTGGAAAATTGGAGAGGGCAGGGGTGGGGGAAGAAACAGGGCTGCTTACAAATGAACAGCACTGCACTGGTCACAGCACTCGTTTTCAATAACTCTTTTTAGTTTGGAAGCCTAGCCGCTGCCACATCTTTCTGTTCAAAATGCCCACTTGGTGGCAGTGGACGAGCGGGAACTTCTCCAGAATACAGCTGTTTAGAAGCCCAAAGCGGGGATGCCTGGACTGAAGCCTGTAGTGCCTTGAGATTTCTCAGCCCCTTGAGACGACAGCCTGGTTCTGCAGCGACGATGGCAGAAGAAGGGCTTTGAGCTGCCTACAAATCTGTACAAGAAGATGCCCGCACTGGAGAAGTAAAGCTTTTGTTTGACCTCCTGGGGGGAAATAGTAAACAAACCTGTGCCACTCTACAGCTGAGCCTGGATTTGGCCTGGATAGCAGTTCTTGGGAACCTGAGACCCTGACTCTTTCCATGGGGTGCAGACTTTTCCCTGAAGAGCAATTGGAAGGGGAAAATATTGGCTTACATCACCGCCTGCATACTCTGGTTACCGCCTGTAGTTTTGAAGACTGAGCAGGTCCTTTATTTAAGGACGGGGCAGATTATGGCTCTTGGAGCCCCTTTCTGAAAAAGCAATTCCTTGACCTCTCACTATACTGATGTTTAGACACAGGGGGTACAACATTTACCTCACAACAAAGCCCTGGGAGGTGTTGCATCTTCAGAATTACATGCAGTGAGAAAACAGCTGGGGACAACAGTAATCTATTCCTCCAGACACATGGTGTAGTGGGACATCCAGATGGGCACGTGCTCATTATGGCAGTCCTTATAACTATTTTTTTTATTGTATAACTTTGTTTTTGTTGTAAGCCGCCCCGAGGCTTTGTTGCGATGGGGGCAGCATAAAAATGTTTTAAATAAATAAATACACTATGTCCGCAAGGAGAGTCCAAAAATGCAGGCAGCTGTAGGGATCCACCTCAACAAACCACGTCTAGCAATGTTCATCCCCACCAAGAGTAAGGCCAATGGGTCTGAACCGCTCACTCAAGGCCAAGCCACCTGGAAACATCTGGCCTTACAACAGGAAACAATCTATCATTCCTGGAAAAATCAGTTTCCCCCAGTGACTGTGAAGAATGCAGCTAAACCCAGAAGGAAAAGGGAATTCTGAGGAGAATGGCTAGGAGTGTCAGCACTGCACCCTGCAAGACTGCTCCAGACCCATCAGAAGGAGATGCATTTGCTGTGGGAGACGGCAAGGAGGAATAAAGGAGATGTATCCAGCACTGGGAGAGTGAGTGGTGCAGGAGAAGCAGCACATGGAAATATTCAGCAGAACATGCAAAAGGGAGCCTGCTAGAGACGCTGCTGGGCCTGTTCAGGAAGAGCACGGCACATAAGAGAGTTATGACGATCTCCCGGTCCTCCTTCTGTGCCTACAAAATGGCAGGATCTCATCAAAGCGGGGCAGGGGGTGCCCCAACATCGGCCATCTTCATTTTTCCATGAATGCTTTGGAACGTGTAGATGGTTTGCGGCCATCTGTGTGAAAGAACTGTGTGTGTGTGGGCAGTGATTCAGACAGAGAGGAAAAAGAGATTGAGGGAGTGAGTTCTCTGGCAGGAGAGTGGGGAGGGGAGGAAATCATTGGCTTTTTGTGATATCGGTGCTGAAAGCTGTGGGTTTAAAGGACCTGAGCAGGCTCAGGCCCCAGCTTTGCCTTGTGGACAGCTTTTGGGCAGGCTGCCTGCCCTCTGTGACCAGCCACCATTCGCATGGCAGCCATTTTGTGGTAGTGCAGAGGACAGTTTCTCAAATTGCCAGATGCTTCACGGACCCCAACTGTTGCCCTCTTGGGCCTAATCTATCACCTTGACCCTTTGCCACTTCATCAGCTGGGGCTCCCTCTGGCGGCCATAGAGCAGGCCACAGGGCATGCGTGAATCTGATCTGCTTTGACAACCTTGGCTAGCTTTCCTCAATTGTTGCCCTGGCAGTTAAGCTAGGAGAGCCTGCTCAAACAAAGCACCAGGGCGTGTGAGGCTCATTGCAAATGAAAGTTCACTGCAGGCCTCCTCTTTGTCTCTGATAGTCAGGAATACTTCCAGCCCCTGGGCATAAATTATTCTTCTATTGCAGCTCTCTCACAGCACCTCTGCACAAAGTAGTGGCTAAGCCAAAAGTCACTGGTTTCTATTATTCGCTCCAGGTGAAGATCAGGGCGATCAGCCTCTTCAGGCAATGTTGCACTGTTGAAATTTAGGAAGAAATGCCATTAAATGAAATGTAATCTTCTAAGAACAACTTCCTTTTTTTCTTTTGATTTTTTATTCCGCTTTTCCCTTTGTCTGAAACCACAAAGTGGCTCGCAGAAGTATGATACCAAAAAAGAACATTAGTTCCAGCATATCAAAAGCAAATGCATAAATGTATTTCTCAGAATAGGATTCCTCCAGCTCAAAACCCATTCCTTTTTTCTCTGCTTTAAACATCAGTGAAATACAGCGATTGCCTGTCCTCATTATATCCATTTAATCAGCAACTAACATTTCTGTTATTCTGTTCCGGTCATTTCTGCATAGCCAAGCTTTTCTATGCAAGACATTAAACTGCTCTATGCAAAGTTGTTTATTGGTTCCTTAGACAATGCTGTGACGCTCCCGTCTTGCTTCTGTGCCTAAGGAACACTTTTGGCAAGCTTATTTGAGTAGGGAACATGCAGAGAAAGAAAGGGAAACCCCTCTGCTTTTTGAAATAGGTGTGTATTTGTGCTAGTCTGCTGTTAAACAGGGCCACCTAGTGGCGTTGCGATGCAAAAGCAGGAAGGGAAATATTGTGCAGTCAACTCATTTGGGTTGGATCTGATTAAACCCAAAGCAGATACTGCCGATTAAGAGCAGATTAACAGTCGGCCAGGAATAGAAAAGCTCTGTCATAACTTTTTATGACTTTGGACCATCTGAGGGGTGAAACAGTCTGAGTGGAATTTCCCCATATCAAATTCCTATCCTAAGCATCTGAACGGCTCTGAAGTTTCATTTGCTGGAATCATTCAGGAGTTTAAGGTTTAAAAGTCTGCATGGTGGAATACAGCACATCAGTGTGGATGGGCAACGGCTCCTGCAAGAAGAAGCTTGGAAGCACAGCTCACAAATGACAGGATGAATCCCAGTTCGTGAATGTATCTTCTGGGGTAAAGAACAAGGAACTGCAAGAGAAGCCTGCTGATGGGAAAAGAAGACATGTTGGGAGAGAAAGGGAAATGAGAGAAAGAAAGTACAAATTAGGTTTTGCTACTGGAAGCCATGTAGATCAATGAGGCTTGAGACCTTCCCTCCCCTCCGACCAACAGGTTAGAGGCGTACAAAGAGAGTGGGTGCTTTTGATGGAGCACTTCTAGGGGGTGATGGAGAACACATTGGCCTGGCACCTCTGTGCTCTTTGTGGCATCGCCTCCTAAGATAGTTCCTGACCTTAGAGGGTGTATGTATGAAGTGGGCACAATACTCACTTCTTTCTTTTTTCTGTCCTCCTTTAGAGAGACTGCTTCATGGTTCTTATGTTCCTCCCGGAGGCAAATTTGGCAAATGAACTTGCCTTCCATTTTGCAGAACAGCTCCAGCAGTCTTCGATGCTTCAGGCACATGTTGGCCTTCAGGTCAGCAAGGGGCGCTATCAGCTGATGGTTCTTGAAGGTCCTGTCTTCATAGTGGGACCTGATGTGGTTGTCACACAAGGCAGCCATGCACTGCAGGCAGGACTTGACAGCCTTCAACTTCATGGGTGAACAGAAGTCGCAAGGGACGTCCCTCGACCCTGCTAGTTTCTGTGACTCCTGAGCCTCCGCTCGGGCGAACCGCAGGGCAATTTCTCCCAGAGTTATGTTTTTGCGGAGATGAGGCCGTGAACTGAAGGGCTCGCGGCATTGAGGGCAGTAGGGGCATTCCCCAGTCAGGGCTTGGTGGTCCCAGTAATCCTGCAAACAGTCCATACAGAAGTTGTGCCCACAGGCTGTGGTGACAGGCTCTCTGAATACCTCAAGGCATATTGGACACACAATATTGTCTTCAAGGAAAAGGAAGCCAGCCTTTTTCATCATAACAGCTTAGTTTTGGCTTGGATTCAGCCAATGCACATAGCTTTGTAAAGCTCGTGGAAGGGTTAGAAGTAGGGCTGTCACCTTTAAAACAAAAGCAAACAATGAGTCTTGATTGGTTGAGTAAATATGCATAAATTTGCATATGACAAACATATTCAAGAGAAAATTATGCTGCTTTCCTCCTACTCCAGCCTAGTACCTTCCAGATGCATGGTCAAGCTGGCTAGGAATGATAGGAGTTGCAGTCCAACACATCTGGAGGAGACCAGCTTGGGGAAGGCTGTTTCAAATGGTATATATTGAAAGCAAGAGGAGGAGAATGATGTAAGACACTTTGAATTCTTTAAAAAAGCAGTCCCTCTAACGAAAAACGCAAGGCTAAGATGCTGCCTGCCCCTTGCAATTCATCTACATGTTCATATTAAAAATAAAATGTTTCATTGTCAGGTTAACAGGGGACAGGTTTTAGTCAATGAAACAGTTTTCACTCAGTTAACACAACCAACAGACTGCTATGATTAGAAAACCAGGTTGAATGATCACCCTAGAATACACAGCACTCCTGAAAACAGAATAAATACCTTCTGAAGCACTGGCATGGAGATGTGTGGGTGGTAAAGCTGCAAGGCACTGCTTAACATAATCTTGACTGGACACATCACAAAAAAATTTTGTTCAGCTAAATTGAAACCCCCGTGTAGGTTTGGTCAGAAGCGATACCCATTCCAGCCCATGGCTCTCCCTCCCAGATAAACGTGACGGGGTTGCAGCTTCAGGACCCTGGCCTGAGGGCAAAGGTGACAGAATGCAGGGAGGCGGAAGCCCCGGCCACAGCAGGTAGACCAGCTAGGCCTCTTGATCACGGGATCAAGGCCCCATTCAGCACTCTGGCAAACTGTTCGAGCATACGAACCCTTGCCATTCATTCCTTCAAGCCTTTCCTTTAAAAATTGAAAAGGCGAACTTCTCTGGAATACCCAGTGTGCCAGATCACAGAATCAGCTTGCAGCCACAGATAGGCTGCCCATGCAGTCCCAATACCAGCCATTAATTCCTATCTTAGTATGGATATCCTCAGTTTGTTGCTGGGTGCTCGGCCATTGCTATGAGCCTCCTGTGGAATCTGACATTCGTATGTCTGAAAAGTCCTGAGAGTCTACCCGAGTTTCTGACCTAGGCATGCCTCCTCATCCAAAGAAGATCAGCTCAGAGCAGTTACTCATGCAAAGATGCAATTGACAACCTCTGTTTCAGATAGATAGTCTGTCTGTTACACCTCTACATCATTCGGTCACACCTGATGCAAAGACACTTGCTCTCAGGGCAAGCTGAGCAAAGCGGGGACAAAGCTGGTAATGAATCATGCAGCCTCCTCCACATATGGGGACTCTGGCTTCACAGGAGTCTTAAATTATCTTATACATTTAAAGAATAATTTATAGAATCACTACCGCACCACATACAAGAACATACAAGGAAACTACTTAAGTCAATTTGGAAAGAGAATATACTCTTAAGGATGTTCAGGTTCCTGAAATTTGTGATCCTACAGTTCTGCAAATAGATTTTCATGAGTTCTATGAATTCCACGCTTACCTGTTTAGCTGAGCGACACTGAGAATCATGTGGCAAAAGAAGCCACATATAACAGTTCTGCTCCCAGATAAGCTCTGCCCCCCAGCTCTAGGAATGAGGTTTACAAGTCTTGTTTCTCTTGGCCCAAAACGACAGCTTCCCTTCAGTTCCTGCTCCTTTTGTGGGGTTTGCGTTTGCTAGCTGACATCACAGTTCAAGCTGGAAAGGATGGGGGGTGATAAGCACTCTGGTTATGATGTCATTACTAGGCAGATGCAGGTAAAACTGCTAAAGATCCATTCTGCAGCATCCTTACAAGGAGAAGCAAATTATAGGCACCTCAGAGAAGTGGCATGGAGTGAAATGTGGAAACCCACATGAAGCCAGAGAGCTTCAGGGCAATGTTTCTGCCCATCATTTTAATTTGGTATGGATAAATTCACACAGAAAGCTGTTTTTAGAGGATCAGTTTCTGATGGCCACTCACTCACACAACTGACATCTGCTTGGTATGTACCAAGGTATTTTTGGATCTTCTCTGATAAGCATTCACTTTTCAAAGGCCTGCAGTGATTGTTTCTTTTGGACAGCAAGCTACTACTAGTTTTCCCTATGCTTTACTACTATACTAGGATTGTACTAGACATGACAATTCCAACTTGTTTAATCTAAGATGTGGTAGATTCACTCACAATTAATCAGCATCTGTACTCTTAGTTTTTAAACCTGTTTCAGCAAAATGGATAGTATAAACCAATACACTTTGCCTCCTTTTTGCTGTTCTGCTTGAAAATTTTGATAAAGCTCAAGAGATTCATCGTATCATAGAATGGCAGACTTGGAACCAGGAAGGTCATCAGGTTCAACCTGTTGCTCAATCCACGACTCCAAACTGAACCATCCCTCTCAGATAGCTGTCCAGTTGCATCTTGAATGCCTCATGTGTGAGAGAGCCCACAATCTCCCTAGGGAATTGGTTCCTTTGTTGTCCTGCTCTAATAGTCAGGAAGTTCTTCCTGATTTCTGGACAGAACCTAGCTTCCTGTAACTTAAGTCCATTATTTCATGTCCTGCATTCTGAGATAATCAAAGCTCTTGGCCTTGCTCTGTGTGGGCCACCTTTCAACTACTTGAAGAGTGCTATCATATCTCCACACAGTCTTCTCCAGGATAAAACTCCCCAGTTCTTTCAATCTCTCCTCAGAGGGCTTTGTTTACGGTTCCCAGATCATCCTTATTGCTCCTCTCTGAACTCCTTCCAGCTGGACTGCATCTTTCTTTAACTGTGGTGCCCAGAACTGGACGTAGTCCTCCAGGTGAGGCCTAACCAGGGCTGAATAAAGGGGAACTAGTGTTTCAAATGGTATGGATGCTTCTATTTATGCAGCCCAAAATAGCATTTGCCCCTATGATATCAGAAGCTACTGCTTTCCTTGACATCAAACGAGGAAAGATACTAAATACCAAAGGAGGGAAAAACCATGCTGCCATCCCTTGCTGTAAAGAAAACATATGTGAAAGGCATAACAACCCTTCCTTCCTACAACTAAAGCAGGAGGGCACAAGAAAAAGGTTGAGACACTCAATCATGTCAGAATCTTTATTGGAAAAAAAATCACAGCATCTCCATTATTATTCAAACACATTTAATAAACAAAGAGAAACAGTAGCAAAGGGCACTGACATGTGACAAACTGTACAAAACCTCTAGGTTTGCAAACAAAACCTGAGGGTGAGGAGCCCACGGCCCAGCTGTGGAGGTCCGAGGAGCCACCTCCACCCTTTTGTGGGTAGCCCCCTGCCCTCAGACCACTCAGTCACCCCTGAGAAAAATTGATTAAAAATGTGCAGAAACAAAGACACTTTTTAGAGAAGGTTAGCTCCAACCTTGTTGTAACGGAATAATTGGCCACTGGGAAACTGGACCTGCTACTGGTCCCCAGGGGCTAGCTAATGATTTAAAGAAAACCTCAAGAGATGCAAATCACTCAGATGAATAACCATCCTGCCATTTGCTTCCCTTTCTATCTACTGCCATCAGCAGGGGAAATAATTTTAATTTATTTTCCAGCTTTAGCTTTGGAGATAATGTTTTGACCAAGTAAAGGCAAATGGAAAGAAAAGCCCTGTTGCTGTAGAGGCAGAGATACAACTGGTGCAGCACACAGAAGCCAGTTCTTGAGATTAACAGGGCCTGAAGGTGGCCTGTCATGGTAGGGAATGACTATCACAAGTGAATGAGCTAGAATGGTGTCTTGCTGTAGCTGGATTTCAAGCCCTTATACTAGGAAAGCCAACAGCTTTTCCAGTCCCTAATACTGTTTCAGTCTCCAACTAAACAGAGCTCACCACTCCAGGAAAAGTCTCAACAGACTTAGTTACGCTTGTTGAGAATACTTGACATGGGAAGCAAAGGAGAAGGCAACTGTGCTCCAGCAAAGAACTAAATTCACTGAAAACCTCTCGCAGTTGTCAGCAGCAAGTGGAGTATTTAGGATAGGCCCACTGATCCAGTAGAAACATTATTTCTCACTTTAGCTCCAACTTTGCTGTAACAGAACAGCCTCCAGTCCTGCCAGTTACAGCTCCTCTCACAATCTGATTTTCCTCCAGATTGAAACGGAGCCGTTCCCAATGGCACAATATGGGCAACAGAATGGGAGCCGTTTGTTTCCAGTCTATTATCCTGATATCAGGCACTCCTCTAATGGGGCTTCCCCATGCGTTTTTCGATTTTATTTTTGGTGACCATAACATAAAACAATGAGGTATTTGTTTTGGTTAACTAAAGCTACACAGTAAGGTCTCCTTCCAAGCAAACCTAACACTGCTACGTGCCCAGCAAGGTGGGGAATGAGTTGGGTTAGGCCATGTTGGAAATGGCTGCTATTCTTGGCATCAGCCTGCTTTTCTTCCAACTTCATACACCCACAACCCACTCCCTCTACCTCCGAGAAGTAGAGATTGTGAGGGGATGCGTGAATGCCATACATCTGCGGTTCTTAGACTCCCTCGCAGCACACAGACATCTGGTTATTTCTCAGTTGTTGACATACACTGACAACGGCTGAAGGTACAAGATACTCAAGAGATTTATGTACACATCACAGTGTTAGTTAAATCCAGCCAGGACGTACAGTCTCACCATGCCAATACCAATACATTATAAACGGGAAGGGTGGGATAAGATGGGAAAGTTGGTTTAATTCAACACAGTACAGAGTGAGTTGAGTTTCAGCAACCAGTAACCGACCTCAAAACCTTTGGTACAGTCCGCTTTTACAAAGACTGGACCACCACATGCTCTCCAAACCTTAAGCCTTACTGGAGGTATATTGGCAGAACTGGTGGGGAAGCTCAGGGATATATGCACAGAAACACTCAAGAGTAAGGGAGGATGTAGAGCAGGAAGGAACTGGGTGCCAAATTGCATTTAAACTCCCTAGCTTTATCCATGATAAGGACTTTCATGGTCCCAGTAATACTTCACTCACTGTCCTTCCCCACCAACTGCCCTCACCCTTTATGTTCACAAGGAGGAAATGGAAATGTTCACAAGGAAGCCTCATTACTCCACACCATAGAACATGAAAAATACACAAGAGTACAATCTCCTTGATAGGGAATCCCAAGCACACCAATCGAAATAGTAGGGATACTCCTTTGATCACAGGTTAGTGTAGGAATTTTGATTATTGCCTAGGGGAGACCAAAGCACTTCAGTTTCTTTGAAGCGTTAGTTTTTATGTTTGGGACTTAATGCAAAGGCCCAGAAGCCAATGGCGGTCAGTGAGGAGAGGAGTCAGGGTGTGGAGGGGAGGTGTCTCATGCAGCAGATGCTTAAGGGTTTCCACTTAGCAACAACTAGGAAGGGACATTCCACTGATCAGGGATGGCACAAATTCACTGACAAGATCAGCAAGTCCCATTTGGCTAAGATTAGAATTCAAGAGAGGCACAATATTTTCATGTCCATTCAAGGCATTCCAAAGGAAAACAAAATGTACAGAATTTCACACCACTTGGGACAAAAAACAGCACAACAGTTTGGCAACTTTCACCACCACCCCTCCCCTTCCCACCCCCTGCCCAACCTGTGCAGTGCCCCTTAGTTATTTTGGGTAAGATGACACAATAAAGGGTGGAAGGGATTGCAAGCGCAGAATAACCATGTGTAAATAAGGGACCCTCCATCCCCAAATGTATTGGAAGAGAGTTGTTAAACCCTACCAAAATAACTAGAGTACAAAAGAAAATCTGCTTTAATCAGGACAGCAAGAGAACAAGGGGATAATTTCATGCTGCTGAAGACAAGAGAAGGCAAAGCTGAACTTGGCAGGAACAAATCCTCCAGATCAAAGAGCAACTTTAAGATGCCAAAAGCCCACATTCTGGGCTCTGGCAGGAAAAATGGAACATACACCTGATTGCCACCCTCCACTGACATTGTGAGAGTAAGAGACAGTATATCTGTCTCTGAAACCAGGGAATAATTATACATTTTTAAAATGTGTGAAGGGTGATAACCAAACCACACTGTGAGAGATGCTTAGAGCTTATATTTTTAGTGTTATCAGAGGAAAAACCCTTCAGCTGAGGCCCCATGGTACACATAATTCCCAGCTATCTACCCTGCACAAAAAAACAAAAAACAAACCCCACCCTCCCCAAGCCAAACGGAAACAAAAAACACCACCCTGAAGCTTTCCCTCTAACAAGTATATGAGCTAGTTACAAACCCAAAACAAGAATGATAAAGGTTTGGGGTAAGCGGAGGGAATGTTCTTGGTTTAGATTTTCTTGTCCAAATCTATGTTCATCAAATCTGGACTAGCCTAACTTTGACAAATTTCTCAACGACAAATGGCACTGCATAACCAAATTTCCCTGTCATTACTCCAGACCAGTGATGCCCGGAATAATGTAAAGTATCCAGGAATCTGGGCAGCCCTCACAAAAGGCTCCAAAGACAGCTTTCTCCTCCAAATAAAACCAAATAAACCAAACAGTGCCAAGGCAGAAATAAAAAGAGAAAGAGATAGTGGGGCAAAGGGACCATCCAGCTGGAAGATCTTCTTTCCTCTTTGCTTTCTGAGACTGAGTGGGATGAGCCGTATTGCCTACCAGGAGTACTTCTCCACGGGCAGGACAGGCTCAGCTTTGCTTTGTGTTAGTTTGATTACTGTACAAAAGCAAGGTTGGACTGCAGGAGAAATGCTCTGCCCAGCTAGATTGCCCTTTTGACAACTCCGGGAGTTTTGAAGTATTCAATGCTTAGATCACATCCGTGATCCTCGCTCCTGAAGAATCTGGAAAAAAGACAAGCAACAGAACAATTAGTTAGGATTTAGGTTAGCAGTTTAGTTTAAATTGAGAGAATAAGAGCTGGAAGAAATAATTGGAAGTGAAACTTTAGATGTTCCATGGCATGTCATAAATGGATTCATGGCCACACCACTATAGAAAAAGCTTATCAACCACTGGAAGCCAAGCACATTAACTACTGTGGAGCCCCACCCTGCCATGATTTAGGTTATTTATTACTGCTAAATCAAATCAAATATTTGGCATGGGAAAAATGGGTCCTGCTAAAATATTTGACTTGCATAATTGCAAGGCACATTTCTAGTGCACTTCAGCAGCTGGCCCTGTCAAGCTCATGTCACATCCTATTAAGTATCTTTGGCTGTGATACACTTTGGACTTTCCTTCTTTTGCCTTATACTACAGTTTAATCAAATTCCATTTTCAGTTGTAAACATCTACTCCATGAATTAATCTGATAGGAATAGTTCAAATGCAAAAGGTTAGAACAATAAAGGTAAAAGGGGTCAAGAAGGCCATCAGGTCCAAACCCCTGTTGTTGTAGGACACTAACTTACGCCATCCCACTCAGACTGTCCTGATTCTTTTGGCATGTTTCTAGTGTTGGAGATCCCATGACCTCTCCAGGCAACTGGTTCCTCTGTCATATTGCTCTGGCAGTGAGGAAGCTTTTCCTGATATGTAGCCTGAATCTGGTTTGTTACAACTTAAGCTGATTAGTCCTTGTCCTACACTCTGGTATGAGTGGGAAGTGATGTTGTCTTTCCTCTTTATGACAGCCTTTCAGGTACTTATAAAGTGATACCATTTTCCTCTCAGTTTTCTCTTCTCAAGGCTGAACATACCCATACCCAAGGCTGAACCTCTCATAGGGCAGTGTTTCCAAACCCTGGATTTTTCTTGCCTTCCTCGGGACCCTTTCTAGTTTTTCTGCATCCTTCTTATATCTTGATGCCCAGAACTAGACACAGTATTCTGATGAGTTCTGACTAGTGAAGAGTATAGGGGAACTATTACTTCTCGTGATTTGGAAGTAATACTTCTATTAATGCATCACAAAATAGCATTTGCCCTTTTTGTGGCTGCTTCACATTGTTGGCTTATATTTAGCCTGTTGTTCACAATACCTCCAAGGTATTTTTCCTTTTCAGTTCTGTTGAGCCATGTGTTCCCCATTATGTATTGATGCATTTGGTTTCTTCTTCCTAGGTGGAAGACTTGGCATTTGTCACTACTGAATCTCATTCTTTTGCTTTCAGCCCAACATTCAAGCTGATCAAGATCACCCTGGATCTTCATTCTGTCTTCCAGGATGTCTGCTATTCCACCCAGTTTTGTATCATCTACAAATTTGACTGTTGTTCCCTGTATTTTGTACATGGATTGTACACATTGCTGTATGCAATCCTATATACAAGTTTTACCTATAATTTATCTCATGTCTGCTCTCACTTCTCTGATTCAAGCACCAGTCTAAGTTTTAGATACTACAGCATAAGTACCTTTACAAATATTAGCAGAATTACTGCCATAAACTCGATTGCAAGAAGTACTATGTCCACATGACAGAACGACATGCCTATGCTTTGTTTCCAAATTCACAGTGGTGTTAATGCCAGAGAAATCAGCTTCCGTGAATCCAAGGCTGCAATCTTACACACACTTACCCTGACTGAATTCAGCTGGATTACGTTCTGAGCAGCCAGGCATTGAATTTGGCTGTAAGCATTAAAAAACGTCTAAGGGCACAATCCAACGCAAGTTTAGGAAGAAAAAAAAGGTCTACAACTACCAGCATGCCCCAACCAGTATGGCTGGCTGGAACATGCTGGTAGCTGTAAGCCTATTTTCCCACCTCAGTGTAAATAGGAATGTGCCTTAAAACAATCTTATAAACTTTATAGAAAATCCAAGTGTGAGGAGAAACCCTTTCTAGAGACTGCCACAGAGGGATATAGTGAAAATTCTGTACAGCTTTTTCTAAATATTTTGGGAAAAGAACTGATGGATGAACCAAGAAATATTAACCACCACCATCTGGGGTTTTTGCCTCTCTCTTATTTCAGTGGCTTGTTGACATGCTTCTACAAGTTGTGGCTGCAGGATACTGAAACTAACATCTGCAATAATAACCTTCATCAAAATGCTAACTATCAGAACTGTACATTTCATTACATCAAAGCAACCTGCCTTATTTTCTTTTCTATACAGAATGATTAATATAATCCTCAAGGAATCTGATCACAAACTGGTTCCTCACCTTTGCTTTCTCACTAGGCTCTATGACAATGCCATTGGTAGAGTTATTTAGCTCTCTGGATACAACACAGAGGAATTCTGCTTGATCTTCATTTCCATAGTTATATGAAGATCCAATGCTGATTAGCTGTTAAAAAGGAAAATAAATCATGCAAAGGTTAAAAGCAGGAACATTTGATGACAATTCTACTTCTGTATCTGGTCTACAATAGTGGCCAGTTACTGAGCTGTGGGGAGAAGCATTAAAGAGCACAAGGCCATGACAAAATACTCTGTTATTCCTTCTTAGCTTTTAGATGGCTTAAGCTGAATTACTGAACTTCTTTTATCCAAAGCACCCAAGTACCTTTTGGAAAGGCTTTTGGGAACTGCCTTCTAGTGGAGGTGGGACCGGAGGCAAAAAGGGTGGGGTCAAAATACCGGCATATTTGTGATTAAAATTCTTAATATTAGTAATTAGACAGCAAGAGAGGCTTTTTCAATTTAAAAAAGCCGGGAAACCATTCAATAGTTAGAGGAAAGGAGGCATGGCCATCCAGGGGAACCTTGGAGAACTGGATCTGAACCACAGGTGTGGGGTTCAATATTTCCAGCCTACAAACACATCCATGTCTAGCCTGAGTCTTAAAAAACTTGTGATGCACTGAAAACTAAGCAACCTGTGTGAATTCTCTTTGCTCTTGTACTGACAAATAGATCTTCTATATTGTAACAAGCATACATACATGTGCAATTGGTAGCCTGAGTGGATTCTAATTTCATGAATAGCCCTGATCACAGATATTAATTCAAATTCTTATGAATGACATTTTTGCCCACTCTTACTTAAAACATTATCAGTGTCACTTTAAAATATGAGCAGTATTCAAAATCTTTAAAAGTGTAACCAGAGGCTCAGATACATTTGTGTAAACCTCAAATAAGGCAATGAAGAATTTAGGATTATAGTTTATATAGCTGCTTGCTTGTGCCAGCATATATCTCTAGAGATTACAAACAAAAAATCAAAATAGATAAATGCAAGCAGAGAAGTATAAAAACAGAAATGTAAGGCAGTATTACTAAAGTTACTGGCAACGTGTAACAGGAGTCTGAGGCATTTATAACTACAAGCAGCAAGGGTACAGCAACAAGGCCTGAGTTGGTATTAAAATAAAAAACAACTGGACATGGAGAAGTGAGACAGTAAAGTATGACAAAACATTTGAATGTTCAGAGAGCAGCAGTGCTATATCAGTCTGGGAAGATAACACTGTGGATACTGCAAAAGTTATAGTGAGCAAAATTCCCTAATGCTTAAGAATGTGAGGATGAATGCTTCAGCCTTATTTACTAGGGATAATCTACGATTTTATTGTGTCCTCTCATAAAGTATAAGCGAAGGATGAGTAACTCAGAAGGCATGTACTGAATGAGCTCTTTTGTTCCGACTTCTACCACCCCGTACAGCACACTGGTTCAACTTGTGCTGGCCCTTGCCATTGTACAAAAGAACAAGGACATTGGGTATGTATGAGGCATTTTGGAGTGGGGAGGACAATAAGAGTTACCTGCCTTTCTCAAGATACTTTTCAGTCAGCCCTGCACGGCCCCAAATCAGGGCTATGGGAGGCTGGCATTTGGAAATATGTAAAATATGCATTTCTATACTCAACAAACTTGAGATGGTACAAAGTCCCCTACAGATGGCTCAATATAATAAAAATATTATAATCTGAAACATTTTAAAAAATCCAGCTCATGAAGAGGAACTGGAACCTACAGACTGTAAAACCGCAGTTAACAGCATCAATTGACTGACAGGGAAGAGGAAGAGAAAATAGTCATGGGGGGAGGATGCTGATTCACTTTCTCCAAATTATGATCACCAATACCTGTTAGACACTAGGAAATCAGACTTCTTCCCAAGTATCATCAGACTAAGCACAACTTATGTTCCATTAGAAACACCATCCTCTCCACATTCCAAGATGGTTGCAAGGAACTACGCACACACATTCATGATTCACTAGGCTATTGATATCTGCTCCCTTTATTTCCTTCAACAGAAAATAATGAGAGGCAGATAAGCCATGATTTAATTCAGTGAACCCTTCTTCTGGATTGGAAAGGATTCATTTGCACTGGATACCTGTTCAAATTTCCATCCATCAGACATAGTAGACACCATCTGGGTGAGCTCTTCCTCTTGGCACTGCAGGACTCTGTATACATGCTTGACAGGTCCCTGGAACATGAGGAAAATAGCAACTGACAAATTAGAAATTTGACAAATTAGTGGCCTTGCTAAGCAGCAACAGCTTTTTAAAAGGACTGGTGCATTTCTTGCTTTGCCTTGGTAAAATTAAAACAGAAACGTAATTACTGAAACTCTCTAAAACTCATCATCAAGTCTATGCTGTGGTGGTGAAGACGGCAAAGGAAGCTTATTTTTCTACCTCCATTGCATCCTCTCAGTGCCATCCAGTGGATCTGTTCTGAGGGTTTCAGGGGCACTTACAAACCGGCCCTGTGGAAGAAATAGTGGAACCCTCAGTGGCCCACTGTGAGGAATCTGCACAGCACTTTGAGGGTAAAATCACTCAGATCTGTCAGGAATTGGAGATGCAATTCCTTTGGCTGAGGCATCCAGCGCATTGTCTGATCCAAGTTTATTGGATGAGTTTCAGTTGTTGGGGCCTGAGGATGTGGACAAGGTGCTTGGACTGGTTCGGCCTACTATTTGTATGCTCAACCCTTGCCCACCATGGCTTGTGGCGCAAAGTGCAGAGTGGGTGCGCCCCGGGTTCTGGAGGCTGTGAATGCCTTGTTAAGAGAGGGAGTGGTCCTGGCCTCATTGAAAGAAGCTGTTATTAGACCACTCCCAAAAAAGGCCAATTTGGATCCAGAGTATGTGAGCAATTGTAGACCAGTCACTAATATCCCCTTCCTGGGGAAAGTGTTTGAGCGGGTGGTGGCTGGCCAGCTTCAGACACTCTTAGATGAAATGTACCTCCTTTATCCATTTCAATTGGGATTCAGACCTGGATTCAGAATGGAAACTGCCTTGGTCGCCTGTGGGATGACCTATGCCTTGAGACAGACAGGCAGAGTGCGATCCTGTTGGTTCTTCTGGACCTCTCAGCAGCTTTCAATACCATTGACCATGGTATGCTTCTGGACAGGCTGGTCGAGTTGGGAGTGGGGGCTACTTGACTGGCTGTGTCCAGAAGGTGGTGCTGGGGGATTTCTGCTCTGAGCCATGGCATCTATGTCATGGAGTTCTGCAGGGCTCTAGTTTATTCCACATACTTTTTAACATCTACATGGAACCACTGGGTGAGGGCATCGGGTGTGGGCTGAGTTGTCATCGGTATGCTGATGACACTGAGCTCTACCTTTCTTTTTCATCAGATGCAGGTGTGGCAGTGGATGTTCTGAATCAGGACCTGGCCTTGAGAATGGATTGGATGAGGGCTAATAAACTGAAACGTAATCCAGATAAGATGGAGATACTGTTGGTGCAGAGTGCACCTGTTCAGATGACATCTTGCCTGTCTTGGGTGGGTTGCACTCCCCCTAAAGGACAGGGTTCATAGCCTGGGGGTGCCTCTGGACCCTGACTTATCCCTGGGATTCTAGGTGGAATTGGTAGCCAGGAGTGCCTTCTATCGGCTTAAGGTGATATATCAGTTGCAGCCATATCTGGACAGACAGGACCTGGCAACAGTTATCCATGCACTAGTAACCTCTTGTCTGGATTATGCAACATGCTCTTGGGGCGGGGGGAGGGATCCCTTAAAGATGGTCTGGGAACTTCAGTTGGTCCAGAATAGGGCAGCCAGACTATTAATGAGGATAAGCAGATAAAATCATATAAAGCAAGTCCTCTACCATTTTAACTGGCTCCCATTTGAGGTCCAGGCCCAATTCAAGGAACTATCACAGGTGTTTAAAGCCCGAAATTGCTTGGGACCAGGGTATCTAAAGGAGTGCCTCTTCCTGTATGAACCTACCTGGCACCTTAGATCTGCACCTGAGGCCCTTCTGAAGGAAGCCCCTCTTCAGCAAATGAGGGTGATAACACAAAAAAGAGCCTTTTCTGCAGTGGCACCCCGACCCTGGAACAAGCTCCCAGAAAGTCCGTCTGGCACCTTCTTTACATTCTTTTAGGCACTAGGTGAAAACATTTGTATTTCTATGGTATTTTAATTGTTAACTCATTTTAAGGAGCAGTTAAACTGTGGGTCTGTCATTACTGTTATGTATCTTATATTGGTTTTAATATTTTTATATTTGCAATTGTTGTTTTATATTGTATTTTAATCTATATTTTATTCCATTTTGTATTTTGTTGCTGTAACCTGCCCAGGGTGCTACATGGCTAATAGGGCAAGCTAGACATTAAATGAATAAATAAATAAATGGTGTTTAAAGGTCATTTCTGGGCACCATGACTGTGAAAAACCAAAACATGTAGCAGGATTTTAGAAACCAGAAATAGAAGTAGGTGAGCAGAGTGAGGATGTTACAGCACAGAGATAGGCTAGGCATGTTGCATCAAACACCCTTTTGTTGCAGTCTGTTGTGTTCTGGGACAAGATAAATGTACGGTGACAACTAATGGCTAAAATGGATTTCAGCTGAAAATAATACTGTACCACTCGGAAAGTGGAGACAAGATGCAGCTGACCTCTCTCTCCACTATTTCCTACCTGGTCAGGACCTAAAGTGGCCAAAATGCCAGCAATAACAACACCCAAAATACTGCCCTCAGCACCTATCTCAATCCTTGGACAATCCCAGGTAAGAGAAGAATGCACAGGTCCCAAGTTTTTCTATTCTTCTGATTTCAAGTAAATTTTGCCTGGGCCAAGTTGGGTCTTGCTACATATACCTTTCCCCCAAAGTTCCAAAACCGTCTTAACTTTCCTTCCTTATGAAAGAAAACAAAAGGCTAATCAATTCCAATCCCTTAAATGTTTTGAGAATACATGAAACCCAGATTTTCTGACTTTTCAGGGAAATATGGGACTTTAAAACCCTACATAGTTATGAATTCCAAGCAGAATTCCCCAAATCCACTAATTTGCTTGCCAGCTATGACTACTTCTCTCACCTCTGGAAGACACCCCGTCCCACTGGCCCAACGCAGCGATCTGATCTCTCAAATTCTCCACGAACTACAGCTAACTATGAGGAAGACAATGCAACTGATCTGCCAGAACTTATCTGCAGTTTAAAGCAAACTTGTGAAAAGGAAGGACTCTCTCTGCTTCTCACTGAGCTTTTGGCAGGGGCAGTGATGCACTGCTCCCACCTCCTGCAAAAGCCCAACAAACCCACATTTCCTTCAGGGAGATCTTGGGAAACAAAGGGCGATTTCTCTTTCTTTTAGTGCTAGTGCCAAGATACTGCTTCTGTCTTTTGTGAAAGCCTATTATGAGACAGAGAAAACATTCCTCACCTCTCCCAAGTTCTCTGCACATGCCACAGAACTCAAGGAAAGGGTAGCTGGTAACCCCAAATAATGTCTGGTCAAGTCAGTATTTGTGAACACCCAATTCTTACAAATTCCCTTCTATGTTCTTTTAACATGCATTACTTGAGAGGTTCTGCTTTCATTGTCCCGTATTCGCTCCTTTACCAACCGCACTAGAGATGCAATGTTGTAAAACTCAGCTTCTTCCAGCACACCTAGGAACAAAAATTAAAAAACAGAATTAGGAATTGTTGCTGGCCTTAAGTGGATGCTAATCCCAAAGGCTCCTGTACAGAAAACTTTAGGTTCCAATATTGCAGCACTGTCATAACACAGAAATATATACAAACATGATTTTAACCTAATAAACAGAGAAGCTATAATACCAAAATTTCTTTTTGTACAGTGCAAAAAATACCAAAAAGTTTCAGAAAGCTACCACAAACATCCAGACACACTTGTTTGTTATGAATGCAGTGTTCTGTGTGCATGCCTCTTCTCACAACAGAAAACTACAAAAACCTCAGGATTCAAGAAGAAATGCCCCTTCCATTTCACTATCTTCACAAAGAAAAATATCCTTTTCAAACAACATACCAATGAAAAATCAATGCAACCATAATGGTTAATGGTATGTTCTTAGATTATTTTTGTGGTGTTTTAGTTATATTATTGTGCTGATTAGTTTATATTATTGTCCCTGTTCTGTTAATTATGAATTTCTATAGTGTGTGTGTACATTGCCTTGAGATTGTCTTTTGTGCTGGGAAGTGACATATTAATAATAATCAAAACCCCAAAATTTGTACTGTTCCACCATGAGTTGGCTTAAAATAAACCATCTTTCTCATGAAATAGAAACATGCAGACAATGCAATCACTGGGCTTAAGCATATTTAATTTTGAGCTGGGATGAGGCCAATATCCATTAAGGATCTCTCTCGTTTTCAAGGAGATAGATTATTTATATCTTTGCCAAAGTCAGACAAAGTATTGCAATCCCTTTTTCTTACCTTCTTCTGCCAATTCCTTGTTTATTATGAGTTTTCCATGCCGGAGGTAGTTCAGGATTGGACCAAAATATGTGGGATCCCTATCAATGAGATATGCCCCCGTTTCATCCTGTTTAGAAATATACCAGTGTCAGATTCTGATACTAAAATGGACAATTCAATGGAAAATATTTGGCTATGGAAGCTGGTATCACGAACATGGGAATTTGTTTGGCTGCAGAGAATCAACTTCCTCCTCAGCAAAACAAGTGGGTTCTTTTTAAGAAGTTGTGTCTGAATCATCCATAAAAGACAGAGCTTAGATTTAAAATGCTGTTATAATGTCTACTAGGTTTCCATCTCCTGCATCACAAGATAGAAAGAAGTATTTTATTACTGGCTTTTCTATTAGAAGACACCATGGTGCAATAAAAACATAGGTCACTGCCTAGATAAAAGCATCTCATTGAATTATCTAATCATATGTCTATCTACTTGAAATAAACTGCTCTTACATCCAGATCAGTGGCATTCTTTGAAAATTTATGAGTGTTTTATTTCTGAATTTCCATAAAGCTTTGAAAGCACTTAGGAGCAGCAAGAAAAAAATGGGCAAAAAATGAATACAATGACCTCATTTTTCTTTGTTACTGAATTCCTAAGAAAAACTTTTCTTAGTTCAAACTGTTAATTCTCTCACATGAACCATATTAGTGCTTTCCAACAGAGGTAAAATTTTTCTGCTGCACACAAATGCAATCTAATCAATTTGTTTGGCTATTAGCTGGAAGATTAGCTGGAAAATTACTAAGGATGAAATGCTATGCATGCTTAGATGGGCTTTTTTTCCTGTCTCATGATACCAGTTAGGAGATAATGTATAACTACCCTTTGTGCTTAACAGTTTTTTGCAGGAAGAAAATATGATTGTAGAAGCAATAGGAAAACATGGGAGGGTTACCAGTGGAAGATGATGTTGATCTCCCTGCCCCATCAAATTCTGTGAATGAGGCAAGGCATGATTACATTCTTATCTGGAAGCACTCAAAAGCTACAATCACATACATACTTACTTGTGAATAAGTTCCAGTGACCAGGGGCTTAGCTCTGAGGGGACATATATAAGATTGTACTGCACAAAACCAGTAAATAAGGAAACCAGCGTAGATATTCCTTTGTGACTAATGTGTTGATTCCAATCTAAGATGGTATCTTTTAAGCACCTGAGTTTTCAGTTAAAACTCTATTGTAAAGTAACATATTTATGGAAGGTCTTTTATGGGATATTCAATCCCACCCCTACAGTATTTTAGTATCAGCAACAACTATATGCTGAAAGCAACCACTCAAAATATACTTCATCTTGGCATATAATGTTAAGCATTGGAAATGGGAGTTGGACAAGCTGCTCTGCAGTATGGACATGGATTTTTTTAAAGTTCTTCCTTATTTCACTAATGTGAGGGATAAAATTAAGCCTCACGTGCTGCATTTGCCCTTAGGGTCTGTGGAGCAAAATATACCTTGAACTAAGAGGTTATACTCTGCCAGCTTTATATAAGAAAACAGATTCATATTTACTGTCTGCTTCCCAATGCTCCCTTAATCTACCCTACTACAAAGCAACAAGAGAGTAAGTGAAGCACTGCTCATGGTAAAAAACAATTTCAGATAATTGCACGTATTTAGTCAGCATTATGTTTGCAATGACAAATGATGCTTCAACTCACTGAAGATGCTACAGAAAGTTCCATGGACTAGGTAACTTGGAGGCAAGGAAAATATTGATTCTCTATATATGCAATATAAAGAAGAGCCAAAATTGCCAGAATCAGAACCCCGCAGAAGTTCTATGGAAACAACTAATGCTATATTCTGAAGATAAAGTACACATGTAAGTAGAATTTTAAAAGCAGAATCCTATGCATGTTTATTTAAAGGTGCAACTGTACAATAATTTTCATATATAGTTGAAGATGTGCTGAAGTGCAACCTATGGGTAATTCCTCCAAATTAAAAAAAAAGGAAATTCCATACATGTTACAAAGATCACTAAATAATGAAGGGGTGTGGAATTTGTAGTCCACCAGATATTTTGGTTTACAATTTAAATCAAACCTAGTCCACAGTGCCAAAGGTGAGGGAAGATGGGAGTTGTAAGTCAAAACATCTTTGGGGTAGGACACAACAAGCCCATCCCTGAAAAAGTACAATCAATATATGTAGCAATTAATGTGTTTCACTCTACTGAAATTACTACTTATGTTAAGACTAGGATTAATGCAGTGTTTACAACACAACCACACATATGAAATGGTAAAATTCATATTGACAATGTTATAAACAAGCATAAACAATAAGCTACAAACCTATCAAGCTGTCAAATAGTTGAACATGCTATTTCAAGTTTCATTAGGAAAACACCCATGTTTTCTTTTTAGTACCGAATGCCTGTACTAAATATTAAAGTGCTTAATGGTTAGGGTGGTGACTACAACCATTAAAAGAAAAGGTTACACACCCTTCTTCCACACAAAGTCTAGATCAGGGCAGGCAGTGGGTAGACTGGGATTTCTAAGCAGATCTCCAAGACATCTGTGGTAGATTAACCAGAGCTTTTGATTTCCAGTGGTGAACAAAGAAAAGGGGTTTCTCCTTCCTAAATAAGGCCATGGAAATCAAGAAAAAATTGGGAGGGAACAGGAATAGATTTCTGCGTGAAAGGTGGTGTGCATAAGTTGCTGGTGCTGCCTACAAATTGAGCTGAGCTAGGGGCACTTTGTTCTGTAATTCTATGTCCTCCTTGGACCACTATATTGGGTGAATCTTGTGGTTCCTTGTGATGTACAAAGTGCATCCTGTTAGTCTAAAATCTATGCATCACTGTTCTAGATGTAGGCTACAAGGTTTTCTAAGAGCAAGTCTCTTGTAAACAGAGCCTCACCCACCCACCCACCTACCCCCCCCCCCCTTTATTTTGCTTTGCTGAGACCAAACTCCGATCAAGTATATAGGGAGCTGGGAGCTCTGCAAGGACCGACCTCCACGAGGCACCATGAGAAGGGGCCTTCCGCTATGGGTCATGGCTGTAGGAAGCAGACAAGTTCTGAGGGGTGGGCAAATACACTGTCCTGGGAGGCATCCCGAGTCACAGGGCGGTCAAAGGCTCGCGCCGCTCACCTTGTCCGAGCCCAGTTCAGGGCCCTCCTGGCAACAGAGGCGGCAGAGGAAGGACTTGGGCTCGCGGCAGAGTGTCTGGCGGGTGCTCACGAAGTAGGTGCCACCCACGTTCAGCCGGACCCACTTCGAGCCCGCGCCGCCGCCGCCCGGTGTGGCTCTGTCGGCCGCTGGGGGGTCCGAGCTGCGCGCCTGGCAAGCAGGGGCCGCAGCTGGGCGCGGACTGGGCGGCCCAGCGACCGGCAGCGGGCTGGGCGTGCGGCCCCGCGGCGGCCCGTCCCCGGCCGCCAACTCCGCCATTCTCCGCTACGGCTTCTTCCCTGGGCGAGCGGCTCGCAGCCCGTCAGTCAGCGGCCGGGACGGAGAAACTGGAGGAGGACGCGGCGGGGCTCCGCTGCCATCACCCCAGTCCCCAATGACAGGGAGGGCCGACTTCCGGGGTGGAGAGCCACTTCCGAGTCGCCCGCAGCCCTCCGGGCACAACCACTTCCTGCGGCCACGTCCCGCGCCTCCTGCCTCGCCCCGCGCCGCATGCGTGTTTGGAGGAAACCAGCACGCGCGCGCCGTGGGTCTCTGCAGAGGCAAACCGCCTTTTAAGCGCAATTAAAAATAACGCTCGGAGAAGCCCCAAATAAAAACCGGAAGGAAGCAGAGAAAGGCCTTGCCTTTCTGAACTATGCGTAGCATAGACACAAAAATTAGAGAGCGGCATTACCTTGGATGCGACGGGACTTCCAGGTTACTGTTGATGCCATTCCCAGCCCCCCCCCCGCAACGTGTGTGTCCTCCCCACAGTCAAGAAGGGGGGAAGCAAAGCAAATACTTTGTCCTCTTTTCGGGGGGGTGTATGAAACAAATGAATTTGCGGACGGGCGGGCGTTTAATTGGTCTGCCAGCTTTTAACCGCTTCTCCACTGGGAAGGCAGAGCTATCCAAAATTAGTTTCCCCATATTGCAGGTACAAGGAACGGAAAAAGCAATACTTATATTATGCTTGTATTTGCACCTTGAGCGGAGCGGCTGAGGCTCAGATTGGGACGCAGTAAGCCTGACATATAGTCTGTGGCTATCACCCCCATGCTGTAAATTGGGGTACGTTGATGCAGGCAATGCTAGAAAGGACAATTTCAAGCGCACTCGTTCCACTGACAGTGTCCGTATGCTTGCATCACCCGAGCTCTTCACACCAGCATGTTGACAGCCGACAGCGCGGCAGAAGGCACGGCGCCCTGAAGCACACCTCGGTTGCAGCACGGGCAAATGTTAACCGTGTGCCCCTATACATGTCTCCTCGAAAGAGCCCCGAGGAGTTCCGGGGGGCTCACTCCCAGGGCAGCAGGGATGGGCTTGCAGCCTGCGTGCGCAGCCCCTTGCGTGTGCCATCGCTTGGCACAGGCCTGGTTTGCGACTACACTCTCCCCGACCCAAGAAAACCAAGTGGCCTCTCTTCGTTTTCCCTCTCTACGGCGCCGGGAGCGGCCGAGCCTTTCCGGATTTGTTCCTCCTGATTGGCCCGACGGGGGGTCACGGTCAGGCCGCGCTTCCTCAAGCGCGTTTCCGGCGGCGCTTGGTGGGGGCGAAGGGTCGCTGAAGGTGAGCGAGGGGAGCGTCCTTCGCCGGGCGGTGCTGCAGGCCGGCCTCCGGTTCCGCGAGCAGCGCGCGGTTTCTGCAGGTTGCCCTTTCACTACGTTACGTGGTGTTCGGGTGTCGTTGTGACCCGGCAGGAGTGTCGCTTCCGGAGAGAAGAACATACACGTTGATTTGCCTTCGACTGCTTTTGTAGTAGTGGGCTAATGCAGCGTTTCTCTTAAAATTTATTTTGATATTAGGTAATCTTGGTGCTCGGAGCCATGTCAGTCAGATCTACTTAAAGTAGATCCATTAAAATGAATGAGACGAGTTAGGCGTTGGGCAGGACCCATAAAATGATTTTTGACGTCTTTATAAAGTACACATAATTAAAGGTATTCTTTTGAATAAGTGAAGTAATATTTTTACTTGAATGATATGGTTTTTGAACTTTGCAAGTTACACCTGGTACATTGACTACAAAGTCAGTGAGTTTGTTGGGGCGACTCCCAGATAAGTGTGCATTAGATTATAGTCCTAGTTTGGAATTTGTTCAAATGAATTTGAAGTGTATTTGTCCCTATGATTAGTATTTGTTGTTTGCCTCTTACCTTATAATTCACAAGTCATAGATTTATCTTACCATGTGTTAACATTTGTGTTTTTTGGTCTCTAATGCAAGTCTTCTGGTTTCTAGATTGTAACAATGGCTGCCCGCAGAACTGCTGTGAAAGCAATAGACTGGTTGGCATTTGCTGAGCGAGTGCCTCCCGCTCAGAAACCCATGTTTAATGCTCTGAAAACACGCAGTGATGCTATCTCAGCCAAGTGAGTACTTCCTAGTGTGAAAAGAGCGCTATGGGCAGCATGACAGTAGAATTAAATTCCATTTTTCTGAGCACAGGTGCCACAGTGCTTGTGATGATGGGCAGGTTCAAGCTGTGTATTATCAGTTATATTAATTTATAGTGGATTTTTTGAAATTCATTTTATAGGTTACTTTAAACACTAAGATGATCACTGGTTTTTTATGCTATCTGTTTCTTTGCTTCTGCAAAATCTTGGATTTTCGATGTTCATTTGTTGCTGACATAGGTGGTTGATGTGGATATGCTAATTTCATTTTGTAATTTTGAACAACTTTACGGTAGCCTTCTTTAGTCTTCAGACACTAAGAAAATTCTTGAAACAAGATGTGTCTGCTGTCACATGTTTTGGGACCATAATACCTGTTGGAGCACCTCCACCCGCCATATCTGTTTAGACGCTATGTTCAACCTTCTGGAACCTGGGCCTTCCTCCCAGTACTAACTCTGAGAGAGGCTCAGAGGGTGGTGACAAAGAGAAGGGCAGCCCTCCTGGCACCAAACTTCGTCATCTTTTTGATGCCAGGTTAATTATACACTTTATGCTGAGACCTTTAAGGACTTACTTAAGTTGTCCCTTCAAGTCCCTAGATATCTATCTCAGGTGTTTTTTACAGAGTAATTTCTGTTGCTTTACTACTTTTTAATACTTCTCTGATTTTATGGTATTTTATTAATAATCTTACTTATTTTCCACTGTATTTTATCATATTTTATGGATTGTTGTAAACTGTTCAGAGGGCTTTGATTATGGGGCAGTATAGAAGTAAATAAATAAAAATTATGATAATTATTTGGTCACGACAAGGGAGCTCAGATCACATGCTATTTCTTCATGACTTGGTAACTTAAGGTTATTTTAAGATTTGAGAAAATTCTTCTATCATATTCTGGCAGGACTATCTCAAGTCTTCTATGCTGGACATAACATAAAAGCAATTAAATAAAAATGAGAATATATTGGCTAAATGTCTGTCAAATTTTTGTTAAGTGTTTTGCAAGGCTCATTTAGAGATGTATCTGAATAGCTGAGAACATTGACAGTTTTGATTAGGTACTCTTAGGACAGATGACAAGAATGAGAGATGGCTGTAGTACTAAGAATAGCCAGAAATACCCAGTAATTCTAATGTGTTTCCCATGTCCCAATAGACTTACTTCTTTGCCAGCGGCTCCCCCAGCCATAGACTGGGCATTTTACAAGTCTGCAATTGCCATACCTGGCATGGTTGATGAATTTGAGAAGAAGGTGAGACTACGTTATGATACTTCCAATGTTTCTGAATTTAAATGAAAGTTCTTTGAATGTTAGACAGTCTGAAAGTCATATTAATTATAATGTAATTTACAGCAAGGCATCTTGGTGGCCAAACATTTATATGAAGCTAAAGTGGAGGCTGTAGCTTTCTTGGGGCAATGAATACATGTTTTGCACCTTCTGCACCAGCAGGCATTGCTTTATGGAGCACATACTTAATCTAAACTTGAAGCAATAATCCTTTTGACCTGATTTCTTTGCTATGTATGACCTTAACATTTCTGTATAAACTCCAGGATAAAGAAGAAAATATAGGGTCTTTTGTACATCCACATTACAGTGGTACCTTGGCTCACAAACACCTCAGTTCATGACCAAATCGGGTCGCGAACAAAAATTTCATAAAAATTTTGACTCAGGTTGCGAACTCCGCATTGGGTGGTGATCGCCGCCATCTCCCCACCTCCCATCCCTCATGTGGGGAGATGGCCGTGATCGTGCTGGGGGCAGGGGTGGGGGGAGATGGCCGAGATCGTGCCTGTCCTTCCTGCAGGAGCGTGCCCATGATTGCGCCCGTCTTTCCTGCAGGAGCGCAACCACGATCTTGGCCATCTCCCCCCTCCAGCATGATTGCGTCCGTCTCTTCCCCCAGCACACCCGTGTTTGCGCCCAGTCTCCTTCCCTCCAGCGCACTGGGATGACGGGCGCATGCAGGGATGACGGGCGCAATCGGGTCGTGCTGGGGGATGCGGGGAGATGGCCACACTCGTGCTCGGGGTGTGGGGGAGATGGCCTCGATCTTTGTTGTTCTTTGTCACTTTGCTTCACATTTTTCTGATTTAAAAAATAGTTACAGAATGGATTAACCTTATTTACGTTGAACCTTATGGGGAAATTTAACTCGGCTCATGTTTTGGGTCAGGACCAGAGTCCTGGAACGGATTAAATTCGTGAGCCAAGTTACCACTGTATAAGCCTCACTCTGTTATGTTTACATTATTCATACTTCAAATTTCTGGTTATTCTTTTTACTGTGTGGTAGATTGTTCTGTGGTATTGCTTTTATTTTGTAAAGGCTATTGACTGATTTTTAAAGTTTAACTTCTGCAGTGTTGTTGTGCTCCACTTCCATATTAAACGGTTCCCAGGGAACAATATAGACCAACATTTATTTATTTGTTTTTGTGTTTCTATACTGCCTCCTACTACAACAACAACTCTAATGGAGCATTTGATTTCATCATCATTCTGATGACCCAAGCCATACTTCCTTAAGCCATTCTTTTTGGATAGCTCCTAATTTAATAATAGGGGCCTGGTTGAGCCAAGGCACTTCTCTTTGCCTTAAGGATGTCAAAGCATTTCTTCCTAAGTATCTCTTGAGGATACTTAGGAAGAAATGAAGCCATCTGTATCAAAGAAGATACACAATTTCTTGAATACATATAGGGATGAAAAATGGATAAAGAATACCAGTAAACAGGCAAAGTTTATGGTTATCTGGGTAGCCACAGGACTTTTGATGCAACAGAAATTGTTTCCAGGGGACAATTTACTTGGACACCTTGACTGTTCCTGGCTCTAAGCAGAAAGCCAAAGAACAGGGCCCCTTGCCATGGATTTTTTTTTTTTTAACTGCATACGTCTTCCTCTATTTCAGAGGCTATCAATATATTATTCCCCCATTCCTGGGAAGGAAGGATAAAAGAATAGCCAGCTTTCCCAGTTAACTTAAGCACAAATGTGTGTAAACATCCTTATATCAAAAATGAGGCAAGACATTCACAGTGCCTAATAGCTGGTGATCCCTCACCTTCACTGAGGCCCCACAGGTTTCTCACCCCAATTAAGCCTATCAAGTATCTTTAGCTAGATGTAATGCATGTAATCGGACACTGGGAACAGTTGCACTTAACTCTTTGGCCCAGGGTCTTCTGATTACTAATCCCTGTATGCCTCTTAAAGAAGCTGAAAACTGTTAGAGGTTGGGCCTCAACCTTAGCCTTGAGAAAGGAATGAGCTAATAAGATTTCAATTGTCCTAATATGAGGTAGTGACAGATTTTATTTTCCTGGGCTCCAAGATCACCGCAGATGGGGACTGCAGCCAAGAAATTAAAAGATGCTTGCTCCTGGGGAGGAAAGCTATGGCAAATCTAGACAGCATACTAAAGAGCAGAGACATCATCCTGCCAACAAAAGTTCCTATAGTCAAGGCTATGGTTTTCCCAGTTGCAATGCATGGCTGTGAAAGCTGGACCATAAGGAAGGCTGAGCGCCAAAGGATTGAGGCCTTTGAATTGTGGTGCTGGAGGAGACTCCTGCGAGTCCCTTGGACTGCAAGGAGATCAAACCAGTCAGTCCTAGAGGAGATCAACCCTGACTGCTCTTTAGAAGGCCAGATACTGAAGATGAAACTCAAATACTTTGGCCACCTAATGAGAAGGAAGGACTCCCTGGAGAAGAGTCTAATGCTGGGAACAATAGATGGCAAAAGAAGAAGGGGACGGCAGAGGATGAGGTGGCTGGATGGAGTCACTGAAGCAGTTGGTGTGAGCTTGAGTGGACTCCGGGGGATGGTGGAGGACAGGAAGGCCTGGAGGAATGTTGTCCATGGGGTCGCGATGGGTCGGACACAACTTCGCGACTAACAACAACAACGTGTTGTCAAGTTATTTCTGACTTGCTTCATCCAACCACATGGAACAATAGAACTTTGCTGTCCCAGTTACAACTTGAAATAAGATTTTAAAAAAGAATTCCTCCAAAAAATATTAATTTGATTGCTCTTTTCCATCTCCACTTGCCCATTTTTAAATGTTGCTGCATGATTTTCTAACATAAGGGGCTAGCTTGCAATTAGAATTCAAGAATTCTGCCTCTAAGTCCTCTTTTTGGTTTTCTGGTAGAGCAATAAGTGTATGAAAGAGAAATTCAGGAAATGCTAGATGACATCAATTCTATTAACTGCTTAAGCTGTATTGATTGCAATAAAACTTCAGTATTGCCTAACACTTTTGATGGCTAGAATTTGCAGGTGCTGTGCATTCTTAATAGGTGTTATCTTCTTCCTTATGACTGACTAAGGTCTTGGCAAATTAATTCAAATTAAGTTTAGCTTTTTTTTTTTTAGTGTCCCATTAATGTTGAGATGTCTTATGTTAGCCTATGTAGCTTACAACTTCAGACATGACATGAGCTTGAGTCAGTTTCTCAAGACTTCAATGGGAAGGAGACTAGTGCTTTGGAAAACTGGTAAGTGCAAAGCATGCAGTGAGCTACAGCGCCTGTCTGAGAGAAGAGTACTTACAGGGACAATGAATATGGTGTTGACTGCACTGGAAGCAACACACTTAAAATATCTCTCCTCTTCTCTAATTTGACAGTACAATGCACTCAAGATTCCTGAGCCTGTGGATACCCAGTCTGCTAAGATAGATGCCCAAGAAAAAGAATCTGTAAGTATTTCATTTCTTTGTCCACTTATGTGGCATTTCTTGGTGCCTGTAGGCGATATGTGCAGAAGAGGAGCCCGTATCAACTTGACCAATAGAGCTGAACCTTGGTCTCTCTTGAACAGCTCATGCTGATTTTAGCAAATAGGGCTAGATGTAGTTCCCTTCTCACCACTGATCACTTTCCCTGTGCTGTACTTCAGACTGTTGTTTGCTGGGATTGTGGCACTGCTGAGGTCGATTTTAAGAGTTACAAGCCTCAAACTGTGTTCTTGTTAAAGAAGGTCTCTACCTGGTGCCTTTGTTTTGCTCTCTTTGGCGCTAGGCAAGCCTCTCCGGGAAGGGAGATTCTGCAAATGGGGCGCCATAACAGAAAAGGCCCTCTTCTTAGTAGCCATCCACCTTACCTCCTTTGGTGAGGGCTTCCAGCGAAGGACCATTGAGGGTGATCATAGGGTCTGGAAGATGGGAGGAGACAGTCCTTCAGGTAACCTGGTCCCAAGCTGCTTAGGGCTTGAATGTGAATACCAGCTTTGAATTAGACCCAGGAATGGATTGTCAGCCAGTGCAGATGGAAAAGTATTGACATAATATGATCATGTTGGCCACTTCCAACATGACTCCCTGTCCTCTGTTGAACCAGCCCAGCATAGTGCAGCAATTCCAGCAAGAGGTTACCAGTCTCCAGCTAAAGGTAGGTAGGCTATCTCTGTCCAAAAAGGTCATCGTTGGTATATTAGCCTAGACTGATAAAAGGCCCTTCATTCCACCAAGTCTGCCTGTTCCTCTAGCGGATACAGAAACACTCCAGACTGAACCTGATCCACTGTGGGAGAGCATCCCTCCCTTGAACATCACTTACCTGAACCACCCACTAGGAGTAGCAGCATCTTGTTTTGGTTGCATGGCCCTCATTCAGTCCATTAGTGTGCCCAGGCACTGATTCAGAGCAGCCAGTCTTTCACCTATATTTGGGGAAAAGAAGAGAACCCTAATTCCACAGCTACCTTCTGGAGTCAGCCATCCAAGTAGCAGCACGACCACTGCTGCACAGTGTTTCTGACTCTCAACCCAGGCTCCTGCAAAGGTATGAGTTTGGAGTCAAAATGGCAAGCCTTCTGGATTACTGTAGTCTCTCAGACAACGTCACTGATGGGTTCACTGCATAATTTGATATCTTGCAGGAGAAGAGTGCTGCTGCCTATATACAAGCCTCTAAAGCCCGCATTGTTGAGTACGAGAAGGAGGTAAGCTGGTGATCTTCCTGGTGCAAAACAGGATGCTGTATCGTGCTGTGCTATCTGTGAATCAACTCCATGCTTTTTCTTTTAAGTATTCCTCTTCAAGATGCAGTAACTCTGTTTTCTCTTCTCTTCTCTTCAAGCTTCAGAAGTATATAAACATGATTCCTTTTGAGCAAATGACACTTGAGGAGTACTGCGAGGCATTTCCAGAAGCCAAGCCAGACAAAGAAAAATACCCATTTTGGCCACATAGGCCCATTGAAGACTTGTAAAAGCTGCCTGTCTGAAAGGACCCTATAGCATCTCTTAAATAAAGTAATTAGAGCGGAGCCTTAGAGAATTGTCTTTTCTAAGAATCTTGCAGTTGAACTGGGTTCACGTTAAGACTTCCTGAGCTCAATATAGCTTAATCTCAAATTAGACTATGTCAGAAAGTTGCCTCATCTTGTCCTGGAGCACTGAAAGCCAGTGCGGTTCAGCTAAGATTGGTGATCTTGGGCTCGTTGCATGGTTGACTGAGAAGAGGATCATGAAGCACCGGAAAGCTAAATATGCTCTCATAGAAATCAAGTTCCATTGAAGTCAATGAAATTTACTTTTGAATAGAAGTATAGAACTGAGTTTTAAAATTGGGTTTTAATTTGGAGATTCTAAACTTCTAAAATAAGCAATTTAGACACTTGCTACCCTTAACATTTTGAATTTTTTTAGGCCTTTAACAGAGGTTAACTTGGCTTCACATGGGGATAGGGGAGGAGTTTAGTGGGTTGGCAGAGCCAATTCTCTCACATTGTGGGGAAACTTGCTTCCATTAAGATCTTTCCAAAATGCCAGCTTGATTCTATATAACTTGAGGCTATAAGCAATGAGATGGCATACAAAAACTCTAAATAAATAATTCAGTGCCTTGAAAGCAGCCTTCTCCAACATGGTGCCCTCCAGAAGTTTTGACTCTGACTCTGATCAGCTTCAGCTAGTGTGGCTAGTGGTCAGGAATCCTAGGTGTTGTAGGTCAGGAGAGCAGCAGGTTGAGAGAGGCTTCTCTCAAATATATCTGTAAGTAGTCTTAACATTTCTCTCAAATGGAGAGTATGGAATGCTTACCCAAGAGGAGTAAACTGGGTGAATTCCTATGACAGTATATCAGAATGCTTGTCTTCTGGTTCTTGAAGCATGAGTAGCAAGAATCTCTGCAGTGGTGAACACATAGACCTTAGGCCAGGGGAGCATGGGGTCCACTTTTGTAAAGATCACACTAGCAAATGGGATATTCAGGTTTTATAGATCTTTGGAAGACTCCAAACTCCTACTACATCCCTCCTCTCTTTGTGGATTGAACTGCATGTGTTAATGTGTAGCAACTCTGTAAGTGTGTGCCAAACATGGCAACTCACATGCATATATATATTTCCCAACCTTTCAACTGGTGTTCAATATACCATTGTATTAACTAGTTTATTCTTTGGCTTTATGCTTCATGCCCTTAATTAGCTTTGGGTTATGTAAGACATTACCTATTGAGGGCATTTTAACTCAATAATACATGGTAGTTGATCTCTTGCATTAATTGCAAACTGGCATGCAGGGGGATTTAAACTTTGACAGTACTGGTAGATGACAAGAAATAGTTTTATTAGTATTTTCAAATTGTGCCATTTGGCAAACTGTTTTAAAGTACAGAAACATCACACAATTGTTTTTAAAAGCAAAACAAAGAAGTATTAAAATAAGGAATGTAAAGCAGCAAGCAGGTTTCTAAAGATAAGTATTTACTCCTCTAAAGGTATTCCTAAATAAAATGGGTTTCACATGGATCTAGAGAAGCAGGGGGAGCAGGATGTATCTCTTGGGAAGGTATTGCAGAATTCAGGTGTCACCATAGGAAAGCTCTTGTTCCTTATCACCATCCACCATAGATGGTGGTGAGAGCAGTTAGAATTGGATATCTGAAGTTCTCAGTTCATGAGGTGGGGGCTCTAACAGGAAGAGAGAGTCCTTGGGGCAAAAGTGGGCATGGCAGATCTACTGGTATATCTCTGGATGGTGTGCAGCAGATCAAAACTTACCAATTCTCAATTGCTCAGCAGCAACAACAGAATGACTCTCCTTCAACACTTAGTTATACTGCTGAAGAAAATTCGAGATAATCTGCAGTGGATTTTTATGTGAAAGGACTCTGAATGTTTTGAGTACCAGAACTTGACGTACATCTTTTCCATCAGACTTTGGTTTGTGAGTGTGGGAGATTCTAGAAAAAGAAAGATCCTACCAAAAGGCATTTAGAACATTAAACTGATCAATAGAAAATTTTAAAATAATTTGAACCTGGTGATACAGGATGTAGATCACCAGACAGTCCCTTTGTGGTATGTCTGGGAACCTATTCATGAAGGATCAACAGGGCAAGCCAGAGTATTTACTCATTGTTCCTTCATAGAAGAAAGGGGAAATCTGTCCAGATGTTGGGATTACCACTCCCATCCTCAATCATTGGCCATGTTAGCCAGAGCTAATGAACCATAGATTCTTTAGTCATGTTTTGGTATTCATTTGCCCTGCCTGATAAGCAGTTCAGATCCCCTGCAATTCAATCACTGCTTTGGATAAAGATTTTGTTCTTTAACTGTGGCAAGAGACAAAGCAAACCCTTCTTTTATTTTCAAGATTTCCTTCCAGCCTTTCTTGGATTCTAGGTTTAATAGAAAATGTTATATATGCAGAGATGCACAAGTATTATCCAACAGTACGCTGCTTGTCTACATCTGTCTCTAAAGAAATAAAGCTTGACTTCAGTCATATCATGTTGGTCTTCCGTGACTTCAACAACTGTAGAATCAGCAGAATAGGGGCAAATAACAGCTGTAATAAAAATTTGCATTACCCTGAATACCTTGACATAAGCATGTTCCGCCAGCTATACAGAAAGAGTATTATAATTTATAAACTATAATTTCATCACCCCTCCATACCTCTAGGAGCAGAAAGAAGACTGAAAACTTACAATTGTTAGAAACAAACACATTCCTTTTCCCCCCTAAAAGGCAGAAGTGGCCCTGGATTTACAACTAATGATGTAATTTTTAAAAGTAATAAGAGTGGAAGCTTTTGCACTGTGAGATCTAAATTGCTTTCATGAAGAATCAATGATAATTGCTCAGAGCACTCTGCTGACTCTTGGGACCAGCTTTTCAAATTGCTTGCTTACATGAATCTAAAGGGTAAACTTGTAATCAGACCAAGGGAATGAGGGGGAATGAGGTTTGCATGATTGCCATAAAAGAAACATGAGCGGTCTGGATTATGGATGCAGTCTGATACATTGTGTCTGGTGCCATATTTTTAGTCACTATCTTTGCCTTATATTGGGCAAAAAAAGTAACTGTGGTTCTGAACAACCACTGCCTAATTCAATTGCCTGCATAACTGCAGTTTCCAAATGCTAAGGCTTTGTAGCTCTTTCTAATAAATAGAAATTCAGCTAGGCTCACTTTTTATTAGTCCTGCAGAAGTTCATCCTTGTGAAGATTCCTCCTCCAGCAGCACCCATTCCAGCAGGTTGTCTTGAGTGAGATGAGGGGGAAGGAGAGCAGGACTGTTCCCCCAACCCTGCAGAAGGGATTAGTCATCCCCCGCTTTTCCACCCCATTCTTTCTTTCATGCTGCCTACCCCTAGAGTCTGCCCCCTCAGCCACTTGCTTGCCAATTCACAAGGTAGCAAGCATGCAACCACTCCGATTCCCTCAAACTCCTGGCTTGCTGACAGACTATCCAAGGACCTATTTATCTGGAAGCATCCAATGTGCAAAGAACTGCACTTATTTGCATATACTATAATCAAATGATTACAAATGGACTGAGCATGGAAAAATGCTGGAGGGATATGAGGAGAAAGGGGACCCCCCCCCCCCGAAGATTAGGCTATACTAACTCCCAAAAGCTCCTGCAGATATGACCAATGCAAAGGGATCCTGGGAGCTGGAAATCTCAAACATCAGGATCTTTCCCTAGGGCTCAGTTGCTTGAGGTACGTTCCAGGGTAGTTATTTCCTTGTCAAGTCATCTATGTACACAGCTCATTCTTGGGAGTAATTACCCAAACAGGGTTTCACCAATGTTATAACAGCCCCAATAGTAAAATGCAAAAAAATTGTTGTGAACATGAATGAGTATTCAGAGAGCACTCCACTGAATGCTTTCTCATTTGCACCTTCTTTATACCAGGTAGGTAGTTTACTGTATTAAGCCATAGGCTATTACAAATTGACAGGGCCATAAGATCCAATTTAACAAAGGAGAACTTTAAAACACCTCCTTCCTATCTGCCAATAGTTTAATAAGGATGAGGCACACGTGGCTTTCCAGATGGAGTTGGCCTACTGCTCCTTGCAGTTGCGCACCCTTGCAGCTGCGAGCCGGGGCTCAATGACAGCCGGAGGGCCGCATGCACGTCCTTCTGATTTCATACGTCATGATTTGCTTAAAAATAAAACTTCCAGTAAATCACAGCAGAAGCGGGATGAAGCGCTACGCGCCGCGTCTTGCCCAAACCAGCCAGGGCCGCCCGGGGGCGCTCCTTTGCTGCGGCTGGGAGTCCGGAAGAGAAGGACGCGCGTGCTGGAGCGGGGGGTTCCGTAGGAGACAGACAGGGCAGCGGTCTACCCCATCCGTGTACGCGTGCACACGTGCCCCGATCCAGGGGCGGGGCGACGCGGGTTGGGGATGGAGAAGGAAGGAAATCTTTCCCGGGTGAAGGCGCGGCACCAGCCCCATCGCAGGCTCCAGCTGGATGCAGAATCAGGCGGAATTCGCCTTGCCGCGCATGAAGAGCTCACCTCTACGTTGTTGTGTTCTTAAAATTTTATTTCTGTAACGGCAAAATAAAGGATCCAGCTTTTCAGAATACGGAATGAAGAGTATTCATCTCCCCGTCCGCACGCGCTTCCGTGGTTCCTCCAGCTTGAAGGCGAGGAAATAAATGTTTCAGTGCTTCCCTTTAATGATCTCAATGACTCGATCAGTAATCTAATGCGTGTTTAAAAACAAAACAAAGCGCCGAAAACGATTTTTACAGCTTCCCCCGCCTTCAACACACCAAGTTCTAAATTTAGTATGGAGGCGAGTATTTCGATATTAATTTTACTTGTGGGAAGCAGCCAATTCTTACTCATTTTTAAAGAAGCTCTTTTAGAAGTAAGATCAATAGGTAAAGATATCTCACGGGGCGTTGCTAACAGTCCCAAAAGATATAGTTACCTCCAGAGATGTAGTGAGGGCGGGAGGAGTAAGAAAGATTTCTTGAAAAAAATGCTCGTATATGCGACCACGTGGC